GCTCCATCAGCATATTTTCTGGTATATCCCCATAATACCACCGAAGAAATCGCCAGCATGCCTGGACGAACTCCTCCTCATTCGCTGACGCTGTCCGCGCTGCGCTTTGCAACGACGTTTTTACAGCCACCTCGTTGTCCGTATTCGGACACCCTTGAACCATACGTGCCACCTTCAAAGCTTGCTTTGGGGAGCACCAATCCATTTCATCAATGATCTGAAGCGCCACCTCCTTTTCTAAACAAGGGCACCCATTCAGATCACGAACGCGAAGTTCCCCCAGAACAGGATGTGAGGCTGTGCACTTGCCACCACGCCACTGAACTCTGAGACCAACCAAGGCGCTCGCTTTGCCAATTGGCACTAGTGGATCTACCATTTCAGGAGTTACCAGGGTCCCACCTGGGGTAATACACATCTCCCGAGATCCAACAGCTAAAGACACCAACACCTTTTGCTGCGGAAGCTGTTCTCCAGGACGAAGTGATCTGAGAGGATGTGATGCTCCCGAGTCCAACATGCCCATTCCCGAACACTCATTGGTGTCAGAAACCCTGGCCACATGTAGAACGCATACTCCTCGGCCTTCTCCCTGCTTCGGCAACAACGTGGCATCCGACGAACCGACTCCACAGTCCGCCCTTCCATTCCTCCATTGAGAATGGGACCAAGATACACGCTGCCTTTCAGCATGCAAAACCATTTTTTCAGCTGTTTTGTAATCCATAACCAAACAGCCATGTTCAAACCACAAGAGCTGGTCCAGCGAAGATTTTGCCACCCACGTGACACATCCCATTGATCACAGTGAGGTTCGCCCCAAACTCCAAAATCAACCAGAGAGGGATAATCAGGGGCCCATTGTCTTCCCTAATCAACGTCCCTTTCTCTGTAATCCTCATTGTCACACCACCAAGCGCGCTTTGCACCATAACAGTAGTGTCTGGTAAACATTCCCATGGAAAAAGCGTCCGCGCAAGATGCGTAGCAGCTGTGTCCACCAACGCCACTCTCCCTTCCTGCTGAAGCAGCCCAGAGCCACATAACATTCGAATACTGGGATCCCCGTTTGATGCCGACTGTTCTGATGACAGCTTCATAGATTTCAGCACCTCTAACGCTTCAACAAGGACCTGATTGGCCGTTGATGGCGATGAGGGACTTGCAGAACCTTTATCCAATCCCGCATTAGCCGTCTCATCTCCCCCTTCAGCTACCTCTGCCTTTTTGGCATTTCCCCATTTCGCACCTTTGCCGCCCTTTCCCCCTTTGGGAGAATTCCCTTTAGATCTACTCCTCTCAGGATTTGAGTCCACATTGGAACTTGCACCATCCTTATATGGACATTGCGGCTGCAGATGGCCAACGGCCCCACACTCAAAACATCTTCCTCGTTCAAGGGAGTCTTTGTCATGGCGAAATTTGCAGCGGGATCCGAACTTGCACCCCGCATCGGTCTTCCCATATATCCAACAGAAAGGACGTTCACCATCTCCGCTGTACCTTTTTCCTTTCCCTTTGCCTTTGTCACCCTCCTCTGTCTCGTCACCAGTTCCCTTTTGGGCCTTGTTTAACCTGGCCCTTTTCTTGGCGTCCGAGTCCTGCTTCACCTCTTGTTCACCAGCACTATGCAATAGCAGTTCAAACTCTGCCTGTAACATTTCAGCTAGTTTTGTCGCAGTTTCAGAGGTCGGCGAGTAGTCCACCCCCAATTTCTCCCGAAAGGATGCCACTCTGAAATGAACCGTAGGGTGTTTCGCCAGCAACGCGGATGACAAACCATCCAATCCCTTGATAAGCAAGGTAGCGTCCGGCTCAGCCGCTCTCAACTCCCTCAATCGGGAACGCCATTGCGCCCATTGACGCACTCCCTTTATGGCCTCTGAGATCGAGGTTGCTGGAGATGGTTGCACCAAGAAGTTCAACATTGTGCTGCGCTCATTTGCTCCACCTGGTTGGTAGACCGTCAGCAATTTGTAAAATATCATCACTGACCCCAACATTCGAGTGGAAACGATCTCGGTCTTCAATCTCTCCGGGATCGCCTGTAGCAGCAAAGACACCGCTCTCTGCTCCAACAAAACATGCACAGTTTGAACCACTTTGAGCCCTTCCAGCTCAGCCTTGATGCCCAACCTTTCCAGCGGAGAAACACTCAACCATTTGGCATACGCTTGATATGCCTTTGAGTAGACGCATTGCCACCACACTCTTCCTGTATCTGTCAGCGAAGACAACATTGGTTCGATCATTGCGATCCAATCACCCAGTGCCGTCGGATTGCTTGGTGTGTAGTCTGCCAAAGTTGGAAGGCTCATCACATGCTTCCCGAGAGCCTCCGGACGTTCGGTTCCAGAACTATCACCAGTGATTGGCATACCACGTGGCACCACTGCTCCAGGAGGTAAACTGACCCTACCACCAGGCCCTTGAGGTAGTCCATGTCCTATACCGGGCGCAACAGCTGTGAGCGGAACCTTTTCTAATTCCAACTTCCCAGCGACCATTTTCCACCGATACGGAACATCATCCACCATTGTATATCCACCCGATCCTGCTGAGTTCTCTTGCGTTGCAGTTTCCCGAGCTGAAACAAAACCGGGCTGGTTCCCCACAGGTGCGGCAGAACCATCAACACCTGATGGCACGGAAGTAATCGGAACATGTGTTAAACCAGGTGGTCCACTTGCATATCCACCACTGCAGGACCTCCCGTGGGGTAATTCAATGGAGGCAATCTGGAGGGTTTCTTCCCTTCAGCTACATGCATCATTGGCACTTCTTTTTCATCCTCCACTTGAACATCCCCCTTCCTGGACCCAGGCAAGGATTGAAGATCACAACCCTTTGGCAGGTCGTAGCCCTCAATAGGCAGCCATGTCCCATCAGGCAACACAGTCCAAAAACCACCCATACCATCCGTGTAGAAAACTTGTCCTGGCAGGTACTGCTTCTCTGGAGTCATTCCTAGAGGATATGCCGTGTTTGCGTCCACCACTCCAGAGCTCCGTGCCCTTGAAGCTGACCCAGATGCAGCAGAGGTATAGCTTTTTTCCTCCACCCGATGCAACCTGTTCCCCAGCTCCTTTGTCTGCACAAGCAACTCTTTCAGCGCACGCTTCACCACCGCCATATCTTCAGATTGCTCTTCACCACTAACATCAGGAATGAGTTCTTCGTCGGCTTGCACTCCACCAATAGTACCTCGTTCCATTTGTCCCATTAAGCCTGACGATGGTCTCTCAACAGGTGCAGGTTCCTGACCCAAAAGATCTTGCAGCGAAGGCGGTCTTCTCGTACCTTCACCACTCCTATCCCCTCCGCTCGCGGGAAGACTTGCCGGCCTTGACTGCCTAAGTCTCATTTCTTCTTGAGCCCGCTCGCTCCAGAAAGGATTTGCTGCTTGAACCGGAACCACTTCGTTTTCCACCTGAGGCGTTGGTTGTATCATTGCAACCTCCCTACCATCTGTCAGTGCTTGTACCATTTGTTGTCGATCTTCACCCCCATCACCACGATTTCCTTCGGCTTCATTGGCCGTTGGCGACAGTCCAGGCTCAGAGCGACGCCGCATCATGTCCATGGCGTTAAACAAACGAAAAATCTTTACCAATTCCGCAGGAAGCCTAATTTGGGCTCATAACCTACGGGGGGCAACCGAAGGAGGACAGGGAACAAAACAGTCAGCCCCAACAGAAGCCCTTGATTCCCCTGGAACAACCGAAGACAAAACCCAAAGCACAACCAAACACACCTTTTCCGTAGGGCGCATTGCCCACGTTTCTTGAGCCAAAAATATCCGGGTTCATTGACCCCTTCAACTCCCATCACCAACTCTTTTCTGCAATACCAGTTGCAGCTCCGCATAGGGTTTAGGGTTTAGGGTTTAGGGTTTAGGGTTTAGGCATTCGCTTTGAACCTTGAGTTTGCCTTCGCGCGAGTGACGGCTAGTTTGGGAACGAGAACATGTTTGCCTCGCATCGTTCTGTCTTTGTCACGGAATTTGCGTATTTGGGGTGGGCACGCCACCCTCCTCTTGCCGAAATGCCTCGTTGCGAGCTGTGAGGGAGCATTGGGGAGGAAGCGGAAGAGGCGGCTAGTCACCCCCTTTTGGCTTTGAAATGAATCAGCATTTCTGTTAACATCAGGAGGAAACGGAAGCATCCACACTCTAGATGCTAGTTGAGGTTGCCAGCGACAGATGTTTCTCTGGCCGAGCCTGCATGTGGGAATTTGGGCTTCAGCTGGCCTTAATACTGGGGTCCGGAAACGGACATGTCACTCCAAAGGAATGGAAGTTGTCCTCGCAAAACTGCACAAGTTTTCCAAATTCCTGCAAACATCGCCTAACTTAGCTTACTGGTCATGCGGGCCAAGAAACGCACATGAAACCCATGTTCACGAAAGGACTTTGTTGAGTGTTTCCTGTCTTCGAACTGATTGATCTGAATGTTGTTTTAATCCTCACCCTTTGGTTGCCCCACCCGTGCTGGTAAAACCTTTCTAGGAGTTCTTGTGCAAGCGCCACAGCGACTAAGCGTAGAGCTCATGCTTGAGCACCGAGTGCAGCGCCTTTTGTGTTTTTTAGCTTGTTTGTTTTTTTTTTTTGGTGGGCGTTCCCTGTGAAGGTCATCAAGCCGTTGGTGACGCAGGCCTGAGCCATCGCGATTCAGTGTCTGGCGTGGCTCGCCTTCCTTCTTGGAAAAGCTATGCTCTGCCTCTGCCATACTTACCGTACTTCTCTAGTTCTGTTTTTGAAACTTCCTAACCGGGACCTCAAACCGTTGACTAGGTGGCTCGCCAGGCACACCTGGTTTCTAGCCGAGAGTCTGCAGTCTTCGTGTGTGTCAGGAGTGATGGGTCGACGCCCGGCAGTTCAATAAGCGTTCAGTAGGCGTGCGAGGGATTAGCCTCAGCGCTTCCTCAGCGTGCTCCGAATCTAGCACCGGGGCCCGCCCTAGAATCTGCTAGAAGAGTATCAGTCACTCGAGCCGTTCAAGATGGGTCTAGAAGACGAGGATCCTGACCTGGGGCCGTGGCATCTGGGGTGGCAGCGCTTGCAGATCAGTTTGCTTATGTTTGTTCAGGGGGTTTAGTGGGGTGGGTGTGAGCTGGTCCTTTGCCTTGTGGCATCGAGGTGGTGACAGCCACTCGGTGCGAAGTTTAAACATCAAGCACATCGTCGTGTCCAGCCATGCAGTTGCAGCAATCGAGGACTGGTGTGCAGAGAAGCATGCGTGTACAATCATGTTGAAAGATAAGAACACTCTCAGCATAGCGACAGCTACGATGATTCCTGGCCCTAATGGCTTGCTTGTCGCCCGCTCTTGGGCACGATCCAAAGAAGCCATTATCAAGCCGAGGTCCCAAGTTTTTGTTTGCCATTCTGTTTGCAGCACCAAAAGTGAGGAGACCCGGCTGCTTCCAAAGCTGCTGCCCAGAACAGAAGCTCAGCCCCACAAAAGTGGCACGAGGAAGTCGAGCTGGAGTGTTTTTTGTGCGTGTATGATTAGAGCAGGACAATGGTCAAGTGGTGACGTGGGGCGTGGCCGGATGGGGCGGCGACAGCTCCGCAGTCCATGACAAACTCCTGGACGTTGTGGACATCGCCGCATCCAACGGCGCATTTGCTGCGCTGCGTGCTGATGGCAAGGCGGGAAACCGGGAGTCCTTCCTTTACAGCCATCCTCCTTCGCAGAATAGAGGTTCCGGGATAAGCGACCTCCCCTCAAAAGAGCTGCCAGTCTCAACTGGAAGCCCCACGAACAAGCAAGCTCCTTCAACGTGTAACGCGGGGCATAGAAATAGACAGACTATAGGTTGGTGATGGCGGTAGCAGTAGTTTGCTGGTCGCCGTCGTTGTCGCTGTCGTCGTCTGGAGTGAAAACGCTAGGAGACAGGACGTTTGCGCTGCACCCTGTGCAAGAGTTGTGCATTGAAGTGCATAGTAGTGCGACTACATATGACGGCACATTCAAACCCGCCCAGGTTGTGACCTGGGGTCTTCCTCTGATGGGCGGTGACAGCAAAAAGCTGGCGGAGAAGCTCGTCAACGTGAAGCAGCAACTTGCCCTTTAAGAGATTGGATGAGGGTCCTTCTTGACGTGGCGGTTGCGAGGCTTTGTGCTTCTGGCTCAGCCTTCGCCGCGCTGCGGACGGACGGGACGGTCGTCAGCTGGGGGGATGCCAGCTGCCAGCAGTTCGCCACAGTTTGCCGCAGCTTTTGTTTTCCGAAGCTCCAGCTTGCACTTCGAAGGGTGTAGGCCGCTTCCAGAATTGTGTGGAAGTCCTGGGAGTAACCTGAGCCAGCCTGGGACACGCGAACAAACGGTATTTAGATCCCGACGAGGCCCAGCGTGGTGGAGACAGTTCCAGGGTGCAGGCGGATCTGAAGGACTGAGCAGAGGATGCTGCGGCACAAGCGTCGTAGCCACTGCAACTGTCATGGCATATCCCGGCTCACTTCCTAGGTGAATGGCAGAGCTACCCAGTACTTGAGTCGGAACGTCCTTTGCTACTCATGTAGCTCCATCTCATACAGTGTCGGTTTGTGCCCTTAGTTGAAGGCGTTTGAAATCGAACGAGTTGAATCTGCGTTGTTTGGACACACGTCTGACGAGCCTCGAGTTCTGCAGAAGGAACCTGACAGCCTAACCCCAGACCGAAATCTGGGCCTGTCGTGCAGACCAGCCCCAGCATGTACTCCGGCCTACTCCTGCCCGAGTATCCGGCCAGGAAGTGAGGCAGCTGATCGCCTCGCAGTATGCCTTTGCGGCGCTGCGATCCGATGGCGGGATCGTTGCCTGGGGCCCCTTGTCCTCAACAGCGGGCTCGTCGGGTTCAGGACTTCGGAGAGTTCCAGCAGATATTGGGGTGCAAAAACGTGGAGGCCTCTGCGTCGAAGCCCAAACCATCTCTAAGTGTTAGCTCAATCTCGAACACGATGGTGAGCCCAGGCCAGGCCGACGCTGGTGGAGTTTGCGAGAAGCTTTGACTGGGATTTCTTTGGGCTGGATCGCGGTGGGAATGTTGTCGTCGTGCATTCAGTGTTATCCTGGCCTGGGCTTGGGGGTGGAAAGGCATGCCGTCGGAAGCCGATTTCATTGGGGTCTTTCAGCTCGCAGTATCTAGCAATGAAGCCCAAGGAACAGCCACGAGCTTGTGGGAGTCCAGCAGCTGGTTGCTTCAGCCGCGGCCTTTGCTGCCCTGCGCCGCGATGGGACGGTCGTCTCCTGGGGATCTTCAGAGTTTGGAGGAGACTGCCAGGACCGGGAGACGGAGCTAGATCTCTCCCTCCCCCCATCTCTCTCTCTCTCTCTCTCTCTCTCTCTCTCTTTACATACATATTCTGTAGGGTCTGGAGATGCTTGCTGCACTTTCTCCGGAGGACGTCGCGGGCAGCTTAACCGAAGTCAAGGCGGTCGTCGCCGCGCGCTCCGCATTTGCCGCCCTCCGCGATGACAGCTCCGTCGTGACTTGGGGCTCCATAAGCAAGGATGGCATCGCCACGCCGGAGCGTCTCGAGAGCGTGGAGTGTGTCGTGGCATCGGATCGAGCCTTTGCAGCTCTTTTGGGCGATGGGAGCGTGGTGACGTGGGGCGACCGCGACTGTGGCGGCGACAGCCAGGCGGTACAGCAGGAGCTGGTTGGCATCAGGCAGCTAGCAGCCTCCAAGCTGGCATTCGCGGCTCTTCGCTTTGATGGTGCCATTGTTACGTGGGGCGCGCCTGACTTCGGTGGCACCGGACGCGTCATGGCCGGTGCCAAGGAGGCCACGGCGGCCGAGCCTGCCGCCTATGCCCTCATCCGGGAGACTGGAGCGGTGACATCCCTGAGCCCGGCTGCATGTGTGCCTGAGGCGTGTCAGGGCGACACCTGCGACACCTGCTCGTGTGCCAGCCCGGCAAGGAGCACCGGGAGCACCGCATGCACTCCAAGCCCAAGAGGCAGTGAAAGCCGCGACAGTGAAGCCCGGGAGCCAAGCCCGGGCCTGGCACCCCAGGCCAGTCGCAAGGACGTGCGTCAGACCGTCTGCTTGTAGGGCGGACCTATTCTTAAGGACCTCTTACTTAGGTCCGGTCGCCCGGTTCCATCTTTTGCCCGGCTATGCCCGGCTGGTCAGAAGTCTTTCAACTTTTAAAAGTTTGTTTGAAAAATGTCACGTCCGCCAGGCTCTCCATGAAGAGAACTGTTGGCAAACCTGGCCGAGAAGGCTTCGGTGGAGACCTGGCAAGTGCCCTGTGCGTTCGGCACGGCAAGCGTGACTCCTGGGTCATTTTGTCGAGCTCGCGCTCGTTGTGCCAGAGGATGTTCGTCAGCTGATCTTCCTGCACGATACCTAGCCTCTGTGTTTGTAAGGTGACGGGCTTGCCGCCATCACTATACTACCCTCTGTGATCCTTTGCACGTCGTGTCGGCCCATGAGCCTGGTCCGACCACGAAGGCGCTTCACTGATTCACGGTGTGCCCGTGCACACCCCTCTGTGCTGTGATCCACGCCACGCCACACGGGCCAGCGTGGGAAATGTCACAGGAATAGGGATTTGAAACCAGAGACGCCTATGTATATACCGTCTTCTTGACAAGAGTTTCAAACAAGGGCCGATTGCATCAAGTCAGGCTGTGGCAGGTTGTCACTTTCAAGTTCAAAGCGCAAAGAAGGCGCTATTCTGTCGCTCTCCTCTCGCTGCATTTTTTTCTCCTCAAGTTTGCAAGAAGCCCAAGCCCAAGTCTGGCTTGCACTGCGCTTTGCTCCTTGGCATCCCGACTTGGCCCGACCGCTCCAGAGAGTCATAGAATGTCATCGAGTCATCGAGCTTTTCTCCAAAGAATGGTTGCAAGGATTTGTAAGGGAACTCAGGGGGCGGAAGCGGACATTGTGCGAATGCGTGCAATTCTGCAGCTGTCACAGAAGTTCGTACAAAAACCCTACGACAAGCCATCGCGCTGTGTGTTTTTTGGAGAATTCAGTTTGATGTCCGTGACGATCGGCAGTATTTGCTCAGCTGAGCCGACTGGAACATGGGAAAATCTGTCTTCAGCTCGTTGCCAAGTGAATCTAGGGGTAGGGCCGTGGGGTGGTGGGAGTTGAAGAGAGCCGGGTGATGTGGGGGAAGGGGGTTTCCAGGCAAGTCTCACTGGGGGGTGCAAAGGCAGGTGCCGCTTTTGCATGTCGTTCTTTTTGCTCGCTCCGCCCATCCATCGGATGGCAGCTCTCCCACGCTCTTTCACGGGGTGATGGGTTGGGAAGGGTTGGGAAAGGTTGGGAAGGGTTGGGAAGGGTTGGGAAGGGTTGGGAGGGGTTGGCATGGGTTGGGACGGGTTGGGAAGGGGTTTAGGGGGGAAGGAGGCCAGATCCTGGTTTGCTTCTTCCAGACGCCCGGCCGGAGGCCGAGGCGAACGCATCGAGGCACCTATGGCAGACGCAGGCACCGTGGAGATGTTGGAAGCGACCGAGGTGGCGGAGGTCGAGGCGCTTCGGCCGCGTATCTTTTTGTGTCATGGCATGTCTCCTTGAAATTGCTCAAAGTTTGGGGGCCCCCTTTCCTGGGTTCGGCCAAACCGGTACAGGACTTGCAAGGGCATCCGAAGGGGTTGAGCGAGCTTCTGGGTATCGAGAAGACCATGCCTCTGGTGCATATAGGACAAAAGATTGTTTTTTCCAGTACGTCGGGGGCATGTTGCGCAGCTTCATGGGAAGAGAGCGGGGAAGAGAGCGGGGAAGAGAGCGGGGAAGAGAGCGGGGAAGAGCGGGGATGCGTGAGCCCCAAAAGCGATCAGGAACACATGGGGGTACTTGTGCAGGCAGGTTGTGCAAGAGCACGAGTTCTGTAGGAGTTTGTTGACTGCTCTGCGAGAGTTGAGAACTGCAGAGACTTGCTTTAGCTGAACAGGCCCCCCACCTTGGACAACAGGCCCTGGCCCTGAACCTCTTGTTCCGGACTGGACGCCTTCACCTACGCTCCACCGAGGCGGGATCCGCCACAGACGAAGTCCCCGAGGACGAGTCGCTTTCTTCGGAGATCTCCCCAATCAGCGCGCCGAACGCGGCGAACACGAACAACGACAGCATTCTCCTCAGCCCTTGGGTGGGGTCTCTGGGGTCGAGGCTGAGTAGGCCTGGTAGCCTTTGGTAGGGCTTCAGCTTCCGGCGCAGCAAGGTATCCTTGGCGACAAGTTTGGCAAGACCATGGAGGAGCCCTGGGGTTAAGTCAGGCAAACGTGCTTTTACAAACGTGCATGATGCACTGAAGCAAAAAGAACGCCATAAACATAGACATGCGCACATCTGTATGTAATTTCAATTCTATATATATATATAGACATATACACACATATATAGATATATATGTATATGTATATGCATATGCATATGTATGTGTACATGTATATGTATATGTATATGTATATGTATATGTATATGTATATGTATATGGATATGGATATGGATATGGATATGTATATGTATATGTATATATGTACATGTGTAATATGATATATGAGCATCGGACAATAATGTAAACACAACCCTGTCTTGACGTTGCATGCCTTCTGGTGTTTAGAATCGAGCAGATGCTGTGTTTTTCAGGGTGCTAATACTCGAAAATCGACGGGGGCCCACCGAGCAAGTTGCGCAGCGTTCGGCGAACACACGGTTTTGTCAGTCGCTCATAGATGCATGCTCGCGCATACGGTTAGCAGTCCTTAATTTTCGCCGAGTAATGTTGACTTCGCATTAATAAACCCCCCCCCCCCTTCATTGATCAATCTCTCCGGCCAGGGCCTCCTCAATACTGTTCGCCTAAATCCTGGTAGGACGTAGTATTAGCTTTAGTATTAGGTAGTAGCACCACGCCCGTAAAAACCGGATTTCCCGGGTCGGATTTTACAATTGTGGCGGGCTACACTATTGTGTTCCGGCAGCGGGATTTTACAATTGCGGGTGGATCCACTAATGTGAAGTCAACATTATTCAGGAGCTGTCCATGCCCCAGCACGAGAAGGCGGCCATCCGCCACTCCTGGAATGCCTTCCAGAAGGCATCTGCGTCCACGAGAGCAGAGCGGAGAGGAATGGTTCTGATGCTGTTTACCTGCATGAGCCTCTCCCACGGCGAGTGTGTCGGACACCGCAACAGCCACAGGGGCCTAAGAGTCCCAGCACCTTGAACACCTTGCAACCCGCCCGCTTCTGGCCGTTTCGGTCACCGAACATCTCAAGCCCCTGAACCTTTTTGCGGCTTTCTCTCTTGTCCCACGTGCATCTTTTTGTCCGACGAGAATCCGCATGGTCCATCTGATACGCCCCCACCCACGATGACATCCATCCCCCTCGTACTCCCACGCACAAGGGCGAATCCCAAGCCCTAATCCGAACCCCACTACTACGGAGGAACGGGGGAGCGAAGCTCCACATGAAGGAGCTTCAAGCGGTGCAGTGGCTCGAGCCCTCCTTTTCACAACCCAAAAGGTTGCTCGCGGAAACCATCCGTCCCATGCGGCATGCATCTGTGGAGCCGACAGAAGGCGAAGATGCAAATCCTTGATGCCCACAGGTCTAGGCAGTCGAGGCCTCCTCGCCGATTGCCCTCCCAGGCGCTTGGAGACAGCGAGGCCGTCGGGGACGCCATCTATGGCTTCTTGACTGGCGCCCTGAGCTCTGAGAAGGACGCAGCAAAGCTAAGTTCCCCAAACTTGCGCATCCCCCTAAGGAGGATCCCGATCAGCTCCGCGTCAAGGGCTTTTTTGAGAAGGCTTTGTTTGCATGACTTACTCAAGGGCCAGAGAGTCTGGGATGCAGTTCTTCGGCTTTTGGGCTCGCGACATTCTGGGCATCCCTTCGGGCCCCGGCGCCAGGACAAGTTCACGACGCCCCGCGCCGTGCTGTGCCTGGCTCTCTTCAACGGCTTCCGCGTGCTTTCGGACACGAGTGGGGGGACAATTGCACAGATACCTAGAGAGGGCCCATTCCGGCCCCTTTCCTTTTGAACTTTCTGCCTGGAAACCCCCCATGTCCCATGTGAGGACAAGCTGGACGATCCCGCAGCGCTGTTCACCTTTGTGGAGATCCTGGGGTTGCTCGTCATTGCTCGTCATTGCGCATGCTCCCGGTAACTCCTTCAAAAGCATTAAGAAGCCGACACCGAGGTTCAAGCATCTGACCTTTGGAGTGACCATGGCGCAGACCTCTGCCGTGAGCGATGCCTTTATCGAGATTCTCACGCAGCAGGCCGGTGCTTTGTTTGTTTGGGGAAGTGAGCCCAGGGTATGGTCCGGGACTATCAGAGTCTATCAGAGTCTATCACATATCATCCTGCCTGACGTCTAGGCGTCTTGCCAAACCTTAAGCCGAAAGGGACCCAACAAGAAGTTCGCATGTGCCCCTTCAGCGCCCCAAGTCTTGCTTTCGCTTCTTGGCCTTTTTTGCGATTCGTTACAAGCCGTATCATAAGACTCGGCCCCACGGGAGACTTCACGGCCCCAGAAGTTGCCGCAACGTGGGGCTGTGGCTGATTTGACGAACGGGAGCTGCTGCCAACACACTGCTGTGGGGACAAGCTGGTTCAGCTGCTTCAGCTGAGCAAAAACGCGCAATCCAAGGTGCTTCCCCCCCACTTTCAAAAAGGTGACTGAATCTTATTGCATTTGATCTCAGAAATCTCCGAAGGTGCAGGGCCAGGAGCTGGTGCCCGGAGCCATCCAGGCGCGTTTCCTGACGTGCACGCGCATTGAGCATCATTGAAGCTACTTGCATCGCAGAGAAGTCCTTTCGAGATCGCTTCTTCTCGGACCGCCTCCCTTACCGCTGTTTCAAACCCTTGAAACCCTAAACCCTAAACCCTAAACCCGAAACCCTAAACCCTAAACCCCAAACCCTAAACCCTAAACCCTCCCCCGCCCGCCCGCGCCCAGAGGCATGGCGCAACCTGCTTTTCTGGGTGGGCAGCTGCCTCCGCTACATCAGCGTCACCTACTCCAGGCACGTGTGGCCGCGTAAGAAGCCACAGAACCCCAAGATAACCCCACGGAGAGATTCTTGGAGAGTTACCTTCTCCGCTCCGAGTAGCTTGGCCCCGATGTCAGAGGTTCCAGCAGCTTTTGCAGGGAGGGCATGTCAGTCTCTGAAGACTCAGGCGGCTGGAGCTCATCGGCGAAGACTGGAAGGCAATTCAGGAGCCCTGCAAAGCGTTCGCCATGGCAAAAGAGCATAAAGAGCTTGCGCCAAAAGCTGGCTTTTGTGTCTGCGTGCAGGAGGCCAGCAACTCCAACGAGGAGGAATCTGCTGTGCGCAGCTTTCCCAAGATGCCTGCCTAGAGTATCCGTTCCAAGATCCTAGAATCGGTTGAAGAGCACTTGATCCAGACCAGGAGAAAATTTCCGACCATGTCCTGTAAGTTTCCCAGGCATTCCCGGACAAGTGGCAACGTTGCAACACAAATCGCCCTCGGCACTAAGGATGTGCGCCTTCAGCAACGAAGTCATGGGGGAGACGCTGGATGCCTGGATGCACGAGCTCTTGAAGGTCTTCGAGGCGCATACCCAAGTGGACGGCACTTGCTCTCATGTTGAGGTTCTAGGTCAGCTACATTGAGAGTAGCCAGTTTTACACCGGTCTTGCACTTCTTGTAAACAACTTGTTTTTTTGCAATTGTTGCCATTGCAACACATCTTGCAAGTGCAGTTGCTACCCTGCATTACTACAAGTACTACGGTCACCATCGCTACAACGATTGCGATGAGCGTGGGGGGACGAGCACCATGATGCGCCTTGGAGGGGGGGTAGGGGAGGGGGGTTACGGGGTGGGGAGGGGGCAGGCAAAAGTGGCTCAAGCAGACCTTTTTTTCCGGGAGAGGACGGGCAGGAGGGGTTTTTTGGGGGTGGGGCTGTGGGGTCGGGGAGGCATTGCCGGGGGTTGGCAGCGCAGAGCAGCCAGATTACTTGCCATGCAAAGGCAAAGGGCTTCCCCGGCACCCGAGCCCAACAGCGGGCTCGGCGGATTATGGTTATTAGTATTTTCTTAGATTGCCCCTGCAGTGCTTGGATTTACGATTATACAATTGTTGCAATCCTTGCTATCAGTAGAAGTGTTAGTATCATGGGTCAGGTTCGGATCCGACAGCCAAGGAACGTCAGACAAGGTTTACTTTCTTGGGCCGGAATCGTTTCCGAAGCTGCTTGCTTCGGTTTTCGTTATGGGGGTATCACGAGACTTCATCTCAGAAACTGAATCATGTTTCGTCAAAGGTATGTGCATGGTGCATGGGCCCGTGCTTGTCAGGTGCTGGTCAGCCAGGCGAACAACCCCTCGCTTCTGTCGCTTCGATATGTAGAGCAAATGGGACGGGGCTTTTCGCTCCTACACGTTCATGCTTATGGCCTAGCAGTTCATAACGAACTGGTCTTCAGACGGCATTCCCAAGCCTGTCGTAAGGCTGGAGGAGTGCGACTTGCTGTCCATCACCATCGTCAACCTCTCGAACGGTGGGGACATCCAGTTCGATCGCTTCAAGCCCGTGATGCTCGCGGCGTTGAGGTCTCTGCTGCCGAAGACGTGGTCCATGGAGCACGAGACTGCTTGGCAGTGGCTGTGGAAGACGATCGCCACAAACCTCATGGAGGCAACCATGAAGGTCCGCTCCTACAAGCCCTGGAGCACCAAGCTGTATGGAGCAATCAAGGATGAGCAACGGGAGAGCTTCCGCTCGGACATCTACACCGACTTCTTTGCCAAGTGTGGCATGAGCCAGGAGTTCTTCAAGCAGTCGCAGACCCGGCTGCGCTACATCGCCGACCGCATCCTGGCGAGTGCCTACGACATGCTGCACAAGCCGGCTCCTGCCCTTAAGGCAATGTTTCAGGGTCTGTAAATATCATATCAAAATCGACGTAATCCGTGATCAGTACGAATCCTGCGAAAGGGGATGATTCTCGAGGCGATTGTGGTAGGAGATCACCAAGAGATAAATTAAAGGATGTCACAAAGGTCCTGTTTTGTTTAATAGGGCAGCAGCCCCATGGAGCTCAGATCTCCAAAAGAGGGCCCCGTCAGTTTCGTTGTAGGAAAAAGCAAATTCGTGTTCAGTTGTCTTCAGCAGGAAAAGAGGGTTTAGACCTCAGGTTCAAGAGATGGTGGACGAGCTTTCGGCCCTTGGCCTTCGGCACGTGGGCTATGGCGTCCCTGTGGAGCTGTTTCTCAGCTTGCATCTGTTCGACATCGCGTGTTTTTTCTGAAAGCCCACTCGGAAAAGATGCACATGCAAGGTTTGCCCCTTTCACCGACACCATTGTGCTCACGATGAAGCCCATTGTCGCAAACTTGGCCGACGAGGTCACCATTGTGGCGGAGGCGCGCTGCAGACGAGCGCACCTGAGCGGGACATCTTGTCGTTCCTTTTGGGGCATGTTTTGGGTTCCTTGCATGTAGGTTACACTGTTGCACGGGATGCCGCTTGTGAGCACGGAGAAGCGTGTGGCCTGGTGTATCGTGCGACAGCATCAGGCTCTTGGGCCGCTTCGGCTCGCGCTCTGCAGCGAAAACGGCCGAAGTCGCCCAACAGCTCCCAAAGTCCCAAAGCTGAAGGAAAAACGTCGTACACGCCTGAGTCTTCAGGGATCCCACAGCCCTGAAGGCCCCCTGTCGGCGCCGCCTCTTGCGCTCCAAAGACCCTTCAAAGTAAAAGACAGGGGCCGTCACTTTGAGGAGGGGACGCATGAAAAAGGGGTCTTTCATGTTCCGGCCCCTCAAATGAGGGGATGTGAAGCTCAGACCTCCTGCTTCGGGACACGTGGCTTCGCCCTGTCTTTGGCGCCTAGCATGCCCTGGCAAAGCCTTCAGGTTTGGGGGGGCCAGCTTGGCCGCTTGGCCACTCTTTGGGGCACCTCCCTGGGCTGAATTTTGCAGGCTGCCAGATCCAACTGTCACTGGCTGGAGGACCTTTTTGGGTTCAATAGTCACAGGTTCCGCAGCGATGGGATTACGATACAACATGAGGGTGTGAGCAAGATCGGCATGGTGGCATGTCAACCGATGATTTGTGTGGTGTTGCCGGGTTATTCAGGGTTACTCGAACTTCCAAGATGGTTTCTTAAAGGCTACAATGCACGGAACGATTGACAGTTTTCTAGAGCTGCCACGGCATATGGAAAGTGGCCCCGAATGCAATGCTCAGCTTGGCACCAGGACTTCAACGTCCCTGACAAGATGATGCTCGATGGATTTCGTTGGTCCCTAGGCGAGCTGGAGCGAAGCGTCTGTAGTTAGGCTTCGCGCCGCCCTCAGAAGTAGGATGGGTGCTGTTCCGTTTCATGGAGGCACAGGGAGCGAAGGATTTGTTTCTAAGCCATTCTATGTGGTGTCCTCGTTGTAGGATCTCTCATTCCAGTGATGCTGCTCGATTTGAAAATCGAGACCAAAAACTGCGAGGTTCCCCCAACATGCGACCCCCGCTTGTCTGGGCTTACCCGTAAGAATTCACGAAGTTTCGGGGCCACAAGAACTCCAACGAAGGAGCGGAAGGCCCGAAGGCCCGGAATCCTTGAGCCCTTGCAGCTCAGATTTGCCAACAAATTATGTGGTTTCGTTGCTTCATACAAGAAAACCTTTTAGAAACGACATGCGGTGCGAATCGAGGCCTCCCCAAACGATTCTTCAGCAGGGGAAATAAGGTTTATCCTATCCAGGAAAAACATTCGGGGAGGGTTAGGAACGGTTAGAGGGAGTCGCAAAGAAGCAAAGGTTACAAAGGCTTGGACTGAAGCTTCAAGCCTCTGGCCTGAAGCTGTGCCCCTTAAATCTGATTATTCAGCTTCCAGAAAAAGAGAAGAAAACCTATAACTTTGCAAGAAACAGGCGGCAGGGCAACACTTCGTGGGGGATTCCGTGAGAAGCATGGGGCCCTTAATGGGCGGTCTGCAGAAGCAAAAGTGGAATTAAATGGCTCCCCCAGTGCTTGTGTAGGAAAACACCTGTGTACATTGTGTACATTGGCTCAATGCAAGTTACGATCTTGGTCACGTTGCAGGCCTGGTTGCTCGAATCCTGATGCGGACCATTACCGAAGGGTCCACATCGGTCATGCAGGCCATGAAGCACCAAAACTTCCACTCTCGGCTTTTCCCGTTCATGTTTTTGGACTTCGCAACAGCTGTGGGGGAACGTTAGTGTTTCTCTGCAGAATGCACGCCATTGTAGGCCATCAACCACGATGACCACCGCCAGATCACAAAGGCTTTCTGGCTGTGATGCGAGGCATTCTTGGGGGGCAGACTCTGTTGCAGGCCTGAGGAGCTCACTTTGTGGTACTTTACTGTAACTTTAGATCCTTAGCCTTTTTGGGTTTATTGGGTTTCTTAATAAGGCAGCTAAAATTTTAATTTTTAGCTACCCTTCTGAGTGTAGCCAAGCTCAGAGAGGAAGAGGCTGTCACACCTTCCTTTCTTGAACCTGCGCTGAGGCTTTGAACGACTCGCCGCGATTCGACAGGGCTCGATGGCAGCTGCGCGTGCGCGTGGGCACGTCACCTGTCCAGTTGTTTCCGCAGTCTGATATCAATCTGTACAGGCTGGGTGTGTGTAGATTAGAATTGTGCAGAATCCGACAGCTTCCTACATTTGGCATTCAGGGGGTGTAAGCATCTGCGGCCCATGAGCAGCCGGAGAGACTGTTGCCTCACCACAAAGGCAGACCATCAGCCCACTTCACTATGCCCTTCGCAGCGGCAGCCATCAGCGTCTTGCATCAATGTCCCGTTGTGCTCTGCAGAGCTGAGTGCCTGTTGCCGGTAAGGCTTGGAAGCTTCGGGACTCTGAGGTTCACGAATATCTGTGAGGAGTTGTGCGGGAGTTTCTGTATGTAGCGGTATTGTAGTCTTCGTCGAATGATGCTGACACCGGTGCTTTGTGGCTCGGTTTCTTGGACGCTGGTGCCGTGGAGCGGGTATCTGAACGGAGCACAGGTCGGCAAAGAAGATGATCGAGGATGTGTTGACCATCCGCGCGGATCGCCAGCGGTGACCCGGAGATTTCGCAGATTTAGCACTCGTGCACTGGTGGATCCCTCCTGCTAATCCTCACCTTTCATGGTGCTTAGGGTTTAGTGTGAAGCCGGGAGACGCGGTGTTTTGTGCGTTGTTAATTGTAAACGTTTGCGCGCGCCGCCTCGGCAGCCGGGCCGGCCCAGAGCATGCAGTATGTGGAAATGACGCCTGGAAGTTGGTTGCGCTGGTGGGGGGCAAAGGGGGGGTAAGGGCGGGGGGGGGAGGCAGGGGGGGGGGGAGCAGCAGGGTTTCGTGCATTTTGAGCCCTCCCTTTGTAGGAGCCGCCAACAGGCGGGACCCTCCACGGCATCGGTTTGCAGCTGCTCCAAGCGATCGGGGTGGGTTACGGGGAAGGAGACCGGATCCAGGTCTGCTCAGACCTTCTCGGCAGGAAGCCGAGGCGAATTGAGTGTGCATCTTAACCGCCATAATGCCATGTGCATTGCGCCTCATGGCTCTGAAACAGTGGGCTTTGAGTGCAAGCAGCCAACTGAGCAGCTATCTGAAGCTCGGTGCCAGGTCTTCTCTCGGTGTAGGTTGGCTGCCTTCATTCCAAGTACAATCTACTCCAGCACACAGAGAGTACCCAAAGGCCCTTCCCCCTGCCCTGCGACAGCCGGGCAGCTACCGTCATAGGGGGAAGTGCGCCAGAGGTACTACTACGGCGTGGACGAGCTCTTTAACTATCAGCCGGACGTCGCCGAACACGTCTGCAGCGAAGCGCCCTTCCTGGCCATGGAGATGCTCGAGGGCTTCTTGGCGCGAACCGCGCGTGCTCTGTGTGGTGTGGGCGTGTGCGTGTGGCCGCAGGGTCTGGGGTGGTAGGGGTGGTCGGGTGGTAGAGTGGTAGGGAGGTAGGATGGTAGGGTGGTAGGGTGGTAGGGCGGTGGTGTTGTGTGTCGGGGTTTGTCTAAGCCAAGTGCTCTCGATCATCCATCCCGTTTTTTCCTGACACTCACCTTAAACCGGGCGCAAATTTTTCCCCCAAGGATTGGTATGGAGATCACACAAATCCCACGATGGCATGCGATCCGTGATCTACTACTTGCAGCACCTCCTGCAGGACCCCAGTGTCTATCAAGCAGACTGCCATCATGGCATTGTTGCTCATCTGTGCTTCTTCTGCTCGCCACCACTGACAGACGTCCACTCAACACTGCCACGAGTCAGGGAGTTTTGGGCTGGCCTGTCAAATTGAGATGAAGAACTGCTACTGCTTGAACGAATTCTTGCCGGAAACGCAGCTGGAGGCTGCTCATTTCTCATCCCAAAACATCAGTGCGAGCAGTTTTAGTCAGAACAGCTGGATAGACATCCACCCAGCCGTCTGAGAAAGGACCGGGAGACCCCTACATTCGGGACATGATTCGATAAAGCATGTGAAGCCCTCTGCGGAGACAGGTACTCTAATGCCCTAGCCCATTCCACCTCCTCTTGCCTCATGGTGTGGGATGAAATGTTGTGCAGACAGGTGGCATGTGTTCTGTGTCTGCATGTCCGATTCCGTTTCGGGCTTTCCTCTGTAGCATCGCAGGACACGGCGGAGGACTCTACCCTATCTCGGTCCTTGAAGACGTTCATCAGCTTCAAAGATGCCAAGATCATTCAGCACCTGTGCCTTAAGCTGTGGGTCCATGTATTCGAGCAGTGTCTTTTAAGCTCTTGAAGGGCACGGCGGGCAGTTGCAAGTAGTTCGACGTGCACAAAAACGCTCTGACACAGAGTCCATCCAAGCCTGCCGTATGCAGTGACCTGCTAGCCCGCTAGTGATTTTGGAAGCACCCTTGAACGGCCTTGCTACAGATGCGCGCTCTAACACACCACCTTCGTCATGTTCCTTGTGTTCCGGACAGTAAAATGGCATCCTCGTAAGGCGTGGATCGTCTCATCAAAGGGATCATGCATGCACTGCATGCGGCTTGTAGTCCTCACAGTCGCGGCAGTAGCGTTGAAAACAATTTGTCGTCACCACCGTTTTATCCAATTCTCTATGAGGCATCCAATCATGGTCTTCTGCACGGACTTACTGTGGAGCCGTCTGGTGGTGAAAGTTTTCCTGTGCGACCGGTGCTGGACAGGTTTTACCTTCGTCATCTACATCCTGTCGCAGTGCTCACTGAACCAGCCCCATTTTTTGGAGAACCCCGTGCTGCGAAACGTCTTGGGCGCTGCCCGCCTGCTCGTCTACATTTGCGGCTTGGGGCGGCTGCTTTACTGGCACTGCCGGGAGACGTGCAAAGCATCACAACGACGGGACATGGTCAAGTTTGGGCGCCTTTCCATCCCTGCCTACTGGGGAGAGCTCGAGCATCGCATCAGCCTGGCTCTGTTGGCCGTGCTGGTGGGTATGTTCCCCGCCTCGCACATTTTTTAGCCCGCTGGTCCCCTAAGTGACATCTCGCACTTCAGGGACGTCGTGTGACTGTGACAAGAAGTTTTTGGTTCAAAAGACTTTAGCGGGGCTAGCCAAGGCTCTTTGTGGAGCCAATGTTTTATTGCTTCGGCTCGAACGACGTCGTGGAGTTCGCTTGCCCTGCATATACCGATGGAATGCACATGGTCTACCAACTTTTCTCCGGCCTGGGCGTCTTCCTGTGCCTTGAAGCAACCGTGGAAAAAACCCTTTTCTTGAAGTTACACAGGCATCTGCGTGCGTGCATTCATGAGGCCTGAAGTTTCACACGTACCGAACCCGAAGGAGCTAAGCGGCTCCCTAAGACACAGCAGGTTCTGCTCGATGATCCTCGACCTTGCGGCGCTGAACATCCGAATGGCAGCCTACAAGGTCCTGTGTGCACAGGCGATGGATCAGGCCTCTCCAAGGGCTGTTCTTTTCGTGTCGAGTTTTCCGGGGCATTCTGCGCGTTCTCAGGGCTTGGTGTGCTCCACTTTGGGTGCGAGCACCCCATGATGGCGGTCGGCTACGGTACGCTCATGAGAAGTAGAACATGCGCGACACTTCCTGGAGTCAAGCGATGGGGTGTGTTGTCAGGATGAACAGGGATCAGTTCTCAGAATGCGTGACGATCGCTTCGAACCTGTTGTCAGCATCGTAGGCCGGAGCACTGACGCAGTCCCAGCGGCCAAGTTGCAGGGGCGATCCCAGAGACCTTCGTCTAGAGTTCTCCGTGTCCTTTCACGAGTCCTCAGACCTCCTCGGACCTCCTCGGACCTCCCCGGACCTCCTCCGAACTCCTCCGAACTCCTCGGACCTCCTCGGACCTCGGACCTACTCGGACCTCCTCCGCGCGATCACCATACAGCGAACAGAGGACAGAGGGCTCCTTTTCGAGAGTCACTTAAGGGCGATCCTGAAGCCTCCGTAGAGTTCGGAGCATGTGTGGGCATGTTTGGGCCATGGTCTACTCAAAGAGCCCTCAGCAAAACGAGAGCCCTAAAGAACCGTCCCCTCAGCCCTTCGATGCTCAGAAAAACATCCCACAAGCATCCCCCCCGAAATCGTGCAGCCATGTGCAACCTTCGAGTTGCGCAGGTGGTGATGTGCGGCATCGCGCTCCTGGTCACAGTCGCCGCTCGGCCGGTGGATTTGGGGCCGCCATCCGGTGTCCGACAGAGAGCATCGAGTTTAGGGTTTTAGGGTTCATCCCTGATCAATGTAAAGCTGTTCTTCCACGCCACCTTGAAGCTTTGGGAGATGAGACAAGGTCACCTTCACCTTCGTCATCAGCTCTCTGTCCCGGGAGACGCAGAACATCCAGACGCAGGACCCCGAAAGTTCTCAGAAACAGCCGAAACACGAGAAAGAGACATGAGAGTGACGCGGTGAAGCTTGTGAAGCATGCGAAGCCTTATGAAGCATGTGGAAGCTCTGCGGGGGTCCTGCCAGAGTTTCATGGTTGCAAGGTCAACCAAAGTCAAGGCATCTGACTGCTGCCCGAAGGACTGGAAATCCATGGACGGAACCATGCTTGCCCTGATGCAGACACTAGGACACAAGGTTCGGGTGATGCGGACTCGGGAGGCTTCACGCTTGGTACAGTATGTGGTGGACGACGGGAGACTGACAATTCAAAGTTCCTCCCATCTGCTCCCTTTGGACAGCTTTCCTCTAAAGACGCTTTCCTGACCCAAGGATTGCCTTTGGCCTCTTCAGCATGGAGTCGATGTCCGCTCTTGCACAGGACCGTGCTGGTTTCACTGTACCGCAATACGTCAAAAGGGCTGCTTTCAGGAGCCAGGGGACCCTGGTCTAGAGGGCTTCTCAGAGTCTCATATGAAGGTCTTCGCGCTTTAGAGTGCTCCGCCGTGGGAGGAAAGTGGCCTGATCTTCGCTTGCGTCCTGCTTTACAGCATCGCCGTTTATACTTGCCTCTTCAATCTGCTGGTCTCGCAGCCCCTGGGCTTTGATGGGTGTGGCGGGTATGCTCGGTGCACAGAAGCCGCCACTTTGCCTCGTACATGAAGTCACAGTGGGATGTTCGAAGACATTTGAGGTTCTGCGGCATCTACATGGCGCTGGCGGAAGACATCGAGGGTCATGCGCGACTGGTGCGAGGGCACATTATCCTGACCGTGTTGAAGGAGACCACACTTTGCGGCTTTGAGGGTTTGGTTTGGGAGACTTTCGAGTGTCTTTTTTCCAGCGTTACACGGGGAAACTCAGCATACTCAACTTCGCAGCCCTGACGTCAGGCGTAGTGGAGACCTGAAAAGAGATCCCCCCGAAATAACCGGACACCAAGAGTCCCTTTTGCGGAGTCCTCGAACTTGAGAAGGGGGAGCCGATATGCAGAGCTCACCCACACAACAGGGATCCTGGAGTCCTTTTCAGGCTCATTTGGGATTTACGACTGTAAGGGACCCAGGACACTAAGCCTTTTTGAGGACATCCAGCTGAAGAAGTGGCAGGCTTTCATCTCCTCCCTGCGCCTGGATGCTTGGACAAACCTCGGGGGCAGCAGTAGATTTTATCTTTGGGCTTCCTGGATGCCCCGCCATTTTTGTCGATTCTTCCCCCCCCCAAAAAACAAGAAAACAACAACAAAAGAAAAACAGAAAATAGCCAGCCCCCAGAAGCAAAGGATCTGCGGACCGACTTCGCAGAGGGAGACACTGGCCTTCCGGGTGGGATCAAGAAGCTTGGACGGCAGTGACCGCAATGAACCGCAAAGACCGCAAAGGTCGGGTCGCCTTTTTTCTCGGAGTATCCGTAGACCCTAAACCCTAAACCCCAAACCCCAAACCCTAAACCCTAAACCCTAAACCCTAAACCCTAAACCCTAAACCCTAAACCAACACCCAAAATTTCTCTGTGCTTCTTCGAGGATCCAGGAGCCGGCATACCTGCATCCGGTGGCACATGACCAGATTCTGCGGTTTGGAGGCGGAAGAAGCCGAATGAAGCAGAAAGCCCGCCCGAGAAAATGTGCCCCAGGATGCCTCTTTTTCAGTTGCTGCCCTGAAGCCACACACTTGCAACGAAAAAACGTGCCCCAGTGTGTGGGACTGTAGGATAAGATCCGGCAGGGCTCCGGTTTCGAGGATACCCGTTTTCCTCGTGCCCCCATCTCAAACAATATTAGAGCTTCTTTGGGGACCGCGGTACACCTCTGTTCTCGGAGGCAAGACGGATCCGTCTCTCCCCTGGCCGGAGAAGGACAACGGCCAGGATGAAACCATGGAGGCGATGGTGGAGAGAACCGTCCTCAAGCGACTTGGGAGAAAATGTGGATGTCGCACTCTTCCTAGATCACGTGTCACGGTGTTTCTGTGCGGTATAGCCTACACCCCATGAATGCTCGAGCGCGGGGGCGTCGCAACAGTCGGTGCCGCCCCAAACCCTGCAGCCCTGCAAAACCGTGCAAACCCTGCAAACTCTGAAAAACCCTAAAATTACCTAATAGCACCCAGCAAACTCGGCAAACCCTACACCCTGCAACACTTCACACTTCTCCTTCCTTCCTCCCCCTTCCTCCTGAGGAGCGTCAAGAAGGCCCTTGGCCAGAGTGGCAGCGAGACCCATAATACTGGCACCTCGCGCCACACTGACAGCAGCGTCCACAGTCACTCTGAAAGTGACTTGGGAGGAAGCCGATATTAATACATGTTAAAGGAAGCGCGTTGTGTTTTTTGTCAGTGGTAACAAAACGGAGAGTGTGGAGTTCTTTTTTTTGCTTAATTTTTTCGTCAGAAGTTGCCGGAGGACTTCAGGATTCTGCCCCTGAGTTGTGCCGGCATTGTTGCTCCAGTTCATGACAAGTTCTCACAACAAAGGTCAGGGCCCAGCGGTGCAACTGTAAGCATTGGGTGGGCTGAGCACGGTTCATGCCAAATCTCCTCTGAGCAAGTACTCTGACCTAAGTGTAGTGGAGCCTTTGGGGATCTCTTGCAGGGCCTGAGGAGATTTGGCTCAGCCGCGAGTAATTCGTTTTGTGAAGCTGTTGGCTGAGGGGGGTAATACCTCTCAGAGATTCTGAGGTCTCTGAGGCGTTGCAGTCTCTGCACGACTCCCCTCTGAAATTGCACGCCCTTTTCAAGCCAGTGTTCTCATGACTGTCACGACTTTGTGCCAGAAACCTTCATTTCACAGATGACTTCCTGATCGGGAAGGTGCATCTTCAATCTATCAACCACGAGACGTTGCGAAAGTGCTTTCTGAAGATTGCAAATAAACGTCCCTTCGCAGCTCCTAGAGCAGCTCGCGTAAGGGAGGAGTTCATGCATCAATGGAATCGTGTTACTTGGCAACGAAGCCTCCCTAAACCTTCATTTTTTGGGGTTGCGGTTTTTGCGCCTGATGCATGAGCCAATTTAAGAGCATTCTCGTCTACCAGCAGCAGAAAGTGGTGGCAGACTGACCATTCTGAATTGGTCGCTCTGCCAACGGACACGCCGCCGCATACACTCAATTTCAATGCAGTGGACGCCCCCCCGGAATGCGAATTTATAATCAAAGACAGGCCCTAGTGCTGTAGGCTTGGTGATGGTGTCGTATCATGTTGTCACCAGTCGATCGCAACTTGCCAATCTTGCCTACGTACACGCTTTCCAGCTCAGGCAAGGAGCATATACAGTACCACTGCTGGGTAGCGGCATTTAGCAGGCCACCATGAGTGGTAACTCGCGATGCGATAGGCAGCTAAAGATGTGTGCCTTCCCACAAGTTGGGAAGCTCATGGCTTTTCCTCACGTAGCTCATGGAAAAGAAGGACGTAGCTACGGCAGAGAGTTATTGTGAAGAGACCTCTGCCCTCGTAGTGTTGTGGCTTTGAGCATGCGAGGCATGCGCTCATGCTGGGAACTGCCTAATTAACGGTCGGACTAGGCCCCTCCCCTCCCCCCAGCCCCCACTTTGCTCGGACTTGAGAAGCTCTTGGATGTCTCAGCACTGGGTTGAGGATGAGAGGGGCCAATGGTCGGCACGGTCAGCACGTTCCGAAACTTGCTTGGTGTGCAAGGGAATGCAAGTTTCAGTGCTTCAGCGCGTCAGCTTGGAGGGCTGACGGAAGCTGTGCTTGAATTCGGCGTTGCGGGAGCAGAACTGAGGCAACATACCAGTCGTGGAGTCTACTGACAGGCCATGCGGCTGTTATCCCATCGCTGTGCTTCTCTGAAATGTCTACAGCATGCCTATAAGGGGAGGGAGATTTCGTGAAGCTGAGGTTCTTACGAATCCGAGTATGTTGTCAAGTTCAAAAGTCCTGGAGACTTCGAGCTCCTTCGGAAGCCGACTGTACTCAGTGTACTCCCAGCTTCGCAGCTTCGCATCGGCCCAAGGCCGGCGTTTCTGCGAAGCCGTTTCGAAGGTTCCCTGTCTAGCGAGTGCGCGAGCAGCGAAGACAATGTGTGCGCTGCCCCTATGACTTGGACCCCAAGAGCTCAATGTCGGCTCTGGGGCCTGTTCCCTTATCGCAATGTGCAGCCATTTGCAGCCAGTGCGGCCAGTAGCGTCTTGCGAAGTGTGCGAACATTCGACCACGCTGTCAAAGTCAGAGGCCAATTTGAGGGGTTTCTTGGAGCAATGCAGAGGCCTCAGCCTCTGCTGAGATTTCGAGCGCAGCTCTGCTGGCATAATGCCAGGATGGTCAGGGGCGAGTTGCAGAACTTCAGAGCAGACGCTCACAATTCAACGGTAGGGCCCCCACCGATTCTCCAACTGTGGCTTTTACTCCAAGTCGCGCAAAGTGAGGCGGTGGTAGCTCGGTGGCCATTTTGGCACAAGCCTGCCCTGCCAGAAAATCCAAGCGCATGCACCGCAGGATTCGGCTGAGGTCGCTAAGGGGCGAAGACGGCGGAAAAAGCACCAGAAGAACCAGAGAACCTGAGCAATTGCAAAGCCAGTGCTGATGGATGCAGTGCGCTCTGGCTGCTGCACCAGATCTTCAAGGTCATTCTTTCTTCATACAGTTTGTGAGGATGAAGAAGGCCCAGGGTCCACAACACACGGCGGCCAAGAACAGGGCCGAGAACAGGCAAAGCGTTTGATCTCCATGAACCACAGAGGGGATGAGAGATGGGGAAACAGGGGCACAGGCGCTCCATGTGCGCTAGCATCCCAAGTTGCATCATCTTGCGCGCCCTGCTGCGCTTGCTCCGAAGAAGTAGGTAGCTCAAGCCCAAGTCCATTTGCACCGCCTATCCTGTTCCTTTTGGGAACGCGCGCGCCCTTTGCTCCTTGGCTGTTGAGGGAGTCTTCTCTATGTGTGACGGTTCGAAGGCATCCGCATAGCAAGCATGGCGCTATCCTGCGCTCCATGTCGATGTTGCGAGAGCTTCACGGCATCTCACGGGATCAATACGGTCCACTGGCAAGTAACCCCAGGCATGAAGCTGAGGTTTCCTGCGCGATGGCAGGCTCCAGCATCGTGGACGAGGTGGCCGAGATGGAGGATGCCCATTGGCTTGCATCCTTCCAGTCCAATGGGAAACTTTTCAAGATTTCTACTTGTAAAGATTTCTCCGCTGGACAAATAAGGCAACAGACGAAATCCCCGAGGACGAATCGATGGCATCAGAGATCTCCCCCATCAGCGGGGCGAACACGAACAACGACAGCTCCTTGGCCTTAGGTGGGGAATTTAGGGTTTAGGGTTTAGGGTTTCGGGTTTAGGGAACAGGCTTGCGTTGTGCCCCAAGCCTCGTTGCGTCTGCGACAATGTAAATCTATGATCTCTAGATGAAAGGGTTCCTGAACGTAGTCTGCGGTGCATGCGGCTGATACCGCATGCTCGCCAGGAGCCTGTGGCAAAGAGCCTGGTGTGAGTGTTCTGTCGCCTTCCAGGCATTCTTGGCGAGAAGTTTGGCAAGACCATGGAGGAGCTTTGTATGGGGCTTGGGGCTTGGGGGCGGGCAAGGGGTTGAGAGACCCCCCTCCCCCCCCTCCAAATACCCCCCCGAAGGAGCTGTCCATGGCTCCGCATGAGAAGGTGGCCATCCGCCAGTCCTGGAGCTCTTTCCAGAAGGACGGAGACCTCCTTGTTGCGGGACCTCCCCAAAGGGGGGGGGGCGGGGCGCTCCGGTTCTAAAGGGCAGCTGCTTCTAGGCTTTTGTGGCTTTGGGGCGCTTTTCGTTTCGCAGTGTTGGCCTCCCATGCCTCTGAAGGCAGATACCGGGGCGCTCTGGGGAGCCCTGAGCTTGTTTAAGGTCTCCCTGAACCCCCTGTTGCAGCCCCTGTTGTAGCCCCAGCCACCACCAGGCGCTTGGAGACAGCGAGGCCGTCGGGGACGCCATCTACGGTGCCTTGACTGGCGCCCTGAGCTCTGAGAAGGACGCGCCCCAAAATCCCCCAAACTTGCGCATCCCCCCCAGGATCCCGATCAGCCCCGCATCAAGGGTTTTTGAGAACGCTTGTCTGCATGACTGCATGACTTACTCAAGTGCCTGAGAGTATGGGATGTCGTTCTTCTGTTGGGTTCTTGGGCTCAGAGCTGCCTATTTTTGCAAGCTGCATGAAGCTGCCCAGCGGGTCGGCACATCGAAGTGCAGTAGACACACGACCCCCTTGGCATCCCTCGGCCCCCGGCGCCAGGACAAGTTCACGACGCCCCGCGCCGTGCTGTGCCTGGCTCTCTTCAACGGCTTCCGCGTGCTTTCGGACACGAATGGGGAGAAACCAACACAGTTACCTAGAGGGGGCCCATTTTGGCCAGAGAAACCCCCCCGATCTGTGAAGGTCCCATGATGTCCCTTGAGGACAAGCTGGACGAGCCCGCCGCGCTGTTCACCTACGTGGAGATCCTGGGGTAGCTCGGATGGGTTTCTTTTTTTCCTGCACGCTTGCGGTGCTTGTGTGGTGGTCCTTTGGCCGGAGCTCGGAGCGTGCGCGCACACACATACAAGGTTTGCCTGTTGCGGCGCAACAGTTGTCATAGTAATAGAGCGCCCGCGAAAACATGGGAGCTTCCATCGTGAAAAGAAAAATTGGAGCAGATAGCAGTGGCTTCCCATCAGCCTAGCGAAGAAATCGAGAGGCCTTCCAAGTTTGAGTCTGAAGATGCAAAGACCCCGCTTCGGCGTGAGGCTTCTCGAGTGAAGACCGCAACTTCCGAAGCCGCCACTGTTTGGGTACTTTGTCGATGTGAAGGGGGCATGGGACGGGTGGAGGGGGGAAGGTCGGTCGCTGTGGATTTCAAAGAAGAATCGCGTTGAATTTCAGTTTTTGACGGGGAGACCCTCGATTTGACGCCACCATGTGTCCACCAGACTTGAAAGGTGCGCCTCCATTCGCCTTTATGTTTCTTTGGGAAACCTCGACGTGTGTTTTTGTCATCTCAAATGTGAGGGAAGGTTTATGAAGGTTTGTGATTTCTTATCATGCAAGCTGCTAGCTGCTTGGGGTTCCTCAATGCCTTGCCTCTGCTGGCCCGCCACCTTCACTACGCAGACATAGACCAGGATGGCTTGATCATGTTTGGTCATGGTTTCATGACTATTTCACGCATCCGAGTGCGAGTGCTTCACAGCTTCCCACCTTGTCTCTGAAATAAGATGCCTTGTTCAGACTCTGAAGTCGGTTTCGGGGATATCTCCGGGGTTCCCCCCATATGTCGATATTCAAAGGGGAACCGAAAGGCTGTGGGAAGTCCCGAAAAATAGCTGAGGTTCAAGCATCTGACTTTCGGCGTGACCATGGCGCAGACCAGCGCCGTGAGCGATGCCTTCGTTGAAATCCTCCAGCAGCAGGCAGAGCAAGACGCCCGCTGTTTACAAACCACGCAGCCCAGTGTAGGTCCACATTCGGCCGTTCTGTTCGGTGCGTGTTTTATGTGCCACGCTGCAAGATGCCCGCAGAAATGCTTGAAGTGCCCAAGTGCGCCAGCATGCGCTACCTCACAGATCTCCCCGAAGTTCTCTCCGAAGTACTCTGCGAAGGTGCCAGGCCATGAGCTGGCGCCCGGCTCCGTCCAGGCATGCGCTCAACTGCTGTCGTAAAAGCCATCCTAAACCGTTCCGTCTCCCCCCACTCAGACTGAGAGCCTTGATGCGTCCTGGTCCCCAGACTCAAGTGAGTGCGAAACTCCCAAGTCTTAGACTCTCAGACAAGGTGCTTTTCAAAAGCTCCTTCCGAGCTGCCTCCAAGAACCAGCTCTGGCATGGCGCAACCTCCTCTTCTACGTGGGCAGCTGCCTCCGCTACATCAGCATCACCTACTCCAGGCATTCGCGGGAGCCGAGGGTTACCTGACACCTGAAAGATCCTCAGGGAGCCTTTCCTGATCAGCAAAGGTTGAGAGATCCCACACCACGCCGCTTCGCCGGCCTGGCTCAGTGCAAAGAACTCCCTTGAAACTGGCCCAGACGGCCGTAACGAGGAAAAAAAAAAAACCGCCTCCTCCAAGTGTCGGGTCCGGCCCCCCTTTTGGGTCACCCCCGGTGGAAGCTAAGTCCTGTTGGGTGACTATCTCACTCCTATACATAGAGCCACATAGAGTTGCAGAATGTTGCTAATACCTCACGACACGACACCTTCTCGCCGTCGGCGCCTCGAACAGCTTACTTGGACTAAAGTGCGAGTAGCATTGGTCGCGGTGCCCCCCGCAGGCGGCTGGAGCTCATCAGCGAAGACTGGAAGTCTATTCAGGAGCTCCAAGCGGCGATCTGAAATCCGCAAGTGTTGAACCGCATCTGCAAGCATCTGAAACCTGCAGTCAAAACAACCGAGCCCAGGAGGCCAGCAACGCCAACGAGGAGGAAGCTGCGGTGCGCAGCTTTCCCAAGATACCCGCCTAGAATCTACTTGTTTGTGTTTTTCGGCCATTTTAATTTGATTTGGGGCTTCTTATTACTCGAATCAGATCATCGAGACATGCTTGAAGATGTGCAAAGCCGTAAGGATGTGTGCATTCAGCAACGAAGTGATGGGGGAGACGCTGGATGCCTGGATGCACGAGCTCTTGAACGTCTTCGAGGCGCATGCCATGGCCGGGTGGCTCTCTCATGCTGCGGGGGTTTCAGGTCAGCTACAAGCTTGCGAAAGCTTGCGAGCTTTCACAAACTCTCTTCTACCTCAAATCTTCACACCAGAGCCCCGAGGTACCCTCTTCAAAGGTGCCTGATTGGGGTATGGTTCGGAACTCATAAGCCAAAGAGCATCGGACACGGTCGATTTTCTTGGGTCGCAACCGTTTCCGAAGCTGTTTGCTTCGGTCCCCCAGCTTGGTCCTCAATCATGTCCAGGCTGCGCTGCTTGCCCGTTCCTGTCAGACTTGTCAGGTGCTGGTCAGCCAGGCGAACAACCCCTCGCTTCTGTCTCTTCGATGAATGGAGGGGGCTAGGACGGTGCTTTCTGCTCCTACGTTGTCCCACCTGGGAACTCAGTCGGCCATGTGAAACAGACGGACGACATACCCAAGCTGGAACCAAGGCTGGAGGAGTGCGACTTGCTGTCCATCACCATCGTCAATCTCTCGAACGGTGGGGACATCGACTTCGATCGCTTCAAGCCCGTGATGCTTGCGGCGTTGAGGTCTCTGCTGCCGAAGACGTGGTCCATGGAGCACGAGACTGCTTGGCAGTGGCTGTGGAAGACGATCGCCACAAACCTCATGGAAGCCACCATGAAGGTCCGCTCCTACAAGCCCTGGAGCACCAAGCTGTATGGAGCGATCACTGATGAACAGCGGGAGAGCTTTCGCTCGGACATCTACATCGACTTCTTCGCCAAGTGCAAGCAGAGCCAGGAGCTCTTCAAGCAGTCGCAGACCCGTCTGCGCTACATTGCCGACCGCATCATGCTCAGTGCCTACGACATGCTGCACAAGCCGGTTCCCAGTCGTCCTTAAGGCAGTCTTTCGGGGAACTGGGGTGAACATGTAACCAGAGGAGTTTCTGTGAAATTGAGCTCTGAAGATGCATTTTTGTCAGATTCCGCGCTTTTTGTGTGTCAGCGCGAAGTGCAACGGCTTGAAGAAGGCGAGACAGAAGGGCATGCAGGCGCAGCATGGCGCAGCATGGCGCAGCATGGCGCAGCATGGCGCAGCTACAGGGACAAAGAGAAGCTGACAAGGAGAGACGGACAGAAAGCACAAGAGAGAGAGAGAGGGGGAAAGAGCAGAAGCGACAGACTGACAGCCCGGCATGTCCCGGCTTTCCTCTGTTCCTCTGCACGGCTTGTCCCTGCTGAGGGAGGATGGGGGTACGGTGAGAAAAGGCTAGAGTCATGGTGAGGTCATGCGAGCCAAAAAGGGCCCCTTCACACCGCTGAACTCTGAGGGTCGCGGACTGAACTCTCAGGTTCAGGAGATGGTGGATGAGCTTTCGGCCCTCGGCCTGCGGCACGTGGGCTACGGCGTCCCCGTCTCGCTGTTTCTCAGCTTTTTGAAAAAACGCATCGAGTTGAGCGCCCCTTTCGACACTGAGAAGTCCATCTAAGAGTATAACGTGCCTGCCATTTGACTTTACCAATGCCCTCAGCAAGCAGGAAACGCGTAGTTCGACACAGGAAGCCCTCCGTCAGCTTCAGAAAGCCCCCCTTCGCCCTTTTCAGCACGAGCAAGGTTTGCCCCCTTCACCGACACCATCGTGCTGACCATGAAGCCCATTGTCGCGAGCTTGGCCGACGAGGTCACAATTGTGACAGAGGCCCGGCTCTTGCGAGTTAACAGGAAGCTTTAAGGGTGGCCTCTTTCAGAAATTGGGTTGCTGTTGCGCATCCACGGCTCAGCCGCGGCTCACCTGCAGCCGCGCAGAGGCCCCCGGCAGGAGCGAGCTGTGCCTCTGAGACTGCCCCAGGTTTTGGGTGCAGGCTTCTTGTTAGGAGTCTCTACTCTGCGTCCAGCATCTGAAGCTTCGAAGCTTGAAGCTCGTCCTCTCCCTGCAACCAGCCCCACTCCAGGCCTTGGAGGGCAATGCCCCTTGGGTCTTTTTGAGAAGGTGTCTGATTCAGGTTCGGGGGAGCACGTTAAGGCACTCAGAGGGGGCATCTTATCTTAGGGGAGGCATCTTAGGGGGCATCTTAGGGGGCATCTTAGGGTTTCGGGGGGAGCTGTTGACGTGATACCGCCAGATGTCGAGATGTCGAAACCCAAGTCTCTCATTGACGTGTGACGGTCACATGAGACGTGGCGTCACAGTGCGGGGAGGGGCGCGGGAAGTTCTCTTTTTCTGTAAGGACGGGCTGGAGACCAGAGGAAAGCGTGGATGAGAGGAAAGACCGAACTAGCCGAGAAACTTGTAACAGTTTTCAGAGCAGGAGTTCGATGAGCCTGAATGCCGCCCCTACAATTGAAAGAAAAAAACCCGAAGCGGAGATGCTCGCTGAAGGCGAGCCAGGAGGCAGGGATGGGGGCGAGCTGGGAGGGAGGGATCGGGGGATACGGAAACTTCTGGCTGATGGCTCGCCCCATACCCCGGACCCCAGACTGTAGAGGCTCAAAACCCTATGACCCTATGCCCTAAGTCCCAACTAAGTCTAAACTAAACCCGAACCTTACTGCAAACCCCAGGCCCTCGTTTTCAGTATGGGGCCTAGATCTGCCAGTGGAGGATGGGGAGATATGAGGGAAGCTCCGCTCTGAGTGCATCCAGAGCTCCTCCGCGCGATGCGACGCCACGTACTTGGAGGTCTATGGTACTTATCAACCACTTGTAGCTGTACTTATAACCCACTTAGAAGCCCCCTTAAGTGCCTTAATGTGGTTATAGGTGCAGTTATAGTGGATCCGACCCTAGATCGGACACGATCGGACACGCAAGCGTCCTTCTTGGACAACAGGGTCCAGCATAAAGTCCTGCTTGGAGGAGGTGTGGAGTGAGCCCGGACAGATGAGCGAGCTTTGGAATAACATGTGGCCCTAAGGCGGCTGTCCCTTCGTGGGGTGCCTGCGTCCGCCCGTCAAACAGGAAACCATTAGAAGCAAAGGGCCATGCTGCTCGAAGCCAGAGAAAGAGAGAACTAGATCCCCATGGAAAGAAAGAGCGAAAGAAAGACAGAAGCCAGAAAGCCAGAAAGACAGAAGCCAGAAAGACAGAAATGTAGAAATACACGAAGAGAGAAAGGGAAAGAGAGAAAGAGAGAAAGAGAGAAAGAGAGAAAGAGAGAAAGAGAGAAAGAGAGAAAGAGAGAGAGAGAGAGAAAGAGAGAAGAGAGAAAGAGAGAAAGAGAGAAAGAGAGAAAGAGAGAAAGAGAGAAAGAGAGAAAGAGAGAAAGAGAGAAAGAGAGAAGAGAGAAAGAGAGAAAGAGAGAAAGAGAGAAAGAGAGAAAGAGAGAAAGAGAGAAAGAGAGAAAGAGAGAAAGAGAGAAAGAGAGAAAGAGAGAAAGAGAGAAAGAGAGAAAGAGAGAAAGAGAGAAAGAGAGAAAGAGAGAAAGAGAGAAAGAGAGAAAGAGAGAAAGAGAGAAAAAGAGAGAGAGAGAGAGAGAAAGAAAAAGATAAAGACAAAAAGAGAGAAAGAGATAAAGAGAGAAAGAGAGAAAAGAGAGAAAGAAAGAGAGAAAGAAAGAGAGAAAGAGAGAAAGAGAGAAAGAGAGAAAGAGAGAAAGAGAGAAAGAGAGAAAGAGAGAAAGAGAGAAAGAGAGAAAGAGAGAAAGAGAGAAAGGGGCGGCTCCTTTCGGGGGGCCTGTTGCGATGGAAGGAAGGAAGAAAGAGAGAAAGAGAGAGAGAAAGAAAGAAAGAAAGAAAGAGAGAAAGAGAGAAAGGGTTCCTCTTTCGGGGGGACTCCAAAGCGTGGAGAAGAAGAAGGACAAGAAGAAAGAGGCCTGTGCGGGTGCTCCCGAGCATGCGCTGTACAAGTTGTTTAATTCACTGGGAGCCCTGCTCCAGTGACACTGCACAAGACATGCTTCTCGGGGAAAGACGGACATGGTACCTCATTCGGGGGATAACCCATGGTCCTTTCCTCCTGTGGCCCTTTCCATGATGCAATATCCAAGCGTCACTCATTCGGAGTCTGAAACGCGGGGGGCGGGGGCAACCCCGTCCCTCAGGCCCAGCAGAAGAAGAGAGGGAGGTCTCCGATGGGTCCCTCTTTTCTTTCCTCTTTTACGTCTCACCTCTGAGGTGTTTGAGAGGGATGTTTCGTCGTGGGGTGAAACTAGGAAGCTATTTTGCTTCGACATCCCTCATCCCAATCGAGACCCCAAGCGGAAATCCAAGATCCTGACCCCTACGCGATGCAAGAAGCGAGGTGAATAGCCACGGAAGAACGAGCTTTGTACCACTGAGTGACTGGTAATGGAACCCACACTTCATCCTCATGAGCTCTCCCATATGCCTCCATACTTCCATACTCATAACCACACATATCAGGGGGTTTCACATGAAGAGATGCGCCTTTATTCAAAAGGTTATTGAAAAGGCCCCACCAGCCCCATGCCCTAAGTCGCGCATGAGCGTCCAGGCCGCGAGGTCCAACACCCACTGGCTGGAGGACCTCGCTAGTAGGGCTTCCGCTGTCTTGACATCGCTACTTGCCTTTTTTGACAAAAACCCCTGGGATGTGAGTTGCGAAACATTAGGGGTTTGGTGGCCGGGGGCAGCGTGATGTGACAGGCATGGTGGCCCTTGATGGTATGATGGTGCTGCTAGTTTCCAAGATGGTTTCATGTGTCTCCACCGCGCAAGGGCTGGGGGACCCAAACAACGGACACCGTCACGGATACATAGAGGTGCAGTAGTCAAGCCCAGAACACATGCTCAGCTGGATGAGGACTTCAACGTCCCTGACAAGATGATGCTCGATGGATTCCGTTGGTCTCTAGGTGGGGGGCTCCAAGCCATCTACCCGCAAGGTCCACAACATCCTACTCTAGTCTGGGGGCATATACTTGGAGTGCATGTCGCCTAGCGGTTCAGAGTTGGGCTCAGGGTGTTGAGTTTGAAACGTTGAAACTTCGTCACACGCGCACACGCGCACACGCGCACACGCGCACACGCGCACACGCGCACACGCGCACACACGCACACGCACACACGCGCACCTGCGCACCTGCGCACGCAAGCATGCAAGCACGCGCGCACAAGACACGCCAACTGCGTGCTATAGCTCCAACGACACGCCAACTGCGTGTTACAGCTCCAACGTCGCTTACTCACAGCATTCACGTGTACATGAGTTTCCTGCAAAACTCGCGATTCAGCACGTTGTTTTTCACAGGCCTTGTTTCGGAAGTTTTTGGTGCCTTGGGTGGCAAGTTCCCGTAGCCCATGGTGCGTCGATCCTTGCCACATCGCAGGCCTGGTTGCTCGAATCCTGATGCGGACCATCACCGAGGGGTCCACATCCGTTATGCAGGCCATCTGCCCCAAAGAAGCACTGCCCCCCCCCCCCCCCGTTTGGCATCCTGCATAGCCCTGCACCCCTGTGTTCCAGCCGTTGCAGGCCATCAACTACGATGACCAGCGCCAGATCACGAAGGCTTTGGACCGCAAGTCGCTGCCGTGAGGGGGACATTTGAGAGCTCAGGGGGATGTCGTAAAAATCACTTGAGCTTAGATGTCACGTGTCATGTCACGCATAGCTCACGCTCCATGAGGCCTTGAACGATGCGCCGCGATTCGACAGGGTTCGCTGGCAGCTGCGTGTGCGTGTCGGCACGTCGCTTGCAGTCACTTACCAAATTTTCGGGTTTATAGGAAGCCTTGATTGAAAGATTTTGGGACCGTGGCCTCCCCGCATCTTTTCCTTGATCTGAAGTCGCGTCTGCTCGACTTGTACGGCTCCCCCAAAAAAGTTGCCATCAGAGCCGGGGAGCCTTCGCCCAAAACTTCCATATCAAACTTTTTATCAGACCAATCTTCCCTCTCCACGAAGGCAGACCATCAGCCCACTTCATTACGCCCTTCGCAGTGGCAGCCATCGGTATCTTGGGCTACACAAGCTTTGAAGGCTTAAAATACGGTAAATACGTACGGCCTTCGGGGGAATCACCGGATTCCCCAGTCCATCAGTTTATGTGTTCGTTTCTTTTCGGCTGGAGGTCTGCAAAGAAGATGATCCAGGATGTGTTGACCATTCGCGCGGATCGCCAGCGGTGCCCGGACAGGGCTTCAGGAGGGCTGTTCGGGCTTCTGGTCCACGGGGCTTCCTGTTCAACCAGCTAGTTCTCGCGCGCATAGAAGCTGGAAAATTGCTGAAGAAAGGTACTACTACGGCGTGGACGAGCTCTTCAACTATCAGCCGGATTGCGCCGAGCACGTCTGCAGCGAGGCGCCCTTCCTGGCCATGGAGATGCTCGAGGGCCTCCCGGTCCGGTCCTGCGGGTTTCCTCTCTCTCTCTCTCTCTCTCTCTCTCTCTCTCTCTCTCTCTCTCTCTGTGAGAGAGTGCGCGCATGCGCGTGTGCGTGCGTGTTGCGTCCCTGAGGCGTGCCCTCTCAGCACCTCTTAGACATCCTCTCAGCTGTTGCGAAGGGACATGTTGCCACCTTCATTCCGGCAGACTGTAAGGATTGGTTTGGAGATCGCACAAATCCCATGATGGCATGCGATCGGTGATCTACTATCTGGAGCACCTCCTGCAGGAGACGATGAGGATTAGGATCATTAGGAGCCCTCCATTCGGAGACTTTCAAAGGAGCCCCCAAAAGTGTAGGCGCGGAGACGTGAAGTGGGTTGTGTGTTTTCTGCGATTTTCTCGTGCGCATTGTTCTACATGGTTACCCGCGTAAGTGTAGTTCCTTACGGGTCTTCCAGCAGCAGCCCGCAAAATCTACTCACATTGTGCCAATGATTTTGGGCGTTTTGGGGGCGTTTTGGCTTGGCTTACAGGGCCCTCTGGCATCTGAGGTTGGATTCCACCGTTTTAGGGCGCTTGCCGCGCAGGACACGGAGGAGGACTCCACCCTCTCTCGGTCCATGAAGACGTTCATCAGCTTCAAAAATGCGAAGATCATCCAGCGCCTGTGCCAAACAATCGTAAACCCTAAGCCTTACACCCTAAGCCGCACTTGAAGCCGATTCACCTGAGCTGTAGAAGGTGTCGATTCGCGAGAGGTTGTGCGCATTGTCTGTTGTCCGTGTGTGTTGGGCAGCTGTGACTTGTCTGACCTTAAGTACGGTGAATGACGGAGCGGCTCGGTCGTTCCCCAGATTCTCCCGTGTATACCAGCCAAGTTGGAAGCAGCTTCAAAGAACCCCCCCTCATATCAATGCTTGTAGAGCACTTCAAGTTGCGTGACGCCACCTTAAAAAGGTAGGCCCAAAGTTTAAGTTAAGGGGTTCTCAAAGTTGTTCGCCGTTGACCTGAGGCATCCGATCATCGTCTTTACGACGGACTTGCTGTGGAGCCGGCTGGTGCTGCGTGTGTTCCTGTGCGACCGAGCCTGGACAGCCGTCACCTTCGTCTTCTACATCTTCTCTCAGTGCGTGCTGAACCAGCCCCACTTCCTGGAGAAGCAGGTCTTGCGCTACGTCTTGTTTGCCACGCGCCTGCTCGTCTACATCTGCGGCTTGGGGAGGCTGCTTTACTGGCACTGCCGGGAGACGTTCCGTGCATCCAGGCGGAAGGACATGGTGAAGTTTCGGTGCCTCTCCTTCCCTGCCTACTGGAAGGAGTTCGAGCACCGCATCAGTCTGGGGCTTCTGTTCGTGCTGGTGGGTATGCTTTTCGTGGAGCCAATGATGTACTGCCTCAACGCTGACGATGTTGTGGAATTCAAGTGCGACGCGCACAGCGACGGAATGCACATGGTCTACCAGTGCTTCTCCGCCCTGGGCGTCTTCCTGCACTTTCGGCTGCAGTGGAAGCAAGCAAGAGCCTTCAAGCGCGCCACCTTGCCATCTTGCAGTACCAGAGACCCAAGAGGTAAGTTCTAGTCTAGGAAAGACGAAGATGACCAAGCCAGAGAGCTTTGAGCACCAGTTGACAGAGATGGGCCTGGAATCTGAGCGCCTAAAGCCCATATGAAGCCCATGTTGAAGCCCATGTTGAAGCCCACATGAAGCCCACATGAAGCTTAGAGGTTCTGTTCGATGATCCTCGACCTTGCTGCGCTGAACATCCGCATGGCAGCCTACAAGGTCCTGTGTGCACAGGCGATGGATGAGGCCCGGGGAAATCCAACTCTCCTCCAGAGTGCAGAGCCCCCAATGTTGTTCTTTGGCAAGCAGTTGTATATGTGTGTGTGTGTGTGTGTGAGACTAGAATGTGGTGCTCTTAAACCAGCTCAGCATCAGCTAAGAAGCAGAGTACACAAACCATGTTGCAATGCCCCTTCAAAGCATCAAGCTGCACAGAGGCCCCCCGGTTCTTGCTGCTTTTGTATCCGTCATTGTGTCTCATTCTCTACCGGGTTGCGCTGCCCAAAATCCCCTCACGCAACCAGGCTATCGCAGCCGCACAGCCGCCTCCAACCAACTATCCCGACTTTTTGTAGGAGAATCGAATGCCATGGACAGGTGCTGATGTGCGGCATTGCGCTCCTGGTCACAATCGTTGCTTGGCCGGCTCTTGGATTGTGGGCTCCTGCGTCCCTACGCGACATCCCTTGAAGCTTTCAGATTGGGATGCTCCCCCTTTTCCTAACAGCCCTCAATAGGGATTTTCGTCCCCATTATAGTAACCCCCTGATGTAATCCCGATTAAGGGCTGTTGGAAAAAGCGGGAACATTCAGACTTGATCCGACAAGGTCACCTTCACCTTTGTCATCAGCTCCCTGTCCCGCGAGACGCAGAGCATCCAGACGCAGGACCAAACAGCCCCCAGATCGTCCCAGTAGCAGATAGTCGCAGAAGCAGAAGCGAGAGCATGTCACAAACCGAACCCTTCCTTGCCCACGACCCAGTTCGTGGGGAACCAGAACCAAACCGCAAAGCAGCATCCCGTAAGAAAGCAGGGGGAAGAGAGGGGGTGCGAGTGGTGCAACTCTTTAGCTTCTTCTCTTGCTCCGGCAGGATTGGAAGTCCATGGATGGGGCTATGCTCGCCCTGACGCAGACACTCGGCTCCTCTGGATCGGCGCCAATCAAAAGGGGCTCTTGAAGTCTTGTTGAGCCCAGGGTAGGCGAGGCACAAGGCTACAAAAGCCTCCAGGTAGGTCTGCAACTGTACCGGGGTCGTCAGCAGCCAGATGAAGTGTCTGGCACTGGTACATGCAGCTTCAAGAAGGAGTCGGATTTTGAGACCTCTGGGTTTGGGGCGGTTTTGGGGAGATGTCATGGTGTGGGCCACAGTGGACCACAGCGGAGCCAACGGCCGTACGGGGGTGGCCCCGCCGCCAATCCCAAGGGGCGCGGGCTTCTCTGGCTCTCACCGTTGTTTTTTTGGCTTGCGGCACCATTTTGAGAGTGCCTTCTTCGGAACCCAGGACCGCTTTTGGCCTCTTCAGCATGGAGTCAATGTCCGAGCTTGCGCAGGACGGTCCTTGCGCCCTAGGCTATCCTAGGATCAGGAGACGGAGTAGAGGGACCCAAGAAGGACCCTGAGTGAACGCAGGACCGGGGCGGGTCTAAGAGCATGGTTGGGGCAAACGGCTTTGCAGGAGTTCTATTCCTGCTCTTGTGAGCCTATAGGAACCGTTGCGGGGGGTGTTCTCCCCTTGCCAGGAAAGTGGCCTCATCTTTGCTTGCATCCTGCTTTATAGCATCGCCGTATATACTTGCCTCTTCAACCTGCTGGTGTCGCAGCCCCCCGTGGGGCTCAGGCTTGATGTCCAAGGCTGGTGTTTTGTTGAGGGGCTCAGAGAGACTTGGACTAACTGGTGGTCCTTTGAGAAGGCTACCTGAGAGGCATCTGAGGTTCTGCGGCATCTACATGGCGCTGGCGGAAGACATCGAGGGTCATGCGCGACTGGTGCGAGGGCAAATCATCCTGACCGTTTTGAAGGAGACCGGTAGACTCGGTAGATCCTGCGGTGACAGGGCCCGCTAGGGAGCGGAGTTTTTCCAGTAGGTGAGGGATTGCAGAAGAGTCGACCTTCAATCATAGGGGGCCCCATGCTCTGAAGCGCCAAAGTGGGAGGACCTGTCGCTGAAGAAGTGGCAGGCTTTCATGGGCCCACTGCATCTGGATTCTTGGGGTCAGCAGTTTCGCAGCATGATGTTTGGATGTTTTGATGTAGGGTGGCATCCAATCCTCCATGTAACGAGAATCACGATGAGCTCCCGCAAGCTTGTGCCAGTCTCAACCTGAGCTGTGCCGGCGTGTCGCAGCCCTCACCTCGATTGCCGCAGTGGCAACCGTGAATAGCGTAGGACGTTGCACGTTGCACGCCGCCAACCGTATGTCGTCCTCAGTCAGACTAACCGGGCGCCCCTCCTCGCGTTGGAGCACTTCATCCACCTTCTCCGCCAGGCGAACGTCAGTGCCTCCATCATCACCTGGTTCTCAAAAGGAAGGCCGTGAGTGGCCTTCCTTCTTGCTGGGGTGCTCCGGCACGTCCACCAGCCCCCTCGCATCAACACGGTCAAAATGCGGAGAGACAGTGTCGGTAGCAGGGGGTCAGCGTTGCGGACACCGCCCCTGAGAGACACAGCCCACAGCAATTGTCCTAAGTGGCCAGCAACATCGCCAGGAAAGAAAATGCGTGGGCAGTAGCCCTCAACGGAAGCCAGCCCCCCCCCCCCAACTTCAACAGGTAGATGCCATGTCAGGCTGAAACGTACATTTTTACGCATGTTCGTTCTTTCATGTGATTCTGTTTGTAATGTAGCACCTTCAGCATCGAGAACAAAGGACGAGAAGACCGACTTTGCAGAGGGGGACACCGGTCTTCCAGGTGGGATCAAGAAGCTCAGATTTGCAGTGGTCGTTTCCAGAGCTCGGGTTGCGCACTGAAGGGTTCGCGGTTGGCAGCTCTGTCCGTGGGCAGAGGTGTCTTGCCTTGGTTCTCAGAAAAGGAGGGGTTCGGAGGGTTTTGCATAGCCTTCTACTGCCCGATCGCGAGGCTCCCCCCCCCCCCCCCCCCCCCCCCCCCCCAAAAAAAATACTGCCTGCGGGTACTGGGTACTGTTGCAGGCCACGAGGCCCTCGAAAAGGCCCCGGAGCCCTGAAAAATGCGTGGTTGAAATTGGGGGCCCTTGTCCACGAAGCCGAGGATCCAGGAACCAGCTTACCTGCATCCGGTGGCGCATGACCAGATTCTGCGGTATGGAGGCACAGGATGGCAAAAGGGGGTTGTCAGGAATAATTTCAGGGTTGGCGCGGCCAAACCTCTGAGCTACGCTGGTTCGTGGTTGCGATTCTTGCTTCAGAATAGTTGTTGTTTGCGAACTTGATTTCCGAAAGCTGGAAAGCTGCAAAGACTTCTGGACGACAGGCCTACAGATGCATGCTTTGTAGCCTAAAAGAATGGATGTTACATTGCAGACATGCACTTGCCATCGCCTGCTGCTTCCAAAAGCCTAACGGCTCTGTGCAGTTGCGGCCCAAACCGGTGCTGATGCCCCCTGTCATGAGCAGAGCTCCTCCAGGAAAAAAGTCAGTCTTGCTCCGAAGATCGCCCCGCCCTGCCTCCGCTCACCGTGACCTTCAAAGCGGGAGTTCGGTGTCTTTTCTCACCACGGAAGGATGCCAAGAGTTGCCATTCACCATCCGGATGCATTTAAGCCATCAAGAACCCCCCCCCCCCCCCCCAACACCCCCCCAAACATTCCCGATCTCCTTAAAGCTCATATAGAGGCCTTCGGAGTCCAAGAAAAAATAGGCTCTCGCCGCCTTTCACATCCTGGGGAGGCAAGACAGATCCATCACTGCCGTGGCCGGAGAAGGACACCAACGCGGACGAAAGCGTGGAGGCGATGGTTGAGAGGACCATCATGAGGCGCCTTGGACCCAAGACATGGATCATGCACAGCACGTGAGAAGCACCTGCTGTAGTAGGGGGCTGGTAGTGGCTGTTTCCCACAATCGTGATGAAGGCTGATGGTATCTGAGCCGAAAGCCTGCGCACATTCACGCTTTCCTTTAAAAGTTTTGCAGCGCATCTTTTCGCGAGGAGCGTCGCCAAAGCGTTTGGTCAGAACAGTAGCAGCGAGAACCACAACAACACCAACGGCAGCCATGTGGGCACGAGCAGCGTTGGCCACTCTGAAGGAGGCGCGCGGGAACGCAGGAACCCAGCATTCTGCGCAAGTCCATCAACACTTTTCTCTTGGTGTCTTCAGTAGAAGTTCCTCCTGTGAAGAATCCGGCGAACATGTGGACGTATGGTTGAGACCTTCACGAATTAGAATCAACAAAGCAACACAGGCCAGGCTGTGCCATTGTGAGCCTTGGGCTGGGGGCAGAGCACGGCTCAGAACCTCCAGGCGAAAGAACGGAGCTCCTTGGTGTTAGGGTGACATGACTTCGTGCCCAATGGCAGCTGAGCTTGCTTTTCAAGTCTTGGTCTTCTGCTGCTTTAGTGCTGACTAGTGGCTTTCGCGTGGAAAATTCTAGGAGGTTCGTGGTCAGCCGTGCATAATTCGTTTGTGGACAGGCTCAATGTCTGTCGGAGAGGGGGGGAAAGGACTCCACCACCAGGTGTCCTGGGTTTCTGTGTGTATCTGCATAAGCTGCATAGCCGGCATAGCCCTTTGCCCTTTCCCCCGTTTCTCGTCACTACTGTAAAGTGATTGTCAGTAATGATTTGTGACACTCGCTTGCGGTCAGCATGTCCGTTTCATAGGTGACTTCCTGAACAGGAAGGTGCATCTTCCAAAATTCGCATCAACCACGAGACGTTGCAATAATCTTTTCTGAAGGTTTGGACATCTCCCTTGCGTAAGGGAGGAGATCATGCGTCGGTGGTGAAGCCTTTCAGGCTTCTGAACATTGTTGCTCAGGCTGCTGATGCATGATCCAAGTGTTCATAGTGTTCTCAACTGCCTTATTATAATACCTCAAAAGGGCAGCCAGCGAGCTCCACATCGGAGCTCGCCTCCGTGCTGCCTGAAAACGCCGCGAGCTCCCACAACCAGCGTGTACTCTCGACATGTGAGCAAGGGTCCCCCCAACACCCCACGCATGAAAGACGTCCCCCCCCAAGCTCGAACACAAAGACAAACAAGGAAAAACAACTGGTGATCTTGTTCCACTTGAGCTTCTGTTGTGTAAGGACTCGGTTCGCATTTGGGCATGGAAAGTGGATTCTTGGAGCGTATCGACGCACACGTTGCTGGGCAGCGGCTAGCAGGCCGCCATGAGTGGTAACTCACGATGCTTCTGATGGGCAGCAAACAACCATGGCTGGAGAAATTTCTTGTGCCGAGGGCCTCAGGCTACACCGTCATACGCAAGCGCAGGATGCTCATCATAAACGAAGGATGCTGCTCGCCAGTTGCTTCTGTGAGCAGGCGCTGATGCTGGGAACTGCATTGCTGGACCCCGCAAGCCCCGCTAACCTCGGATGACAGAGCAAAAGCCCTAAACCCTAAACCCTAAACCCTAAACCCCAAACCCAAGAAACCCTAAACCCTAGACCCTACAGACCCTAAACCCTAGACCCTAGACCCTAAACCCTCAAGTTCCCTTGGTAGCCATGGTTGGGTCGGGGGGGTCGAGGGTCAACCAGCGCGTTCCGCGCGTTTCCGCAGCGAAAGCTGGCAAGCTGAAGCACTGAACTTCCACGAATAGCAGGGCCTCTTCTACACTGGGTTTAGGGTTTAGGTTTAGGGTTTTAGGGTGGGCTTGTGGTCGTAGATTTGCCATTGTGTTCTGTCTAGGGGGGCTGAGGGCGGCGCAAGCTGCATAGGCTTATCGATGTAGAACTCTCAGGCAGTTTTGAAGGGGAATGAGGCATGGAGGTTCTTCTGGAACACCCGCGCAGAGTAACCGCGCAAAGGTTGGTCTAGCTGTGCGCAATAAGCCTGCCAAGGTCCAAAGCTCCCAAGTTCCCCCCTGAGCCCACTAAATCGAGTTAGGAGCAGTAGGAGCTGGGAATGGGTGGGAGACTGGAGTGCTTTACCTTCGAGCTTGGTTGGAAGCCGTGTTTGGTTTTTGAAGGCCACCATTCCGGAGGATGCACGGACTGAAGCAGCAAACGTGAATCAAACCACAGCTGAGAAAATCCATCTCAAGGAGGCATATCTTGAAGCTTTAATTGTAAACCCTAAACCCTAAACCCTAAACCCTAAACCCTAAACCCTAAACCCTAAACCCTAAACCCTAAACCCTAAACCCTAAACCCTAAACCCTAAACCTTAAACACTAAACCCTAAACCCTAAACCCTAAACCCTAAACCCTAAACCCTAAACCCTAAACCCTAAACCCTAAACCCTAAACCCTAAACCCTAAACCCTAAACCCTAAACCCTAAACCCTAAACCCTAAACCCTCACGCAGCTGGTATCATGGTGTGCACCTCTGGAGATGCGAATTCCCTTGATATGCCCGAGACCACTTTTACGTGCTCGGCCGCTGGGCGGACCCCTTGACATCGTGAGGTGGACTTCAAACAAGAGCCAGGGGATCCTCGCTCTAGCAGGGAGGTGAAAAAGGTCTTTGAACCCTAAACCCTAAACCCTAAACCCTAAACCCTAAACCCTAAACCCTAAACCCGAAACCCTAAACCCTAGACCCTAGACCCTAAACCCTTAACCCTGGTTAAAGGGTCTATTTACTGAACCCTTGAAGAGGTTGTGTATCGATCAATGCGCTTCCACTGGTGGCTCTGGGCTCTTCCTGAAAATTGGGGCAGTTGCCCCGCGTCATGCCAATGGATGTGTTTGCTCTTCCCTAGCCTTTGCTCAAGGTCGCTTGGAAAACCGCCTCGTGTTACTTCACTCCTGTGTGTTTGTGTTTGCCCTATGTAAGGGGCGGCTTCCACGCATTGCCCGAGCCTCTTCAGAATTTTGAGCAGGCCAAGATTTTTCAAGGGCACCAGGCCCGCCGGTTTCAATTGTGGCGCAAGCCACGGGAAGTGTTTGGGCGAGAGCCCAGTTGTAGTTTGGCAACGCGTGGCTCCCAGGCAGAGGGTGCTCACTCGCAAATCTTGCGTCGTCCCTGGGAAAAATTGCGAGTGCCCGGGTACTTATGGTGGGTCAGTGGTGTAAGACTAATCCTGGGTCATTGCGTTCTACCCCCTAAACCCTAAGCCCTAAGCCCTAAGCCCTAAACCCTAAACCCTAAACCCTAAACCCTAAACCCTAAACCCCAAACCCTAAACCCTAAACCCTAAACCCTAAACCCTAAACCCTAAACCCTACGTAAACCCTCAACCCTAAACCCAAAACCATTAACCCTTGCTGATGGACACAGTGTGAGTATCTGCAGCACTGGCCATGCGCAAAGCACATGGAGAAGTCCATGAGAGGTAGCAGTGACTGGACGGGTTGCGCATGACACGGTCTACGGTTTAGGGTTTAGGGTTTGGGGTTTGGGGTTTAGGGTTTAGGGTTTAGGGTTCAGGGTTCAGGGTTTAGGGGTTTAGGGTTTAGGGCTTAGGGCTTAGGGTTTAGGGTTTAGGGTTTAGGGCCCTTATGCCAGCGCTGGCAGGGTGGATCTGACCTCCGGGCAAGTAAGGCGGCAGACTTGCCTCAATGCATCGCAGGCTGTTTTGATGTCCAGACACAAGGAGGTGTTGACAGTTGACGGGCAAGGGGTCAAGTCGCTCTCGTCGCATCGTGCTCAAGTTTGCAATTGGTCCAAGCCCAAGAACGCTTACACTGTCCTCTTGACACGCCTCTCCTGATCCTTGGCTGAGCAAGTCATCCATGGTAGTAACTGGAAGCATGCCCAAGACATCTTGTATGCCCCCCCGTGATGGGCGGAACCCTGACACTGGAGAGCGGCGGGGGGGGGGGGGGGAAGTGGAAAGATGGATCGTATCCCCGATGACCTCTTTGTACCTTCCCGGGCCGTGGGATGCCTCACGGACGGGCAGACCCTCCAACCTCATCTGACAGATTATGTGTCTCGAAGGCATGGATGTCTGTTGGGCGAAACCCTGGCACCGAAGTGGGGGTCGGGAAGGGGCAGTGGGGTGTGGTGGGGTATGTGACGGGCGCAGGTTTCTGACGGACGCCGGCCAGGTCCGGTAGTCCAGGTCCGGTAGTAGAATCCTGAATCTGCCGTGTTCGGGGAGTGAAAGTCCCGGAGAGCTGAGGTTTCCACAGCATGAGCGAGCCGCAAGGCACCAGCACCCCCGTGGATGTGGTGGAAGAAGTGGAAGCAAGTGAGATGGAAGAGGCGCGCCTTTTGCTTTCTTAAATCTATTCTTCCTCTTCTTATTAATATATATATATATATATATACATACATATATATATATATATGTATAATTATTTATTATTATTATTATTATGATTATTATTGTTATTTATTATTATTATTATTATGATTATTATTGTTATTTATTATTTTTTTTTTTGGGGGGGGGGGGGGTGAGGAGGGAGAACAGGGGGAGGGAGAGATTTGCACACAAAGACTGTGCCTAGTGATTCAGCTCTCGGGGCCTGAACCTCTTCAGCACAGGTGATTCACAGGGTTTAGGGTTTAGGGTTTAGGGTTTAGGGTTTAGGGTTTAGGGTTTAGGGTTTAGGGTTTAGGGTTTAGGGCTCTACCTTCTCTGCTATCTAGTCCTTACACCTCGTCGATGGTATCACAGAGGGCCGGAGAGTTGAGACTTTTTGAGAGTAGAGCTCAGAGGCGTCCTGCAAGATCCTACATAAGAGACACTTTATAGTTCGAAAATGCAATATTTAAAGTTTAGGGTTTAGGGTTTAGGGTTTAAGTACATAGGCTCCCCGAACATCGCCCTCTGTTCCACCGAGGCGTCGGCAACGGACGAGGTCCCTGAGGATGAATCGCTTGCTTCGGAGATCTCCCCGCTGGGCGGAAACACGGCGAACGCGGCGAACACAAACAACGACAGCACCTTGGCTTTGGGCATCTTTGGGCTTGGGGCGGGCAAGAGGGGCAACAGGAGGCTTGTGCGGTTTTTTGAGAGGATAGGGAGTTTGGACTAGTACCGTTGTTGACAGTGCGTAGAAAGGTGCCAGGCCAGCTTGTAGCATGTGGCAGCTCTGGCGCCTTGTTTTTATAAAGCTTTTTAGCTTGGTTTGCTGAGCTTGACCGTGCTTCGATCGGGGTCCGTTTATGGAGCGGCTCGAACGGGAAAACGGCCTTATCATGGAGAAAGAGGGCTCAGGGATGCCCTGACAAGCTGAGCGGAAAACTCGTTGTCATGCGAAACGTCCTGTGGGGCGAACCAGGAGAGTTGATCAGAGCAGGAAAGGCCCAGCCTGTTTGAACACTTTTGGATGTTGCAGCCACCAGGAAGGCACTGTTGTTGGAGAAGCGTCACGCCTGCAGCGAGCAGGATGGTCTCAGCAGCTCGGGGTTCACATGATCGCAAAGATCACGCGGAGCACTCTTTTCAAGTGTCTGTCGCAGCATGCCGCTATGATAAGACAGGTGGGGGTCGGAAGCCCGGAACGCATCGGAGGACGTGAAGGAAATGGAGGCTTCGTGGAGAAAAGCGTTTCGTCGCGATGGTAACAGACGCGAAAACTGGCCACGACAGATGGTCAAGTCAATTTGATAAACGTGGATGTCCTTCCACAGCCCGGAGCAGCCTAGAGGCATCGGACCTTCGATACACGAAGATGATCCAGGTTGTGAACGCGACGTCAAGGGTCGCCATGCGATGAGAAGGATGCATGTCCATGACGCATCGAGGTTCGACCGCCCTTTGAGCTAGAAAATCAGTAGGGTGACTCCCCATAACTGCGGAGGTCCCTGTGAGGCAGCGCGGATGTTAGGCCCCCATGCGATGATGTGAGCCTTGCGAACATCTCCGTGCGTGAAAATGACCCGACGCCTCCCAAGTCGGGGGCCAAAGAGTAGGATCATTCTGAGGGCCTTTGACGCAGAGCGTTTTGCCTTTGCTTGGATGCGAAAACGAATGAAAGACCGCCTTACTAAGCTACAGGGACGGCATTTTCCGGGAGCCAGAACCCAGGCTTCAACAAACCCGTAGTGCAAAGCGGGTTCTGTACAGGCACTCCAAGGTCGCAGCCTATGAGTGCCCACTTCTCCTTATGCCCTTCGGCTGTCCAGGTTACGTGCCTCACCCGACCAAGGGCCGGACCTGAGTGCCTATGTTACAGCTGGGTGTCTTTGATTGGTTTCGAAGTTTTTGTCGCCTTGCCAAAGCTTTTCTGAGATGGCGATTTTTGCTAGCCCGCTGCTTGTAATCTTATCTGGTAGATGGACTGTAGTGACAGCAGGGGCCGCCGTCCAGCCGGCTGCGTCTTCTGTAGCCCACAGTGGCGAACAGCTTGGACGGATCTCCTTGCAACGACCAGCATGCTACTCTGGAAAAACCTGCATGGTAGGGTAGGATAACCCTAAACCCTAAACCCTAAACCCTAAACCCTAAACCCTAAACCCTAAACCCTAAACCCTATACCCTGAACCCTAAACCCTAAACCCTAAAGTCACCAGGCATCCTTGGAGAGAAGTTTGGCAAGACCATGGAGGAGCTTTTCGTGTGGGCGAAGGAGGTTTAAGGGGCTCCGGATCTAAGCTGCGCAAAGAGTTATATTGTTTAGGGTTTCGGGTTGAGGGTTTAGGTTTTAGGGTTACCTGCAGGAGATCGTGTGCTAAATGGGTGAATCGAGCGGCGCCCAATTTTCATGTGCACACAATTGCTGGCCAGCGCATCCCCTTCAAGCAAAGCATCGCCAGCCACAGGATTGGGTTGGGACCCTTTCAGGCGTGTTCAGGCGTTTGAAGGCGTGCTTTTAAATGTGTTCTGCGTCGCACGCACACACAAAGCACCATCCTGGCGGCCCTGTTTTTTGTGGAAGGAGCTGTCGATGGCTGAGCATGAGAAGGCTGCTATCCGCCACTCTTGGAACGCCTTTCAGAAGGCATCTGACACCTTGCTTTGGGCCTAGGATGCCATCGGGCAAGAGTGTTTGCATGCTTTATACTACTCTGATATGACAACAAACAATCATTTGACTATGAATTTGTCACTCATCAGGAAACAGGCTTCCCAGCAGCATTGCCAAAATGCATGTATTTTCGTTCCCGAATAAAGCACAGGTCAGCAGCCCGACGCTGAAACACGAAACCGCAAGACGTGTTCGTTTTTTGTGTGCTTTGTTCTCTTTCGTGCAGATGCCTACTGAGATTGCATACCATTTTTACAGAGCTTGACCGGCATGTGAGGTAATTTCCACCGTAAGAAAGCTCAAGTCTGAGATCCTACACACCAAGGTGAAACACCTTGCAACCCTGCTGACCCCCCTGCGGTCTGAAAGTTCTCAAGCCCGAGCCCGAAGCTGAACTTTCCGCCCGGGGGTTGAGGATTGTGGTTTAGGCAAGCTGAGTACGTCACGTTGCCGCCAAGAAAGCTTTGTAGCACCTTTAGGCTGCTGATAGGGGCGAAGGGGGGCTTTGGAGCCTCACAGCGAGTCAAGTCTGATTTTGGGGGAACCTTGGTCGAGCCTAACAGCGGCCCGGAGCTTCCGCAGCTTCCGTTTTGCGTTGTGAGTTGTGTCTGTTGAGGTTTAGGGAGCTGACCCGGGACCCAAGGAATCAGCATCTACGAATTTAAGCTTAAGCCTCAGTTTTTGAATCTCCTTCGCCTAAGTGCCCCAAGTAGCCGGTGAGAGACGAAACCGTGTCATTGATGCTCGCTTCAACTGCCCTCTGTTTCCAGGCGCTGGGAGACAGCGAGGCTGTCGGGGACGCCATCTACGGCTGCCTGACTGGCGCCCTGAGCACCGAGAAGGATGCCGAAAGCCCCCCCCCCCAAACGTACCGAACGCCACCGAATAACTTTCACCGACTGCTCTCCTTAAGGTCTTGGAATTTCATTCCGTTCTCTTGCAAGCTCCGTCTTATCTGGTGAGGGTGGGTAGACGATGAAGCCTCCTGAGCCAGGACAAGTTCAAGACGCCCCGGGCCGTGCTCTGCTTGGCTCTCTTCAACGGCTTTCGCCAGCTGTCGGACACGAATGGCACGAGGGGGGGGGGGTGTAGGGCAGGGTAGTGATCTGCATCCCAGAAGGGGCTAAAGCCCGGAGAGGGCCAACGCGCACCTGTAAGCCGTAGAGAGAAGGGTTTGAAAAAGAGGGTCGGGAAAGGCCCCGAAGCGGCCCCAAGCCTTGAGGACAAGCTGGACAACCCGCCGGCGTTGTTCACCTTCGTGGAGATCCTGGGGTCCTCTGGATTCCAAAGCATACGGGGATGGGTTCGGATGATATCAGCGTGCAGCTAGCTTCTAGCGACGCCGAGAAATCGTGAGCAAGAAGCAGAGAAGAGCGACAAGACAAGAAGCTCAACCAGTGAAGCCTACGTAGGCCCCTTGAACCCCAAGTCCCCTAAAGTGCGCCAGCTGTTGACCGCCTGCCATCATTGAAGCGACACCGAGGTTCAAGCATTTGACCTTTGGAGTGACTATGGCGCAGACCACCGCGGTGAGCGATTCCTTTATTGAAATTCTCCAGCAGCAGGCCCGTGCTTTTAGGGTGCAGAGGTCAGGGTTGGTCCACGTCTATCGTCTTAACCAGGCCAAGCCTTAAACCCAAGGGGCCCAAACAAGAAGACCTGCTGCTGCGGTCGGTTCGCCTTGATCATCGGGGCATGTTGGCCGGTGCCCCGGGGGGGGGGCGAGGAGGCCAACAGGGAGAGGGGAGCAAGCCTTTTAGGCCTTGGACCTCGGCGGATTTACAGTGCTGAAGTGAGTGAAAGGATGTCTTCGAGATCGGATAAGGCCCAGAAGGGCCCTGCTCTGAATTCAGTCCACTTTCTTCAACAGCCGTGAACTGATCTTCCCTGCACCTCATAGCTTCGTCGAAGGTGCAAGGTCAGGAGTTGGTGCCCGGGGCCATCCAGGCGGGAGAGTTTTGAGAGTCTGCACTTTTCTAGGTTTGTTTGGAGAGCGCAACCCAACCTCAAAGAACTCTTTACATGCAGCTGCTTTTTTGAGCCGGCACTTGATTTGAGGAGTGGCCCTTTACGATAAGCCCCCCCCCTTTCCCCCGCAGTCCACCTCCCCCGAAGAAAAAGCGGAGGAGTTCGGGGGCGGAGAGCTCTGTTCTTCTCTGGAGGCCTGGCGCAACCTCCTCTTCTACGTGGGCAGCTGCCTCCGCTACATCAGCGTCACCTACTCCCGGCGACTGGAGCTCATCGGCGAAGACTGGAAGGCCATTCAGGAGAGCTGTGGCTTTTTCCCGCACTTTCGGGGGGGGGGGCTGAGCGTAAGTGCCCCTCTTTGCGAGTCTCTCTGTCAAATGCCCCCAGGAGGCCAGCAACGCCAATGAGGAGGAAGCTGCAGTGCGCAGCTTTCCCAAGATGCCTGCCTACAATATCATACCCAGAAAATTCAGTGGGAGAGGGCGTGGCCTAGACCGGTAGAAATGTGGAGAAGTATTCCGACCCCTCAGTATACGGGGTCTCCCGAGCGTGATTCCCAGATATATGACCTTGGAGTGCGAAGACCAAGACCACAGAAAATGCAGAAAGGATGTGTGCCTTCAGCAACGAAGTCATGGGGGAGGTGCTGGATGCCTGGATGCACGAGCTCTTGAACGTCTTCGAGGCGCTTCCACCATGGCATCCGGGTGGGCTCTCATGTTGTGTTGGGGTTTAATGCCGGTTTGGGTGGAATTCCCAGCTTCGCACCGTTGCACGAAGCCGCCTCTTCAAAGCTGCGCGCATCGGATAAGGTCGACTTTCTTGGGTTGCAAGCGTTTCCGAAGTTTTTGCTTCGCTGTTCAATGGCCCTCGCGTTCTGGAGCCCTTGTCAGGTGCTTGTCAGCCAGGCCAACAACCCTTCGGTCCTGCTTCTTGGATGATTAGAGCAGGTTTGGACACAGAAAACGTCGGAATGTTCCAAGTGGCTGGAATTGATCTACGAGTGCTGCAAATATTGAAGTCAGTGTTGATGACATCCCCAAGCCTCTGATAAGGCTGGAGGAGTGCGACTTGCTGTCCATCACCATCGTCAACCTCTCGAACGGTGGGGACATCGACTTCGATCGCTTCAAGCCCGTGATGCTTGCGGCGTTGAGGTCTCTGCTGCCGAAGACGTGGTCCATGGAGCATGAGACTGCTTGGCAGTGGCTGTGGAAGACGATCGCCACAAACCTCATGGAAGCCACCATGAAGGTCCGCTCCTACAAGCCCTGGAGCACCAAGCTGTATTCAGTGATCACCGATGAGCAGCGGGAGTCCTTTCGCTCGGATATCTATACCGACTTCTTCTCCAAGTGCGCTATGAGCCAAGAGCTCTTCAAGCAGTCGCAGACCCGTCTGCGCTACATTGCCGACCGCATAATGCTCAGTGCCTACGACATGCTGCACAAGCCTGTTCCGTGGCTTTACTAGATGCATGATTGTCCGAAGCCCTTTAAGACCAAATAAAGTACTTTTTCGCTTCAGAGTTCTGTCGTCGTCGTAGTCGCAATGGTAACATTGTACTGGTCACAGGAATAGGAAGTAAGAGTAGCAATAGGAGCCAAGCCAAGTAAGACCACCCCCCCCGCTCCCCCCGCTCGCCTCTCCCCCCCCCCCCCCCTTCCTTCCCCCCAAACCTTAAACCCTAAACCCTAAACCCTCAACCCTAAACCCTAAACCCAAAACCCTAAACCCTAAGCCCTAAGCCGCGGCGAAAGCAGACAAAAGTAAGGAAAGGCACAGTAGATTCCTTTCCTTTCCTTTCCTTTCCTTACGGCAGGAGTGAAAAGGTGTTGGATTGCCGAGCCGTCGCACGCGGGGCAGACGCTATTTCTCGAGCAGTGGTCGCATTTTGGTCGAAAATCGTACTTTGACCACAGCGCGAGCGTCGTGCCCGACTTCGGGACGTCGCAACACCTTAGACAGCAATTGGTTCAAACACGTTCAAAATCACAAAAAGGCAGGCGCATGACGGGTGGGTGGGTGGCATATATATATATATATGTGCAGTATATACATAAGCTTTCTGTATATATGCTTGAGTATACATATATATATATATATGTAGCACATATATATATATATATATGTGTATGTAGTTTGCATATACGTAGATGCAACTGTAACTGCAACTGTAAAGGTAAAGGTAAAGGAGTGTATGTGCAAGTGGAAATGTGAAGGTAAATCGAGAAATGTAGAATAGCTAAACAATCTATCTGTACAATCTAAATAGCAATAAGAAAATACATGTATATTTATACACACAGTAATATACACATGTATATATGTGTGGTATATCCAGGTTCAAGAAATGGTGGATGAGCTTTCGGCCCTTGGCCTTCGGCACGTGGGCTACGGCGTCCCAGTGGAGCTGTTTCTCTTCAGACCTTTTGCATCCCCAAAGGTTTGGAAGAGAGGTTGTTAAACCGGTAGCCCCTTGCTTTTGAAGGTTGTGGTTTGTGCAATCTTATACATGTCTAACGCAGGATGTCCTCAGTTTTTGCGCAAAAAGATGAGAGGAAAGCGCATGTGACGTTTTACAGCGGAGCACAACATCCGGGCATTGTCCTCCAATCTTGTTTATCCCCGCATCAAAGCACAAAGCTTGTACCGTCGACATTACTCCCCGTCTTTCCGGAGCATTGCCGAATATTGCCTACTTGCATATCCGGACCCCTTCAAGCTTACATGCCAGCAGCAGTGCCCCCCTCAACAGACGTTCTAGAAGGTTTGCCCCCTTTACCGACACCATTGTGCTCACGATGAAGCCCATTGTCGCATCGTTGGCCGACGATGTCACAACTGTGACAGAGGCCGGGGTTGAGGTTGGCCTTCTCGTTTTTAAGAGGTCTCAAGGCTGCAGGGTATACATGAGATGCCGTCGTTTCTTGAGACTTGAGAGAGCAGACGTTCGGACGGCTCAGAAAACACACTCTGAGAAGGGAGCTGTCCAGCCCTTCGGCTTGTGCCCCTTGCGATTTTTGCAGTCTTTGCGATCCCGCGGATCTGAGGGAATCTGGGGGGGCTTGGGTCTAGACTCCGAGCTTGGTCACTCCATTCCGTCAACTCGAGGTTCCTGTACATCTCTGAAGCTCATCGAATCCATTTGAGCCCTCAAAGGGCTTCTTGAAAAAGCCTCCGAAGCCTCTGAAGCCTCTGAAGCCTCTGAAGCCTCAGAAGCCTCAGTCTTAAAGTCGGCCCCCACCAGCAACCCCACTCGAGGCCCGCGAGGGCAATGCCCCTTGGGTCTTTTTTCAGAGGATTTCGATCAGGTTCGGGAGCTCGTTGGAGGAACACGCCTTGAGATCCTTCAGATTCTCACTCCCCCTTTCCCAAATTCTCCTTCCCAAGACTTGGGGTGGCGCCTTCCAGGCCGCGAGATCCAACACTCACTGGCTGGAGGACCGGGCGAGAGCTTCGGCAGGTAGCCGCCTGGGAGTCATGGACAGTTGTTTCTTGACTCAGGTCAGATAGCTCTGGGGGAGCGCGCCGGGGAGAGAATGAGCAAGCATCACGTCTGGCTGTACGGTGCAGCCGAATAGCGTCCCGCGCACAGCATCATGCGCAGCATCTGAGGGAAGTAGAGCCCGGAAGGGTTCGTCGCAGACGCTCCTCGTCGAGCACCTGCACTGCGAGCCTGGAAAGAGGGGGGGGTTTTCCTTTTCAGGGCCGCACTGCAGGACTTCAACGTCCCTGACAAGATGATGCTCGATGGCTTCCGCTGGTCTCTAGGTGGGAGAGGGAGGGAGAAGGAGAAGAAAGCGTCTCTCCTCAAGGTGCCTCCGCCCTCAAAAACACTCGGAGCCTCTCCCTTTCACGAGGGGAAAGAGTTAGTGGAGGGGACGATCTTCTCTCCTTTTCCAGGGAGAAGGAAGAGACAGACATGCAGAGGAAAAGAGAGAGAGAGAGAGAGAGAGAGAGAGTGGAGGCTTTGTGCCAGTCGCTAGCCAGGCCTGGTGGCCCGAATCCTGATGCGGACCATCACCGAGGGGTCCACCTCCGTCATGCAGGAGCGAGCCACAAAACAAGCTGGCTTTCAAAGCATACGGGACAGGTTCCCCGACATGTCTCTCCAATTTTCTTGTGATTTTCCAGCTCTCGTGCTCTTTCCCCTGGCGCTACCCGCTACCAGCAGCAGCTTACCCTCAGGCCATCAATCACGATGACCACCGGCAGATCGTGAAGGCGGGTTGAGAACGACATGAACGGTTGCAGCTGCGATTTGCAAGGATTGCAAGGTCGACAGGACTTGGAATACTTGAGAGTACCTGGGTCGAGGCTTTGAACGACTCGCCGCGGTTCGACCGGGTTCGCTGGCAGCTGAGGGTGCGCGTCGGCACGTCACTTACCTGTACAGCAGTTTTCTTTCGGTGTTCATTGCAATGTTCCTTTCGTGCAGGTTCGAGGTTCGATCTCAGTGCATAGTTAGGCATAGTTTTGGTGCATGTGCCTTCACGGGTGGTGAAAGGATGTGAAAGGCTGAAAGGTGGGGCTATTCAAGAATCTTGTGCAGAGATGGAAAATATCGCCCGAAAAAAGACACGCCAAAACTTGCCCAGAAGGCGTGTTTTGGGCAGGGGGGCCCGATCTCCTGCCCACATCCTGCACGTTGCGAAGTTTTGAGCCCCCTTTCTTTTCTCAGCTGCGGAGAGCTTTTGAGAGCCTTTGCTTCGGGTCATTGCATCGCTCTCCCCCAACCTGTTTGTAGATGGCAGATTGGAAGCTATCCAAGAAGCCATCAGGCCCCGCTGAACTCGGGATTCCTTCATAAAAACTATGCTATGCCGTACTTATCATACCCGCAGGGAGTTGAGGCTTTTGGGACCTATTTTGACCGCTTCACCACACGAAGGCAGACCATCAGCCCTCTTCACTACGCGCTTCGCAGTGGCAGCCATCAGTGTCTCAACAGAGCTTCTCCCTGCAGCTTCCGACTGGTTTTGTGAGGGCTGCCCGCCCCACCCTAAACCCTAAACCCTAAACCCTAAACCCTAAACCCTAAACCCTAAACCCTAAACCCTAAACCCAAAACCCTAAACCCTAAACCCTCAACCCTCAACCCTAAACCCTAAACCCACCATTGTGAAGCCTCAGATTCCTCCGGGCTGGAAGTGCCGAGATCACCCATGGGTCAGGAGTGGTACGACTGGGTCTCGGGATGTCTTGGGTTCCCTGAGCTGAAAGCCGTTTCTTGAGTCCGGCGAAGATACTCATGTTCCCTCCCTTACGGTGCGTAGGGGGTTTCGTGTGGGAATGGAGGGGTGTACAGCAAAGGTCTGCGAGGAAGATGATCGAGGACGTGCTAACCATTCGCGCGGATCGCCAGCGGTGCCTCTGGGGAAGTGGGGGGTTCAGGATTCGGGAACTTCTGATTTTCGGCGAGTTGGGGGTACCGGGATCTCGCAGCGGCAGTCATAGAACCCTAGCTCCAACCCTGATAGAACCCTAAGATAAAAAATTCCCTCAACCCCCAAAACCCCGAGTTCCTGTCCGGCCCGAGTTTTGCTCCCTCATAAAAAGGACCCTAAACCCTAAACCCTAAACCCTAAAGCCTAAACCCTAAAGGTACTACTACGGCGTGGACGAGCTCTTCAACTACCAGCCGGACGTTGCCGAGCACGTCTGCAGTGAGGCACCCTTCCTGGCCATGGAGTTGCTCGAGGGCTCCCCGGCCTAAGGCGTAAGAACTTTCAGGAACTGGGGGTGGGGGGTTTCCGAAAGTCCTAAACCCTAAACCCTAAACCCTAAACCCTAAACCCTAAACCCTAAACCCTACACCCTAAACCCTAAACCCTAAACCCTAACCCCTAAACCCTAAACCCTAAACCCTAAACCTCCTAGGGTTATATGTCTCTGGCTATCAGGGTCCTTTGAGGGCATTCGAGGTAGAGAGGGGGTTCTTCGAGGCTTGTTGTCCTAAACCCTAATCCTAAACCCTAAACCCTAAACCCTAAACCCTAAACCCTAAACCCTAAACCCTAAACCCTAAACCCTAAACCCCAACAGGGCTCTCGTGTGGGGAGAACTGCCCTCGCAAGGATTGGTCTGGAGATCGCATAAATCTCACGAAGGCATGCGAGCGGTGATCTACTATCTGGAGCACCTGCTGCAGGACTTCAGGGCTTTCTGTCGTCACTGTTCTTTCCCCAAGCCTTAAACCTAAAAGAACAAACCAAAGAACATGTCATGAGCTTGCAACGTTCTTTTTTTGTTCAGAATGTAGACCTCCGCATTGTCGATGCTTGGAACTCAGCCATGTTATTCATAATGACTACTGTTTTTTCTTATTTGCTGTTCTATTTTTTTTTGGTGAAGGGGGGGGGGAGGTGTCTGGGCCTCTAGAAAGTAGCCATCAAAGTAGCCCAAACACACCGGAGCAGGATACGGAGGAGGACTCCACCCTCTCCCGGTCCCTGAAGACCTTCATCAGCTTCAAGGATGCGAAGATCATTCAGCGCCCCGGGGTGCCCTTCATTCCGCGGGGTTTGTGGGGCAAACCAGAGGGGGTGTTTTTTTTTTTGGGGGGGTGTCCCCTTTGGGGGGGGGTGGGGAGGTGTCTACCGGAGGTACCGGCTGCTCAGGATTTCTGGAAGAGGTGGGGTGGGGTGGTTTCTGTCCCGTTCTTGCCAGCAAGGCCTGGAAAATGAGCATCGGCCCACATCGGCACACCAACGTAATATCACCACAACACACACCCCGCAACGCCCTGACCTCACGTTCATGTTTTTAAGCGGCGTCAGGTCGCCAGGATTTAAAGATTGCCCCCGTCCACCCCGAGCCCAAGGGTGCTAGCGCATGGGCGCATGTTGATGCTGCTGCTTAACAGCACTGAAGCTACGTGTTGGCAAAGCCGAGCAGCCGCTCAAACGGCAAGCCATCTTGACGATTTCTACAGCCGCTTTTGCTGTTGATGGCTTGTGCTGTCGATGCTCAAAATGACCGCGCCCTGCCACCATGTAGGTCAGGGCCCATGTCGTCCCCGTGACTTTCCGAGGCCTCCCAGGGCCAGTCCGGGTTCCAGGCTCCTCTAGGCATTGCCAGCACTCCGTCACTCCGTGGGAGTGTGGGTGAAGGGTTGGGCAAACTTGAGCAAAGGGGGAAGGAGACCAGATCCTGCTCTGCTTGTTCCAGACGCCTGTTTGCTCGAGCTTTTGCAGTCGGGCTTCGAGTCTTGTCAAATCTCAGCCCTGACCTGAGGCATCCGATCATCGTCTTTACCACTGACTTGCTGTGGAGCCGTCTGGTGGTGAAAGTGTTCCTGTGCGACCGGGCCTGGACAGGCTTCACCTTCGTCATCTACATCCTGTCGCAGTGCTCACTGAACCAGCCCCATTTCTTGGAGAACGCCGTGTTGCGCTATGTCTTGGGCACCGCGCGCCTGCTCGTTTACATTTGCGGCTTGGGGAGGCTGCTTTACTGGCACTGCCGGGAGACGTGCCGCGCGTCAAGGCGAAAGGACATGGTCAGGTTCGGGCGCCTTTCCATCCCTGCCTACTGGGGAGAGTTCGAGCACCGCATCAGCCTGGCGCTGTTGGTCGTGCTGGTGGGTATGCTCCTATTTCGCATTTGTGCATTTGGCAGATTGCCTTTCTTTGTGCAAGTAGGCCCTGCAATACCTAAGGTTGTTTGTGGAGCCAATGATCTATTGCCTCAACACGAACGACGTCGTGGAGTTCACGTGCTCTGGCTATACCGACGCAATGCACATGATCTACCAGAGCTTCTCCGCGCTGGGCGTCTTCTTGTGCCGCCGGCTGCGTTAAGGGAAAGCAGGCGCCAACAGTATCTAGGAGAGTGGCCGCATTCACAATCGGAATGCAACAGTGTAAGCGGAAAGAAATGGACTTCAAATGGAAGGCGCGAGCAGGCGAACAGTAGGACTTGGGTGCCAGCCTTCCCACTTCCTGTCACTTGCCCTGCAGCCCACTTCCTTTTTGTCATTAAAGGATCCTGAACAGGTCGAGGGCCGCCATGCCACCCGTTCTATGAACTGAGAATGTCTCCTCAATGCCAGTCTTCGCCTCTTCGCCTCTTCGCCTCTTCACTTCCTTGAGCCTTTCCGATGCCACAGGCGCAAACCCGAAGAAGCTCAGGTTCTGCTCGATGATCCTCGACCTTGCCGCGCTGAACATCCGAATGGCAGCCTACAAGGTCCTGTGTGCACAGGCGATGGATCAGGCCAGGTGTGCACTTGATGCGATATGAGTGGAATTCATGCTACAACAGGACCTTCAGGGACGCAGTCTTCCCCTTAGGCGCCTTTGATCGGATCTGAGTAAAGGGGTACTAAAGGGCAGCCGACCCGTCTAGCTTCTCCTTTGCTTAAGTGGATTGCTTTGTTGTTCCTTGCCTGCATCTTGACTCAGTCTCTTGACCGTATGCTATTCTCCCCTGTCCGCGAGCTTTCCCTTGACAGACGGAGTGGCCCAGAAGCCTATACGCCCTGGACAGGTGGTGATGTGCGGCATTGCTCTCTTGGTGACCATCGTCGCTTGGCCGGCTCTTGGATGTCACAGAGCGCTGCGAAGCTTTCAGACTTGCGGCTTAAGGTCACCTTCACCTTCGTCATCAGCTCCCTGTCCCGCGAGACGCAGAGCATCCAGACGCAGGACCCCCCCCCAACCCAGATCGTGCCGAATGCAGAAAGAAAAGCGATGGCATGTCTTGCCCAGAACGTAACCACAAAGCAGCATCCCGCAAAACAGGGGAAGAGAGTGGTGTGAGCGATGCGCCTGGCTTGCGCTTTCTTGCTCCCTCGAAGGATTGGAAGTCCATGGATGGGGCCATGCTCGCCCTGATGCAGACACTGGGCTCAGGATTAGTGTGAAGGCTCACCTCAAGGCCTCAAGGGTCTCACGGGGCTTCGCGGCTTGGCGCGAAGAGTGTGCGAAGCCAGGTGCAAAATCTGTCCCCGGCTGTTTTCGTGGGCCGCGCCTTCAGGTTGAATTGCCCCACATGTTCAAGAAATTGACAGATTCTGAGCAAACGGGAAGAGATACGAATAGATGACAAGTGGCTCTCGTCCGTGGGGTGGAGGAGGCCGATGCGTTGCAAGCGTATCCATGTGAGGGATGAGATGGCGAGAGCTTTTTCCCTGAGAGAAGATAGGCTGTCGGCTGCCACATTCCCAGAAGAGAAGGGCCGGAGAGTGGCAAAAATGAGGACGACCGCTATGCCTCCATAGGTTGGATGTGCGGCCCGGGGTTCGTCTGACCTCGAAATTCTGTTGCCCGCCGTTCCACTCGGTTTTTCAGCAACCAGGATAGCTTTCGGCCTCTTCAGCATGGAGTCCATGGACGAGCTTGCGCAGGACGGCCGTGTGTGTTTTTTGCAGGCTTTTGCTTAGCTTCTTCAGAGTTGTTTAAAGCCGCAAAAGCTGCAAGAAAAATGTGAAACAATATGAAAAAAGATATACATATATATATATATATATATATATATATATATATAGAGAAATATGAATGGAGAGGAGAGCGGCCTCATCTTCGGCTGCGTCCTGCTTTACAGCATCGCCGTTTACACTTGCCTCTTCAACCTGCTGGTCTCACAGCTCCCCGCGGGTCTCAGGCTTGATGTCCAAGGCTGGTGTATTCTGCTGTTGAGGTAGGGTTTAGGGTTTAGGGTTTAGGGTTTAAGGTTTAGGGTTTAGGGTTTAGGGTTTCGGGTTTCGGGTTTCGGGTTTCGGGGAGGGCTCGGAGAGGGACTTGGACTAGCTGGCGTGTTCCCTTTGAAAAAGCTACCTGAGAGACATCTCAGGTTCTGCGGCATCTACATGGCGCTGGCGGAAGACATCGAGGGTCATGCGCGATTGGTGCGAGGGCATATTATCCTGACCGTTCTGAAGGAGACTTGCGCACCGCGCACCTAGCTGGAATCTGCAGAGCGCCTGCCGTATCCCTGAGTTTTTCGCCTTCGGAAGTGCGTTTCCTGCTTTTTATGGCTTAAGGGGGATAACAACGTCATTCATACAGCGACCATGCTACTAAAACACTGGTGTTTAGAACGGCTGTGCCTCTGCACAAGGATGTGGAACAAGACACGCCGTCACAAGGCATCCTTGAACGAACATGCCCAAAGCACTGGCATTTGCAGTGTTTTTGCTTCTTTGCACAGCATACTGCGCAAGGATGTTTGACTTCTCTGGAACAAGACACGCTTTCACGAGCGTGCATACCTTCGGCCTTGGCGAACATGCCCCAAAACACCGTTTTTTTTACAGCACTTTTGCCTCTTTGTACAGCATACTGCACAAGGATGTTTGACGTTTCTGGCACAAGACATGGCGAGCTTCGTTGCCGCAGTTCAACGCCTTTCACCCTCTTGACAGTGCGAAAATATGGTCATTTGCAGTACAAACTGCCCTGTTTTGCGGCTGCAGGCCGTCTAGGGCGCGGGGTGCCGTGTAGTTATGGGGGCAGCTGGGGCTCTGGGCTCGGAGATCAAGCCGAGGGACGAAAAGGTCCCGGAATTCTGGGGACCCATGGAAACCCACTGAAAATATCGGTGACCTCAAGACTTGGCAAGCACTTGTCCAGGCCACTGCCTCCTTACTGGGGGAAGCTGTGCCACCCTTAAACCCTGGGTTTTGGTTGGTGAAGGGTTTGTGTTTGTTGCAGCCAATCGGCTCCGTGAAGTGCTGGCTGTGACACTTGCGACACAGCAGCGTGAAAACGCACAGTGCTGAGGCGCCTTTGCCTGAGTCCGCATCCTCTCTGAACAGCTCGCTTCCCCGGACCCTAGAGTTGCCCTTGCCTTAGTCTCTTGCTGGTGCTGTGACCTGCCGCGCTTCTTTGCTCCCAGCTGTGCGTGTCTACTGAGCCTAATGCTCGTGCTGTGCCATGCACTCCAATGTGAGGTACCACAATTTCCGACTCTCAGCCCTTTTGGCTTGCCAAGCCATGCCTTTATTCCTCCACTAGTGAGGACTCCTGAGCACCTGTGGGCTCAGATTAGCAATGTCTAAACCTCGAATGGGTACCACTCCTCTATCTGCAGATGTCTTTCTAAGTATTCTTCTCGTGCTTGTACTCTTTTCTTTGGCGACAGCAACTCGAGCGTTTTCGCACGTGAAACAATTTTTCCGTCCCAGGGCACGCACAACTTCGCCTGTAAAAGATACTTGGCGTCCCTCGCAGAGGGTTCCCAAGAGGGTTTCAGGCGATCCCTGAGAAGGGGTACTCTCTTCAGGTCCTTCAAACCTTTCTAAGCGCTAGGTCCCTTGCGCATTTCAATCTCCCGGATGACAAAGTAGGAACCCAGCAGGCTTTGCGGAGCTTAGCGGAGCTTCGCGGAGCCCAGCGGAGCCCAGCGGCCAAGAGTTTGGAGGTGGTTGACCCCCGACATAAGTCCTCAAGATCCCGCTTGACAAGCTCCAAAAAGTTTGGAAGCGAAGGGAAGTGGGCCAGAAGCGGCCCAGCAACCCAAAACAGATCGAAAGAATCCTTCCATGCAAGTGAGACACCCCTTGTGCATTTAAGTGACGCCGGAGGACATCCAGCTGAAGAAGTGGCAGGATTTCATTTCCTCCTTGCATCTGGACGCCTGGGCTGTGATTTTGCCTCATTCTGATCTCTAGGCGCTCAAATTTCCGGGCACCTCATGGTCTAAGCGCATGTGGACAGGCATGTGTCGAGATGCCCCGCCCAAATCATGCAAGCCCCACAGCTAGCCTGCAGCCTCGATACGTTGTATGTCCAGACGCAGGCACGCAGCCGCAACGTAGATGGAGGTAGAGGTTTCTGAGCACAGGCTCTGCATTTGTGAGGAATTGGGGTCTTTAGTTTTGTTCCAGGCGTGTTGGAATGCTCATAGAGCGCTGGAAAGGACTTGCGAACCGACTTCGCCGAGGGAGACACCGGTCTGCCAGGTGGGATCAAGAAGCTCGGATCTGCAGTCGGGTTTCCGAGTTGCAGGAGGGTCTCCGCGTAGGATCCTTTGGCGATGTTGCTTGTTGCTCTGTACCGCGACAGAGTTTGTGACTTAAGGCGCTGTCTCGCAGATGTTTTGCCTAACAAGCTTCTGACCAGCCTAGGATCCAGGAACCGGCTTACCTGCATCCTGTGGCGCATGACCAGATTCTGCGGTATGGAGGCATCCCTGCCAAAAAGGAGGAAGCAACACAAAAAGCAACAGAGAGTCAAGAGAAGACGCCAAAAAAAACACCAAGCCGCCCAAGCCGCCAAGCCGCCCAACCTTCCCAAGCCCGAAGCCTTCCTGGGCCATCTCCTGAGCAACCCGCCCCAGGGGCAAATCCCAACAAGAATGCAAATTTGTTGTGGCTGGAGGCAAGACGGATCCGTCGCTGCCGTGGCCAGAGAAGGACACCACCCAGGACGAAACCATGGAGTCGATGGTCGAGCGAACCGTCATCCGGCGACTTGGGAAGAAAGTTCGGGGACATTCCGCGCGCTTTTCACGGGCGCTTGACAGGGATGTCAGAAAAGGCACTCTTAGAGGGCGCTTGAAGGGAGACTTAGCGATGAAGGCGCGCTTTGCTCCTGCGGTGTTCGATGGATACGTGGGATTGATGTGTGCGATAAAGTGCTTCTCAGCCCTGTTTTGAGCTTCGTGAGAAGTCCCCCAGTGTTCACAATGTGCAGGTTGCGTTTCCAACGTTTCTTGGGTCAAGTCTGATCAGAAGCCGATAGCAATCCCAGGAGTGTCAAGAAAGCACTTGGCCAGAACACCAACAGCGAGCACCACAGTGGCAGCCACCACAGCGGGAGCATTCACAGCCACTCTGAAGCTCGCTCTGACGGTGTCTTGGGATTACTCATCCTTAAACCCCTAAACCCCTAAACCCCTAAACCCCTAAACCCCTAAACCCCTCACCCCCTTAACCCCTAAACCCCTAAGCCCCTAAACCCCTAAACCCCTAAACCCCTAAACCCCTAAACCCCTAAACCTCTAAACCCCTAAACCCCTAAACCCCTAAACTCCTAAACCCCTAAACCCCTAAACCCCTATAAACCCCTAAACCCCTAAGCCCCCACCTCCTTTGGAACTTGTTTGTTTCTGCTCTTGCTGTTTTCAAAGTGCATTTTGCCATCGGAAGCCTGATGAATGGAATCCTGGATCGTCGCTGCTACTACCACTACCACTACCACTACCACTACCACTACGACTACCACTACCATGTACGAAGTACCAGAAATTCCTTAGCAACTTGGCAACACCAGTGCACAACAAAGGCCAGGCTGCCGCCGTGGGGCTGTAGGCCTTGTGAGAAGCCTTGTAAGAGGCCTTGGGCTGGAGCGCGGCAGCTCGAAGTTCTGAGGAGCCGTGCATAATTCGTGAGGTACCTTTGTCGAGCGGTTGCGAGGACGGGATGGTGTCGATGCCCTGTACCAATTAAAAACTGGGCGAATCAGCCGAGCCCTCCCCTCGCATATCAATGAAGTCAGTAGAACCTTGACTTCCGTTTCGTTGATGACTTCCTGAACTGGAAGGCGCATCAACCAAGCTCAACCACGAGAGGTTGCTTACGAGCAGACCGCTGCAGTTGATGCAAGTATTCTCAACATTCTTTTCGCAGCCTTGTGACAGCGGCCAGCGACTAGGCTGGTCGGCCACTTGGCCGGTGGGCTGACACTTCCCTGGCATGCAGCCATGCAGCAGCATGCTGCAGTGTATGCTCCGAAAGAAACTTAGATTGTAGTGCAGGGACGCTTCCTTAAACATAGCCACATGTCATCAGAAATCAGTCTTAGTGAGCAGCATGAGCAGTACAGACCGGAGCGTTTAGAAGGCTGCTATGGGAACTCGCGAGTCTACTGACACTGACAGGCAGACGCAGACACAGCCAAAATGCAGCCGCCTTGTCAGGAGCCCCGTGAGACACCTTGAATGTCGGGAACTGCACCGCTCCCCCATTCACTCATTTACACTGTCACCACGTCCAGCAAGCCTTCTCAGGCAGAAGAAGTATCCGAAGTATGGCGCAAGTAAATGCAGCGAAGGTTGCTGGAGGGGTTGTTCCGCATACTTCCGCACGTAGCCAGCAGTCCAAGGACTGGAGCGCGATATGCAAGGTAGGTTCTAAGGCAAAGCAACTGCGCATGTGCTCCAATGTTCCCCGGGGCTTAGCGGAAGCTGTGCTGCGAAGTGCCTGCTGATGAGAACTGAAGCAAAGCGCGTTTTACGTAATGTTGAGCACGCATGGTAACATGTCACATCTACTCAATTCTGGGGCCTAGACTGCCACCGCCTAGACACCGAGACCTAGCCGGAAGCTGCGGGGACCTGGCATGAGTTGTAGCGAGTTGTAATGAGTCGTAGTGGGTTGTATTGTAATGCCACAGTAAGAAGTGCATTCTGTAAAGCATTGATGCAAGTTCTAGGTGTAGAGACCACTGACCTTGGTCACGAGCCACGCACCTCAGGGAAATCTTGCCAACAGTTAAGAACAGCAGGCCGGAATTTCAGCATGTCAGCGTGCATCGCGTGCATCAGTTCCGACGCCTGAGCTCCGCAGTGGCACTTTGCCTTCTTGTGAGGATGCTGCAGGTCTGGGCACTAGCATTTGCCACCAGAACCCGGCTAAAGGCCCACGTTTGTGAAGTGGCTCGGAATCATCGACCAATTAATCTTTGTGCCAGTTTCGTGCAAGTGTGCGCATTGCCCTGCTCGGTAGCTAGAGCTGGGAGTCTTCGGAACATGTTGAGGCAATCTGTGCAGCTGTCCAGCGTCTTGCCAGTGTTGTGGTACCCTGCATCGCTCACCAAATCCAAGCCCTCTGCCTCTGCTGTGGCAGTGATGGCTTTTTCTATCCTGCTACTGTCAGAATTTAATTCAGTTCAGCCTGAGTAAAGCGATGAGATATTCCACAGAAATCTATTTCAAGGGCACGAAGACCCACCACATTTTAAGTGCGACAGCTGACCTGCTGTCTTTTGGGAAGTGTTTTGAGGGAGCCGAGGCAATGCCAAGGCTGTCAGTTTCAAACCGACAAAACCAACTCTCAAATATGACTTACCTGCTGCGCAGCGTCGGGGGCTGCGCTGTAATACCCCGCTGTTTCAATACAGGAGCTGGGACTCCTTAATGCGTTTGCAGAGAAGTTGATGCAGCCTTTGTGTTCGATAAACGAGGCATCGTTTCAATGGCGCTCTGATCGAGCAGGCTGTGTCAGTACTGACTTTGGAAGAAACATCGCACAAGTGCACTGCGTTCACGCTGCACTGTGCGTGGGTCGGTAAGTGGAGAAGGTGTATAAGTGTGGAAGTGTGTATGTGTGGAAGTGTGGAAGTGTGTGTGTGTGTGTGTGTGAGAGTCAATGTGTGAATGTGTGAGAGATTCAATGTGTGAATGTGTTCGTGTGTGTGTGTGTGTGTGTGTGTGTGTAAGAGTGTGTGTGTGTGGGTAAGAGTGTGTGTGTAAGAGTGTGTGTGTCTGTGTGTGTGTGTGCGGGTGTGTAAGTGTGTGTGTGTGTGTGTGTAAGAGTGTGTGTGTAAGTGTGTGTAAGTGTGTGTAAGCGTGTGTATGGAAGTGTGTGTAAGTGTGTGTAAGTGTGTGTAAGCGTGTGTATGTAAGTGTGTGTATGTAAGTGTGTGTATGTAAGTGTGTGTATGTAAGTGTGTGTAAAAGTGTGTGTGTAAAAGTGTGTGTAAAAGTGTGTGCGTGCGTGCGTGCGTGCGTGGGTGTGTGTGCGTGCGTGTGCGTGTGCGTGTGCGTGTGCGTGTGCGTGTGCGTGTGCGTGTGCGTGTGCGTGTGCGTGTGCGTGTGCGTGTGCGTGTGCGTGTGCGTGCGTGTGTGCGTGTGCGTGTGTGTGCGTGTGCGTGTGCGTGTGTGCGTGTGCGTGTGTGCGTGTGCGTGTGCGTGTGCGTGTGCGTGTGCGTGTGCGTGTGCGTGTGCGTGTGCGTGTGTGTGTGTGTGTGTGTGTGTGTGTGTGTGTGTGTGTGTGTGTGTGTGTGTGTGTGTGGGTGTGTGGGTGTGTGGGTGTGTGGGTGTGTGGGTGTGTGTGTGTGTGTGTGTGTGTCTGTGTGTCTGTGTAAGTGTGTGTGATATTGATGTGTGATATTGTATGATGATGGCCACACGTCGCGTCTCGATTTGTAGCTCCGGTTGGGAGAAAAGCCTGGGGATCTTCTCCCAGCTTTTCCAAGTCTTTCTCAGACATGACGCCCCGGGCTCAATGCAGGGAGTTGGACCAACCCCGAGTTCCAAAAGTCCTAGACGTAGTGTGGCTGGAGCCTTAGGAAGGTGTCGACATGGAGCGATGCACTGCCCCGACTGCCCTGTGCAGAGCATTCACACTGCAACTGCTCTGCGCCTGTTGCGCATGTGCCGCTCCACTTGGTGGCCCGGAGCAGCTGCACTTGGCCTTGGGTGACAAGCCCAGCGTGGTCACCGTCACATTCTTGAGCAATGTGTCATACAACCGCTCAACTTGTACTCTCCGTCATCCTGGCAGCACGGCGAATCTTACCTACACCGGCACATCCCGGGTGTACAGCAACAAAGGCTGGGCCGGCAGAATCCATTCTGTTCAGATGGATGAACTTCCCGAGAACACGCGCTTGTCCTATTCATGTGATGGCACGTCCTGGCATGGATTCCAAACACCACCTCCTGTTGGCCACTTTCCAATCACAATTGCTGCGGTGGCTGACCTTGGAGAGAACTGCAACAAGGAAGGCTGCGGCAATGCCACGATTTCTTCGTTGGCCAGGGATGACTCCTACTCGATGCTGCTGCATGCTGGTGACATTGCTTATACTGGCGGAGATGAAGTGGTTTGGGATCACTTCATGGCAGAGATCGAGCCCATCGCACGTGAGCGACCCTACATGGTTGGCGTCGGGAACCACGAGCACTTCAACAACTTCACAGGCTACAGCGTGCGGTTTACAATGCCCGGTGTTGCTTCTTCCAACGGAAACCTTTGGTACTCCTTCGATTACGGCGGTGTTCACTTCATGACTTTCTCTACTGAACACCATCTCGACGTACAGCTGCCATTCATCAAAGCAGACCTGGCCGCCGCTACGGCCAACAGGGAGAAGGTGCCATGGATCGTGGTCTTTGCCCACAAGCCACTGTACTGCTCCACGAATGATTACTACGACTGCAACATTCACAGCCTTCGTCTCCGCACAGAACTGGAGCCACTGTTCCAAGCCCACCAGGTCGATGGGTGAAGTGCCTTAAGCCCCCCCCCCTCCCAATGTAAGCCGTGCAAGCCGCTGAAAGTTTGAGAAGGGGCCCCCCCAGCATTGCCCCAAGGTGGACCTCTTCTTGGGCGGCCACCTCCACAACTACGAACGCACATGGCCGGTGATGCGAAATGTGACGGTGGCCAAGAGCTACACGAACCCGACGGCCACTGTGCACGCGGTGATTGGCAATGCTGGGGACTCCGAGGGCCTTACGGACAAGTGGTTTGCATGCCCTGATTGGTCCGTGACACGCCAGGCCTCCCTTGGCTATGCCAAGCTTCGCTTCGAAAGCGCCACCAGGCTGAAGTTTGACTTAGTCGCCTCTGCCTCGGGATCCCTGATTGACACCTTCACGATCGAGCGATCATTGCCTGGGACGGCGCCTGCATCGCCTGCATCGCCTGCCCTCTACATGTAAACAAAGCCATTCTGAAAAAACATTCGCGTCGATGAATGATGGAGGAGGGCTCTTGCAATTTCGCAAGTCTTCCGCGTTAACGTGCTAAGATGTGTTGAGGGGACGCCTCGTTGGGAGCTTGGTGACAGAACTGAGTTTGAGAAACCGAGGGGTTCCTAGGACCCTTGGTTTGGATCATGAACCATTCAGCCTGTTCAGGTTCCGCAGCTTTTGTAGCATCAGAGACTCTGCCCATGACATCTCCAGAGTAGGAAAGTGCACACTCCACGCAGAACTTACGTGCTTTAGAACGCATCACAACCGTCAAAGAAGGCCGAGCCGATAGCTCTTCAGCAGCATCCAGGGTTCGAGGCGATAGAGTAGACATAGAGTCATTCTGCGACCCAGCCATTGTGCGCAGTAGCAGAATCTGCTGCTTCCACGTGCAGGCAGCCAGCCTTCCTGGGTTCTGTAGGGAATGCTATGTAATGCTCAAGAGCAGCACAGGGCAGCACAGAGTTGGATGCCATGTTCCTTACGGGGCCCACCCCAAAACGATGCACAGAGGGCAGATAGCAGCGACTCCCCTCAGATGTGAGACTCATAGGAGGCCTCAGTTGAAGAACTCTAAAGCCCCACACGCATCTGTCAGGCAAACTCCCGGGTCGACACCATGGTGAGGAGACTGGCAGCAGCTGTGGGGATTCGATCCGTTTGGGTTTAAGAACGCGGTGCTGCAAAAATACTCAGAGCCTGAAGTCGACAGTCAGCTACGGAGCTCCTGCCTGAAAGGCTGTACAAGAGAAATGAACTGAAGTCTGCTTATTGGATTCTTTGGGCTAAGGGTCGAAGCCATAGTCGCCGCGGGAGCATCATGCAGTCACGACAGCGACTGACAGAACAAAGGAGCTCTTCATCGATGCTCTTTCCGTCCGTCGCTGTGTCGTGTTTGGACCCAACGAAACAACAAACCGCAGCTGATCCACAATGAGGAAGTATCAGCACTACTGCAGTACTTGCCACCGTCGTGATGTGGTGTTGTGCCCTCCTAGTGCAGCTTCCACCCTCAAAAAGACATCAGCACACATTTTGCCCTTGCTGTGTGTGCAGCCCCCTTCGGTGAGAGCGAGGTTCAATACGTGACCTTAGGGGCTTGCACTTCGCCAATGCTCGGAAAGCTTCCAGGGCGCTGTTTTCAAGAGGGCAGCACTGCGCCAGCGCTGTGGGCACCCCCTCTTTTAAGCTACCGATGCCAGACTTCGTTCTTTTGCTGGCACTAGAGGCTCAAAGGGGGGGGACCTTTGTAAGGACCAACTCTCCGGTTTGGGTTTGGGGCTTCGTTTGTGGGCGCCAGTTGTCTGATTAGTTTGTGTCGCCAGGCCCTGCTTGGTATTTTCCTCTACGCCGCCTGTCCCAAGAAGGCCCACAGCTTGTGGTTCGCCTTAGCACTCCAGATGAGATGCAAGGAGGCCAACCGGTTGCAACTTTTCATCTGTCCAGGCGGCATTCCTTCCTGGAGCCTGGAGCGCTGGTGGAGGACCACTGGGGGTTGTTTAGGGTTCAGGGTCTCTGTTGGAAGGCTCCTTATGCAGGCCGTTTTGGTAGTAGGCCCCCCCCGTAAGATGGACACTTAAAGGCTATGCTGCACGTGCGTGCCTTGTAAACAAATACTTTACAAAGGAAACGCCCGCAGAATAGACGCAACGCACCCGCAGAATAGACGCAATGCACCCTGTCAGCGCACTGTGTCCTGGGCGGGGGCGCGCGGAGGGCGCGGAGGGCGCGGAGGGCGCGGAGGGCGCGGAGGGCGCGGAGGGCGCGGAGGGCGCGGAGGGCGCGGAGGGTGCGGAGGGCGCGGAGGGTGCAGAAGGTGTAGCGGAGGGCGCGGAGGGCGCGGAGGGTGCGGAGGGCGCGGAGGGCGCGGAGGGCGCGGAGGGCGCGGAGGGCGCGGAGGGCGCGGAGGGCGCGGGAGCGCGCGGAGGGCGCGGAGGGCACGGAGGGCGCAGAGCGTGCAGAGGGCGGAAAGGCGCGGAGGGCGCGCGGCATCCACGTGTCCCCAAATCCCCTGCCCATCAACCGAATGTCACTCTCCCCTTCCGCGCCGAACCCGTCCGTCAACCTCCATGCATGGTCCACGCCTCCCCACATCTCCAGCAAAATGTTCCGAACCCCATTTCCGTCCGACCCTCCAAGGAGCGATCCGATAGAACGCCTTCCGCATTGAAGCGCCAAACGAGAACCCAATTTCAGAATTGGTTTTCGGGAACCAATCCAAGAAAGCAAAGAGCACGCGCAGAATAGACGTTAAGCGTCCAAGGCACAGGCCCCCCCCCCTAGTTGAGAACACTTCCCACTTTTGCTGGGGCAAGACTTGCTTTGGAGTGACACTTGCAAATTATTGGAGTCAGCCCCGTGTCGGAATGATGTAGGGGGTAAGATGGTCTGATGCCCAGCGCCCTTGACTTGAGAAGTCTGAAGTCTGCCTTGGTGCAGGATTCTTTTCTTGCAGTATCCGAGAGTCAGAAAGCCCGGGCTCATTGGGCTCTCAAAGCTGCCATCCCCTTCTCTTGGCTAGGGTCCACGAAACCCACAGCCACAGATCCGGCCCAAGAGGCGGGGGCAGCTTCCTGTTTTTGCAACTGCCTCTGTGTTTAACAAAGATCGCAGCTGTGCGAGTTTGCTTTCTCTTTACTGAAGCCATCGATCGATCGAGAGAGAGAGAGAGAGAGAGAGGGAGAGTGCCCAGCAGAAGAAGAAGATGAAGAAGAAGAGAGAGGGAGGGATAGATGAACCTTGGCCATGTCGAGGCCACTCCCATTCCCTCGCGTCGTCACATGCTGGCCGGGGCAGCTTTGGCAGCCGCGTACTTAGAGCGCCATCTCCTTGCGCTTTCTGCCTAGATCTGCCCCTGTCTGCGCTTTGGAGCCCTGAACACTTCGGGAGGTGGCGAGTCCAGGTGGAGCCCAGGCACTCACCATGGAGGACGTGCCCAAAGCTCCGGCTTCGGCTTGGCAGACCTTAAGCTCCCGAACACTTCCATCGACAGTATAACTCAGTGTAACCGACGAAAACCCAACAGCGGGATACTAGTGGGAACGAGGGATGCGAAGCACATAGAAGCATGACAATGAGAAGCCATTGCGTTTGTGAGGAGGTCAATGCCGCAAACCTTTTCCTCACAGCCTCGCCGAGTGCGTGGCACCCAGGAAGGTGGGCAAAGTGGTGGACAGTAGCTGAGGGGCCCTGAACTTCACTGCGAGACCCCTCGGCCCTCGGCCCTCGGCCCTCGGCCCTCGGCCCTGGCCCTCGGCCCTCGGCCCTAAAAGGATTGCTTTGACGGGGCTCCGCGGGGGCATCGCGAAACGATGGCAGAGGCCTGCATGACTGTCCACGAGGCAATGGTGTCCTTGACAAACTTTCGAGGCATGCCATGTGTCTTGGTGATTTCTCCATCATGTGCCCCTGCAATCGCGCTCGGCTTTGTGAGTCCTCTGGTCCTTCCCCCCTTATCGGGCCCCAAAGCCTCTCGTGTGTTTCTGAGACGCTTCTGACGAACTCGCAATTCGGGTTTTTGCGCCTTTTTAAGCGCTGAACAACCTCCAACAATCCCTGGCTGGGGGGGGGAGATCAGCAGCAGGCCCAGTTCCAAACCACGAAAGATACGAGACTTGCAGCCAGGGGAGCTACACAAGTCTCGTGCGCGCACGCGCGCGCGCGTGTGTGTGTGTGTGTGTGTGTGTGTGTGTGTGTGTGTGTGTGTGTGTGTGTGTGTGTGTGTGTGTGTGTGTGTGTGTGTGTGTGTGTGAGAGAAAGTTTGGGAGTCCGTGCCACATCAGCACTGATGCTAAAGACTGCCTTGGCTGGGAGCCCAAGGTTCTCAGCGTTTCAGAGGGCCAAAAGAATGCCTGGGACTCAGGGAGATTGTGGGGGCATGCTTAGCGAACACTGAACACTGGCAGCAGAGCATTAGAGGAGAGCAAACGGAGGCAAGGGAGTCCTTCAGGTGAAGATTTCTTGCAGTTCTTTGCACGAGAGATTTTGGCTCAACCTGTCTTTTGGACAATGGAACATAGTGAGATGGACCGTGAAAAGCAACATGACCATCATGGCTCCATTCTGTTGTTTGGTGCCGGCATCTCGACGGTTGAGCATTATTGACTTGCGCAGCAGCATCGGCACTTAGTAACCAGATGTTGCGAAGAAATGTGCGGACATTGAGTTTTCCTGATCTTGCGCCATGCGCCGCTGGTTGGGGCATCCGGAACAAGCACGTGCAATTGACTGGTTGATCCTGAGCTGATGCAAGCTGGCTTCCTGAACCGGCCAACAGCGCCAGCGGCCCGACGGCAGAGGGAGAACACCAGTCATGTGAAGGACATCGCGAAGCTGGAGCAGGTGAAGACCTTTGCATGGGGTCACAGCAAAGATGTGCTCAAGGAGCACAGTGCCTGGGTCATTGTTGAAAAGCATTTTACACATTTATGAATACTTAAACCCACTAAGGCTACTAAGGAACAAGAACGATCACTTTTTAATCGTGCCCCAACAATGGCTCAGGTGCGAATAGTGCCACTGCAAATGATGGAGGTGACGGGATGCCGGTTCCTCGCAATGACCTCGGGAAGCCCACCGGTCGCTTCGACGTGGGCGACATCTGTGAAGTCGTGGGCGGCGCGCTGGTTCGCAGATCAGAAGACCTCGACAGCGAGAAAGTCGGCCAGTTGGTGGATGGGTGCCGTGCAGAAGTCGTAGAGATAGGTTCTGGGCCCAGTGGCAAGCGAATCGCGATAGAAGACACCGATGGGCTTCGAGGCTGGGTCAGCGTAGTTGCCACCACGGGGGAAACGCTCATCCGCATTATCGAGAAGGAGCTGCGAGGTGAAGCTCGGGCGAGGAGGCTTGAAGCTGCTGCGAAAGCAGCACGGCACGATTGCAGCAAGCCCACCTCACGCTTTGACATCGGAGATGTGTGTGATGTAGTGGGAGGAGCGATCATGCGAGAAACTGAGGAGTTAGACAGCCGTCAGCTTGGGAAACTGCAGAACCGAAGTCAGGTTAAGGTCGTGGAGATTGGATCAGGACCGACGGGCAAGCGCTTGCTGGTGACCGACGACACGGGTCGGGCAGGTTGGATCAGTGTCGTCTCATCCGACGGCACGCAGCTCTTGCGCCCCGTGAAGACGCCAGAGCCAGCGCCAGTGCCGCCAGCTCCTGCGATGGAGGTGCTGGACGTCGTGGAGAGAGCGCCAGAGAGGACGCCGGGTCCCCTCATCTCGCAGGTCCACAAGGACATGGTTTCGCAGGCGCTGGCCCCCTTCGTGGAGCCCGCAGTCCTGGTGAGTTCCGCTCGCGCTCAGCGTGGCTTCGACCTGGAGGTGTCCTATTTGGAGAGGGAGCACATGGAACAGCTCCTGGCCGACAAGTTTGCGAGCGAGGGCATCCAGGAGCCGAGCTACGACCATGTCAAGCTACGTGACGCAAAGGGTAAGTGGTACAAGCCCGGCGAAGCACCGGACGTGCCGACGCCCGACCTCTTTCCAATTACTCTCTACTACCGGCCCCCGAAACCAGAGCAATCTGCCGAGATGGTCCTTGCCTTGCGCCAGAGAAAGGCATACGAGTCCTTGACGCCAACTCAGCGCCGCGGATTGTCAGAGGTGCAGCGGCAGCTGGAACGCGCCTACTCAACGGAAAGCAACGACTTGCTGGACCGCGCCATGCGCCTGGCACACTCTCTTGGCCTCCCTCTAGGCACTGCCGGACTTCCTGTGTCGCTGATGCCCGAGTCGGTGTGCTTTCCGAAAGGCAACGAGCCCTTGCTGTACGATGGGCACCTCTACTCCATGCAGTCCACTTCCATGTTGGTCTTCGATCCTCCCGACTTCAGTGTGCCCATGGGAGTTTGGAATCCTCAGCGCCAGCGTGTCGATCCTGCCGTCATGCAGAGCGAGGTTGCTGGGCGCACCGACATCGTCCACTTTGGCAAGAGCTTTCACATGCTAGAGCAGGGACATGTCATTGACCCAGACTCTCAGCAGGTAGTTGGGATGATACGTCCTATGAACGGTGACTTCGAGTTCTTTGATCCCATCCCTCTTCCTGTCGCCGATTTCATGATGAGGCGTGGCTTTCGACTGGAAGCTCCTTCCGCGAAACTCACAAATGGACCTTTCGTGCAAATCCTCCCTCAGGTGGAGGATGATGATGGGATCCCGGAGCTGCATCTGCAGATGCAGGCCGCAGGCAATGCGAAAGCACTGAAGTATGCGCCAATTGAGCAGCGCGGGAACAAGGACCTAATGATCCAAGCGATGCGACAGGGACAGGGTCCCCAGAGCTGGAAGATCATGCTGTGCGGAACGCAAGAGATCCTGGCGGATCGGGACGTTCTGTCCGAAGCGGTGAAGCAGGACTATAGTGCCATGGCCTATGCATCCCACTTCTACAGCGACCGGAGCTTCATGCTTTCGGCAGTGCAACAGCATGGAGTTGCCCTGCAGTATGGCACGGAGGAGATCCGGGCAGACCCGGAGCTGGCCTATTTGGCGGTGAAGGCGAGCTGGAGGGCGCTGTCGAACGTCTCGGAGAAGCTAAGGGGCTCCTCAAGGATTGTCCGAGAAGCCGTGAAGCAGTGCTGGCAAGCCTTGGAGTTTGCTTCCGAGGAGCTTCGAGATGACAAGGATGTGGTAAACCTCGCCGTGAAGCAAACCTGGCAGGCCCTCCAGTTTGCCTCCCTCCGGCTCCGTGGCGACGCGGCCTTCATGTCGAAAGTGGCGGCTCAGAGCGTCGATGCTCTCCAGTTTGCTGCCGACACCCTTCTTGGCAGCGCCGACTTCATGAAGCAGGTGGTGCAACTTGACGGCATGGCACTTCGCTTTGCTGCGGAGCCGGTGAAAGACCGGGACATGGTGCTGCAGGCTGTGCGGTCGAACTGGCACGCGCTGCAGCATGCCCCTCCGTGGCTTCGTGCAGACAGGGCAGTGGTTCTGGAGGCTGTCCGGCAGCATCATTCCGCCCTGCAGCTGGCATCTCCCGAGGTCCTTCTCGACGAGGAGCTCATCTTCGAGGCAGCCCGGCGGCGACCTGACTTGCTGCGTGGCTTGCCCGACGAGCCTCGATCCAGTAGAGGTCTCATGATGCGCATGGTGAAGTTGCACCCCATGTCGCTGCAGTATTCCGCGGACCAAATCCGATGCGACGAAGAGATTGTTCTGGAGGCTTTGCGGCGGAACTGGAGGAGCTTTCAGTTTGCCGCGCCTGAGTTGAAGGCCTCGCAGGGCTTCCTCCTCCAAGCGGTGCAGCTGAATGCGCTTGTACTGTCCCTTGCTGATGAGGCACTGCAAAAGGATCCACAGATCGTCTGTGAAGCCGTGGAGCGGGAGTGGGAGATGCTGGAGCACGTCTCGCAAGATCTCCGTGGCAACTACGCCTTCATGCTGGAAGCTGTAGGCATCGAAGGGATGTCACTGAAGTACGCATCGGAGGAACTGAGCCAGAACCGTGAGCTCGTTGTAGCGGCCGTGGGGAATTCGGGGCAGGCACTGGAGTTTGCGGCCCCGGAGTTGCGCTCAGATCCTGAGCTGGTACTCATGGCCACTCGCCAGGACCCCGAGGCGATCTGCTTTGCGGAGGACCACTTGACCAGCGACTTCGCTTTCATGTTCAGGGCCGTGCGGGTGGATGGGCTGGCTCTGAAAGGTGCCTCGATTGACTTAAAAGCCGATCCAGACTTGGTCCTGGCCGCCGTGCAACAGAACTGGCGGTCCCTGAGCTACGCAAACCGGGCCCTGCGCTCGAACCTGGAGTTCATGCTGCAAGCAGTGGCCGTGGACAGCTTTGCGCTGTCCATGGCGGCCGAGGAGCTCTGGATGCACCCGCAACTTCTGGCCGCTGCTGCCCAGGAGCAAGAGCACTCCTTGGACACAAGTCCGGAGGAGAAAAATGAGGATGAAAACAAAGGAGCTGATCTGCGGCAGCTGCTGCAGCAGGCTCGGCCCAACTGGTCGGAGGCAGACCTGCAGTCTGCGGTGCAGAAGCTGTCCGTCATCGGGGTGACAACCGCACCGCTTCTAGCACAGGCGCTTGCTAGCGACCTGAACGGTCGCTTACGTGCAGCTGGGCAGAAGATCTTCACCGCCACAACGGTGATGGAGCTGAAAGCTCGCTCGGCAGCGTCGATGGCAGCGGCAGCTGCCGCAGACGCCGAAGCAGCGGCAGCGGTTGCGCTCGCGCAGCCGCAGTGCTCGCGGAAGGCAAGATCTGGTGGGAGGCCGAATGCCCGACTGACGTTCTGAGCCCTGGTTGAAGGGAGCGTTCCCAGATCGTCATGGCCCAGCTCTGAAGAAAGCCGGTCCCAATTGTTAGGCCCGTCCCGTGTTTTATCTATCTCTCACTCCCTCTCTCTCTCTCTGACTTTCTCGCTCTCTCCAGACGGTTGATAATAAGAATAATAGCAATAATAATGGCCATTAAAATACAACATATGAATAGAAGTAGTAATACTCTTTGACTACTGTGTGTCAGTTGCGAGAGGGAGGCGCTTCAACTCTCGACTTCGGAGTTGCGCAGCTGCGCCCTGCAGCAAAAGGGAGCGGAGCCGAAGACATCCGAAGACCTCCCTGGAACGTCCTGGACCCGAAGGGAATCACGCAGAGAGATCACGAAGAGTGATGTCACCACCGAATCTCTGAATGCATGAGGCGCCAGGCCCTACAGGCACCGGCTTCATCTGGGACGCCTCCCACGCCTCGGGCCCCAGAAGTCTGGAGAGCATTCTGGAGAGAACTGCAGAACAGTTGCACATAGGGTTTAGGGTTTAGGGTTTAGGGTGTAGGGTTTAGGGTTTAGGGTTTAGAGAACTTGTGTGGATGCTGAGAGCCGGAAAGAGCTTTGACTCCTAGACTTGAGTGAGGCTCTTGTCCTAGACCCCCTCCTAAAACTATGTTGTTGCGCTTCTGCAGGTTGTGACCAACTTCCACGTGGTGAAAGAGCTGAAGAGCCCCCATGTCACCTTCCTGCGCAAGGCAAGGCGTTGCAACTATATTGTACGGTTGTACGGATTCGAGCGGCCGTTTTGAATCGCAGCTTGGGCGAGAATCTTGGTGATCTTGACTACGGGATTTCCACTAGTTCCGAGCCCACGGAGTTCTGCGCGTTCACCCTGTGTTCGCCCAGTGTTCGCCCTGTCTTCACCCTGTGTCACTGTGTGCTCCCTGCAGCAGGATGAGTCGGGAACCGAAGACCACATCACCGTCGGTGCCGGGCCTCAAAGAGTCACTCATTCGGTCCCCAGTAGGCGCCCTTGGGGGGTTTAGGGGCCAGGCAGCCTTGAGGGCAGCTTAGGGCAGAGTCAGCATCTGTGCAGCTCATCGGCACGGCTTTCACGCCAATTGCAATCTCGCCATCCTGTCTGCTTTCAGATGCGTACGCAGATGAGTCAGCAGATGAACGTGTGTTGAAGACTTGGTGGAGGTAGTGCATGTTGGTTTCAACAGTTGGCAGGGAGAATGTTGGGCAACAGGCATTTGCGAACAGCGAATGCCAAAGAGTCAGCACCATGTTGCAACCTTTTGTTCTTTACGATGACGCGCCAGACAAACAAACACATTTAAGGCTTTTTCATGATGACTTCCTGGCGTAGCCTGGGCAGATCCTTCTAGGAGGTGAGATTCGGTGAGATGTCCCGGCTCCCTCGGCATCTTTTGCTTGCGGCACTGTGCTGCACTTCAGGCGAAGCTTGGCGGAACATGCCTTAATGGCCTCTTCCCTGAAACGGGATCCCAGCATCAGCCCCTTGGAACTCTAGAAAATAAGAAAACGGCCCGTCTTACCGCGTGCCCAGGAGTGCGGTGAGACACTCGAACCACTGGTGTGGGATGATGCTTGCGTGGTGAACGCAGCCTGGCGTTGTTGAGTTTTCTGCTGATTGGCACGCAGTGCCTTTCATGTCGCAGCCGAGGCATCTTTAGAGGATTGTGGCAACTTGGACTTCAAAATTGGAGTGGTGCCTGTGCCGACGGAGCCCTCCAGCTTTGGAGAAGAGCGTATGGGCTTTTCAGCCTCCCCATACTTCGGCATCTAAACTTCATCTGCCTTGAATTTGTGTTCAGTCCAACCACGCGGCATCTTGAGTGATGGAGAGCAGTTGTGTACCGTGCCGAAGAACGCTTCACTACACAACATGCAGCTGTTACTACACAGACGGGGACCATGAGTCATGAGTGCAGAGATGAAGGTCAAAGAGGGTTTCGCGTGTGAGTGAATGAGCGCGAGTACGAGAGAGAAAGAGCGTGCGCGTGTATGTGCGAATGTGAGTGTGACTGAGTGCGTTGTTGTTTTCCAGTGATTCCAGTGTCGGTTTGCAAATGCGACCTGGGGACTTGAGCAAGAAGTTCCCCGAGCCCCCCCCAAGCGCTGAACCTCTGGCCCCTTCTTTCTGCAGATTCCGAATTTTGTTTTTGGGGGGAGGTACGCAAAAAGAAGGGTTTCCCAGAGGGCTCGCGCTTCGAAGGCACTTCTTTGCGCCAGCTCCGTGCCTCGACGAGGGGCAGGCGAATTGGGGGAGATCGGAGAGTCGGAGAGTCGGAGAGTCGGGGTTTAGGGTTTGTAGGGTTTATAGGGCTTAGGATTAGGCTTTAAGGGTTAGGGTTTGAAAACAAAGGAGGTCGAGACAATCTGCGCCGCCAGGAAATTGCTGCTTGCAATGCCTGAGCTTGAACATAGACCAAGTGCCCCCAACTTCATCTACAATTCCTCTTCAATCTCCTTAAACCCTAAACCCTAAAACCCAAAAAACCCCAAATCCTGCACTGCCTCCACTCGCAGGCCGAGGAGTCCTGCCGGTGAGCGCTATCTCGAGCTCGTGCTTTGGACGCAAAATACCAACCTGCAGAGGGTTTAGGGTTTAGGGATGGTTTAGGGTGTAGGGTTCCATTGCCAGTGGAATCTTCCTAACCCTCAGAGTTGGCCGGGCCTAACTTCGTAGCTTGCTAGCTTTGGAGGGTTCGTGACATTGATGTGTGTGCTTTGAGCAGGTGGACACTTTCCTGGAGCGCCAGCCACGGCAGTCATTCTTAAAGACGCTTGGAGTCTCGATGGGCCTTGCGATTCCCCGGTTCCCCCATGGTGGAAACTCCCCCCCCCCCCCCCCCCCCCCCCCCCCAAGAGGGGGTGCGTTCATTGCCCTTGCAACTCTTGCAGTATCCATCTTTTGAGGGAGATGCAATTGTGTTCATCTTCTGGTTTGCATGATGAGACGCCCTAACTCAATGCACTTCAACCCTAAACTTCAATTTTTTGTCCCAGGAATGGCGCAGGTCTGCTGCAGACCTTTGGGGCCTCCCTGGGGGGTGGTGACTGCGGCGACCTGTGTGCGCTGCCTGTGCCTGGGTACAATTGCCGGCCTTCAGTTGGGGCAACTGTTGAACGCCCAGTGGTTGGCTAGTAGAGCAAGCCAAAAACAGTCGAGGGTTCTGTGGCCCGCGCAGCTCAGCGACACTTAGAATTGCGCCCGCATCCATGCCGGAACACCAAGCACCGTTCAGCAGCGAGCGATTGCAAGGTATTGCAAGCGCCCCGAAATGTAGACCTCTTCCATGGCGTTTCCATCCGGAGATCCGCGAAGCCCGGAGCCCCGCAACTCAAGGCCCCTTGCCCGGAGTTCGGCGTCTCCAAGCGCTGCCGATATGATGCTGCTCGGGAGTGAGATAGAGAGACATGTTGGGTTGTTCCCACTGAGACGAACAGTCCTTGATAGGGATTATAGGGGGTACTAGAATCCCTATTAAGGACTGTTAGTATAGGGGAGAACATCCCAAGAGACATGGTTTGACCCGGTTTCTTGGTTCGGGCTGAGCTGCAACCTGCGGGCGGGATCTCTGTCCGCAAGCTGTGGGGGGGTTACTTGGAGGTTCGTGGGTAGTTATAAATAGGGTTCCAAGGACCCTAAGTAGGGTTGTAAGTATAGTTCATTCACTCTACTTGAAACTATTACAAGTATAGTTCATAACCCTACTTAAAAAACAACTCTTCTGAACCTCCAAGTAGGTCTACGACAACGCCGTGGCTGCGCCGGGCTCAGTCGCGAGTCACGGGTCCCTTGTGAAGCTCACCATTGGCACGACCTTTGCGAGTTGCTGAAGATTTACATAGCAGGGGAGACAACACGAAGGAATGTAGGGTGGAGGATGAAGTTCGGATGAAGTTCTTGGATTTTTTCGGAGCCCTGAGGCCATCTACCTGACGAAACGGGGCAAGCTCGTCGCCGCGCGGGGCATTCTCGATGCGTTTTTGCACTTGCAGCTCAACTGCTCTGGCTTTTCCGCTTCCTGAGCACGGTGTCCATTCGAACAAATTCGAACACATGAGAACATATTAGAACATACTGGGGGGGCGGGGGAAGGTTGGAACATATTGGAGCATATTAGGACATATGTTGAACATATCGACGAGCCGATGTGGGGGTTTACGAAAACAGGGGACCCGAAGATAAACCCCCAACTCGTTGGGTTCCCTTATAGTAAGGACCCCAATAAGGTACCCCCCCTAATATCGTAAAACCCCCCATGTGGGTTTCTGCGGTGGAGCCCGGGAAGACGTTTAGTCGAGCTTAGAGCCGAGGCTCTATCCGCCGCAGGAAATCCCGCATCTGTCCTTCGGCGAGCGTGACGGCTTGCCCTCAGGCGCCGCTCCTTCCTGTCTAGGTTTAGGGTCTAGGGTCTAGGGTCCAGGGTCTAGGGTCTAGGGTCTAGGGTTTCGGGTTTAGGGTTTAGGGTTGAGGGTTTAGGGTTTGGGGTTTAAGGTTTATGGTTTAGGGGTAGGGTTTAGACTTCAGATTTCAGATTGACGTGCTGGAACACGGAAGAGAAGCATGAACTGAAGTGAGCATGCCAGGCAGATGGCTGACACTCATCGGCTCGTCTTACACTCACAAGGAGGCCTCCGTGTGGCACTAATCCCTTCCCCCCAAAATTAAACACCCCCTACCCCCTAATATTCAATACCCCACATTATGGTTATTTTATAGTATTTGGGGGGGGGGGGGGGTGTTTAACATTAGGGGGTAGGGGGTGTTTAATATTAGGGGGAAGGGATTATAGTCTCACCGGCGAAGGGCTGCTTTGCATGTGCTCAAGGTGCCTGCACACTCGAACAGTTGTCTCCGGGTACTTGGAGGTTCTTGGTACTGATGAACCAGCTAAGACTGTACTTAGAACTGTACTTGTAGCCCTATGAGGGCACTTGCGGGGCTTATGAGTGGGTTGTAAGGTTAATCCATAAGTACCATGAACCTCCAAGTACGAGTTGCTTGCGTCCAGCATGCAAAGCGCAGGGGTCATGATGAATTCATGTAAATGTGAGATCGTAGCCCAAGAAGCACATGCCTTCCTAAAAGCTTGGCTGCTCGATCTTGTAGGTGAAGGCGGGCAGCTACTACGGCAAGCATGTTGTGGACGGCGGCGTCGACACAGGCGATGCCACCAGCCAATGGAAAGTGCCCCCAGGTTTCACGGTTTCGCGGTTTCACGGTTTCACGGTTTCACGGTCGTAGCGCGAGGAGGCCGGGTTTCAACAGGGTCAAGGTGCCCTTAACGGGGTTGCCGCGTTGGGGGAACGATGCGAACCTGAGTCGCAGGCAAATTCGTGCAGACTTGATCTGAACACCGATCAAGCAAGTCTGATTGAACTAAGCACTCAAAGCGTGCAGGAAACAATGCCTGGGTGGCTCTGGCACTAGCGAACTTTGCTGCAGCGTCGGGCGAGCAGTGCTACTTGGAGCCGTGGCGAAACTCTGAGAGCCTTGCATGGGCTTGGGGGTATCAGGATCGTGGATGTTGATGGGGCCTTGTCTGTTCGGAAAGACTTCTCACGGATGACCCGCACAGAGGCGCGCGCTTGCAAAGGTTGAGTGTCGCGTTGAGCAGCGTCAATTGTCAAATGACCTCCGTGGTCAGGATGTCGAATCTGAAATGGCCTGCCATGCTGGACTAGACGGAGACAGTTTGACAGTTAGCTCAGTTCAAAAGGGAGAAGATCTAACAAAAAGGTTGCTCAAGGTCGTTACGAGATGCGAGGGCGCCCTCGTTTCATCCCCCAGGTGGCCGCACACGACATCCTGAAAGCGCTGAAGCGCACGGCCGTGTGCATCTCGTCTTCTGCTTGTTAGAATAGAGGAAGCCCTCCCCCCCCCCCCCCCCTATTTGTCCCCATGGAAGCCCTGCAGTTCCAAGCAGAAGCGCGGTGATTTCTCCTTTTTTGGTTTGGTTTTGGCGTTGCCTCCCCACTGCGCGGCTTGGAGACTTGAAGATGCTTGAAGAGCCCCCAGGCAAGGACAAGCTGCTGGGATTCATGGCCAAGCTGAGGCCTCTGACTTAAGTGAGACCTTTGAAGGAATCTGCAGAAATTAAGAGAGATTTGCTCCCATCACTTCCCGTGGCGTTTTGCTCTGTGAGAGGCCGTACCCTGCAAACTATCGCTCGACCGAGCTCCTGAGCCGGAACATGCTCTCTGAGCCGGACGTTTCGAAGACTTTGGGGGGGGCGTTAGTCGGCGTTCCAGCGCGTAGTCTGCACCTGAAGTTCCCCCGAATAGTCTGCACCTGAGTGTCCGTTGTGGGAGTTTTGGTATAACTTTGTTCAGGGCTCCGAAGGCATCTCCAGCCCAGTCTCCTTCGGAGGCACAACATCGACATGTACGCCTTGGCAAAGGTCCTGGGTGACGAGGCCAATCATCTACTCTTGTGCTGCACTTCTGGAGTTCCGCAAGAAGATCGTAGGGATGGGAGACTCGTAGAGGAAAGCAATCTGATCTGAAAGTTGTCTCAAAAAGCAGGCGATGGCAAACCCTGAATCGCAGATACGGCGCTTGTGTTAAAATCTGCGCCCTTGTGTTCAGCCTTCCGTGAAGGACGCTGCCAACCGCGCCCGCGTGTTCGTCCAGGAGATGTTTGGGTACAACACAAGGACATTCTTGGGGATTCAGACCACCATTGGCTAGCCAGTCTCTTTGCACGTCCACAGCCATTAGATGCAAGCCGCACTCAGACATGATGTAGGTATAGTGGCTACAATGCGGCCTTTCTATTCTGCACTCGAACCGCACCAACTTGATGCCAATGCCTTGGTCGGGCAGCGTGGAGCATTTTTTGTCCCACCTGCAGGTATCCGCAGTCCTTTGCCATGGGCACCGATGGTGAAGTGCCCTGCGATGTCACGGCCGGAAGGGGAAAATTAAAATCCCGGAGTTGTTCATTCCTTGGGGGGCTTGCGTTGTATCTAAGCCCAAAGCCTGCAAGACCACACGCGTGAGTAGGCTTCCCGAAACTCTGGCTGTTTCCGAGATCTTTCCGACCCTTGTGTGCAGTTCATGAAGACAGCCGTACCTGCAGATGGCGTGCCACTTGCTGGCATAGTGTTTATTGCACTGAGGGTTTCAGTTGCTTGTTTGGTCACGGCACAAGCATCCAGAGAATAGATAGATTCAGGAAACTGCAACACTCTTCTTCTTTGGGTGACAGGCGGGACTTCCAAGCACAGTTAGGCCTGACCAAAGGAAGGCAGAGAAATCTGTCTCCAGTTCGAATTTCTGCTACCACCCCTACAAACAGAAGCAAACGGCAAAAACTTGCGAGTCACAGGTGGTCCGAGTCGGTAAAGCGCCCCAAGGTTCTGGAACTTGTTGGCCGGAGCAGAGCCCGCCAGAGAGCGCAAGGCACCGAGTCGGTTTGTGGAGCTGACATTGGCATGTTCCCCCTTCCACTAACAGTTCTTAATAGGGATTATAACAACATTTGACCGCATTGCCACCGCCAACAGATTTTGAGAGGACTGGCTCACGTAGTCAAACGCACGATCTTGGGAACCCTCAGCATTGTCTCGTCACCTTTTCCAAACAGCATTCATCTTTATATGATGCTTGTTGCGGACACTTCGTGACCCCCACGCTTTGATACCTGCAGACAGCGGCGGTGGCGGCCGCGCTCCAGTCCATAGAGGACGAGGGCCTCCTCACCTGGGACGAGGAGAGGGCAGAGCTTTCGACAGTTCGCAGTGTAGTGTAGCTGGGTTCGCAGCGCACTGAAGACAGAGATGTAGACATCTGAAAGGCGCTTCGGTGAGACTGCGCACGTGCCAGGATGTCATTGGCAATGCGACCGGCAGCCGTGCAGAAAATCTGCGTGGCATGCGCTTTACAAACTGGGGCAATGGCGTTCAGTGACTGGGCAAGGTACTACTAGTAGACCTTCCAGGGCAGCCAGGACAGCTCACAGCTCTTTTTCTGCAATCCTGGCCTGTGCTGAGTCTTTTACAGTTTCTCAGGTGGGAGAACACAGCAGCTGCGGTGATGGCATTGCTCGAATCGCACAAAGAGCCGGATGCCTGGGTGGTCAGACCATTGCGTTCCGCATATTTGAGCGCGTGAGCCGCCTGGCCACATCTTTCAGCTGGTCTTGTCACGGTGAGGTTCGACGATGGCTTGTCGGATGTAGATGTCCATGAAGCGCCTTGGCCAACTGCGTACTGCATTCGGCGAGAGTAGAGCAGAGGCATTGTGGAGCTCGGGGTACGCGGAGCATTGTGGGTGCTGAATGGCCTGCAGGGTACGTTCAGATGAGTAGAATGTGCCTACGTACATCCGACACATCAGTTCCCGAACTAGTCCGCGCTGCCTGCTGACAGGTATCGCTGTTTTTTCATTTCTTCCTGCGTCGCGTCGTCTCGAAGTGAAGCTGACAGGGCTTCACCAACTCGTAGCAGCACGTGCGCCCAAGGAGATCGGACGCATGCGGCAGTCTCTTCTTACCCTGTTGGACACGCAGCTTGGGTGGATGGTTGCAAGACTCGTTGCTCTCGTTGCGCTGTTGCCGTCAGAACACGAAGAGTGATTAACCTGGGGGCTGCTGGGATCCTGAACGGCGGTTGGGGTGTGTTTGTTTATGTTTGATTCTTACTTCTACTTGCTGTCAGCCTTGTTTACGTCAGGGGCTTCTTGTTTCATATGCGAGTCTTCTCCAGAGATGGGGAGTGACGGGGGCTTACTCGTGCGCTAGGCTCGCGAATCCGTCGACCGCCCGGATCCGGGGGGTCGAAAAGCCTGAACCCTGGAGATTGAAGCCCGGAATCCGTTTTCTCCAATTGTGAGTACTCAGAGCTCCTGTTTCTCAATTCGCCCTGGGATGAGCTCGCAGCGAGTTACGCTTTTGTTTGAGGGGGGCTTCTGGCGAGTTCTGCTGCGAGCTGCCAGGTATGGTGCAGTTCCTGCTTCCGTGCTCGGTGGCAACATTCAGGCCACCGACTTCCCCCTCCTAGGGATTAGGGAACCGAAGCCACAGGATCCCCTTAGTTTCCTAAGCCTTGGCCATGGGTGTGATGCCATGATGCCCACATAGGTCCACATAGGTCCACGTCCTACATGTCAGGCATGGAAGAAGAATGAGCATCATCGGACATTCCCTGGTGGCAGCGACACAGGCAGAGAGCCGCGGTTAGGAAGGGAAGGTCGCAAAGACAGCTGAGGGAAAAGGGGGGGTTACTAGCGCAGTGCTCCTGTCAGGATCGGGATGTTCCGGGGCTTTCCACCTCGTACTCTTGCAATCATGTGTGGCTGCATGATGAAAGTGCCACGCCCCTATGTTACCCCAAGCTCTGTAAGCCCGAGATCCGGCGCACCCAAAGTGAACCCCAAACCCCAAACCCCAAACCCCAAACCCCAAACCCCAAACCCCAAACCCCAAACCCCAAACCCTCAACCCTAAACCCTAATTCTCTAAACCCTATAAACCCTAGAACCCTATAAACCCTAAAAACCCTAAACCCTAAAAACCCTAAAAACCCTAAAAACCCTAAAAACCCTAAAAACCCTAAACCCTAAACCCTAAACCCTAAACCCTAAACCCTAAAGCCTTTAGCTAGTGGAGGCATAGGTTGGACCTACTACCGCTACCCTCACGTTGCCGCAACTGCTTGGGCCGGCCTTCTGCTGCTCTACCAGTTCGACAACGAAACCCAGGCCATGGCAAGATTCCTAACATCAAGGCTCTCGTTTAGGGTTTCAGGGTTCAGGGTTTAGGGTTTAGGGTTTAGGCTCTCCTTTGGGATGTTCCTCCCTATACTGACCGTCCTTCATGGGGATTATAGTGCCCCTTGTTAGATCCCTTGTAAGGACTGTTAGTATACGTGGGAACATCCCACGCTCTCCTTCTTTTCACAGGGCTACTTGTTTTAGGGCTTTTAAGGTTCCAGGCTTTTTTTGTTGGTAGGGGCCTTCTGCGATACCTGGAGTGTACTTGAGAGGGGAGCCTCATTTGCTGGCATTGGAAGCAACACTCACTTTCAAGGTTGCAGCGTCGCAGACCGCTGCGGGATGCTTGCATCTGTCCCATGCTCCGGAGTCTGCTTGCCGGCCTTCGAGTGTCAGGTGAATGGGAATGCCAACCCGTACAGCCCGCCAGACCCGCCGTTGCCCAGGCGCGCTCCCCTGCAAGTCCCCAGCAGAGCATGGCGAGGTCACCCAAACTCTAAACCCTAAACCCTAAACCTCAAACCCTGAACCCTAAACCCTAAAACCTAAACCCTAAATGTTAAACCCATCATCTCTCTTTATCTCAAACGAGTCGAGAAAAGGAGAGAAGCGTCGTGCATTTTGGTCGCATGCGGCTGCTGGGCAGCTTCTGCTCTTCTCTTAATATCTCTTACACCAAAGGGCCCCCCCCCAAGAGCCTCGTAGCTGAAGCTCCTTTTTGGGGGTGTTTTTTTTTCAGGATGCCCAGCGTGTCGGACTTGAGCTGCCTGGCTCGATGAGGACCACGTGCGCGGATGTTTTTGTCATGCTTCGCTTGTTCCGGGCAAGGTTTTGAGGAGCGTGCTCGTGTGGTTGCAGCGGATTCGGAGTGTGTGGCAAGTGCAGGAGTTGTCAGGTTGAGGAATGCATGTAACAGGGAGCCCACAAGATCTGTGGTCAGTGGACTATATGTCGCAAAAAGGTGAGAGGGCGTCGTGGAAGAGCACGCGAGTTTTCATGGAACCTTCTGAAAACTCATGAAGCATGCAGCGGTGGCTTCAGGACCTGCGAAGGAGGGCTCCGACGGCGCGTTGTCAGAGAGCCTTTTGTACATAGGAATGCCAGAGCGTGGCGTGAGCTCACGCGACTGTCGCGGCTGAGCCCTGAATCCGGGCGAGCCTCTTTTGGCATGGCATTCAATCCGGTGCGCGAGCCTTCCCAAAGTGTCCTCATCCGGCTTGGCACCGAAAAAGACCCTGCGTTTCCCTGCATCATGGTGCCATATTGTGCCATAGATGAAGATGCGTAGGCATGCCGAGATGGGCAGTTGGGGTCTTCATCGTGTCTGTGAGGTGGTTCCAGCGGCTTGGGCAAGCGCTACACACTAGCAGCTACACAGGCTCCGAGCAAGCAAGATAAGTCGGGCCAAATTCTGACCCCAACATAGGAACCAGGAACAATCACAGTCATCATTGTTGCCCTGATTAGACAAGCATTATCTTCACGGTGGTCTTCTAGGCTGGAAAGCACTCTGAACCCGCCCGCCATCGAAAAAAAAAACCCCAGAACCCAAGCCACGCCCCGACCCGAACTTCGAGCCCAGATTCACCCTCCCCCCCCGCCCCCCTCGCGTCCAACCCTCCTCCCCCCCGCCCCCCCCCAAAAAAAAAGAAACGTTTTCATTTCCGCATATGAGCCTCTGTGGCTCTAGGGCGGAGCTTTCTCCAAGGTGCCTACGTGGTCGGGGCGGATCCGCTGTCGGACATTGCAATCCTTCAGGTGAACAGCGACGAGAACGCTGGACCGGCATGATTTCCTGAGCCCACAAAAGGCCCATCAGCCCCAGCAGATCCTGTACAGGCTTGCACTCTTCCTTGCATGCAGAGCAGGAATCTCGCCCTAAACCCTAAACCCCAAGCCCCAAACCCCCAACCCAAGACCCCATAAAGCCCAAAACCTACCACAAAAAAAACTTATCTCTACCCTATAAACCCCCCAAAAGCTATTACAAAAATCTCTATGCCCTGAAAACCCTAAACCCTAAACCCTAAACCCTAAACCCTAAACCCTAAACCCTAAACCCTAAACCCTAAACCCTAAACCCTAAACCCTAAACCCTAAACCCTAAACCCTAAACCCTAAACCCGCATCTCTCTCGCCAGCCAACGGTGGCCTCGCTGATGCAGCCCCTGAGCCGCGGGGCCTCGGCCGACCTCAAGCCGGGCCAGGAGGCGCTCCCCCAAAAAAGAAAAGAGACCCCTACTGGGCTTAGGGTTTAGGGTTTGGGGTTTAGGGTTTAGGGTTTAGGGTTTGTGGTTTAGCGTTTAGGGTTCAGGATTTAGGGCTAAATCCTCTAAACCAGTCCGCCTGAGTCCCCTGCTGAGGCGGCGAATCATCTCCTCTCCTCCCCCTTTTCCTTTTGAATCTCTCTCCCCCTAACAACAGTCGCTAAAAAGATATCCAACCCCCTAAATCACCCCTATAAACCAATTCCCCCTAAATCCTCCACTCACCCCTACTACGAAAGCTCCCTCCCCCCTTGAGTCTTTGACGAGGGCAGGCGCATGTGGCATGTGGCATGTTCTCTCGCATCGCCTCTGGGTAGGTCTTCGCGTTGGGCAATCCGTTCGGCCTCGAGCACAGCATGAGCGACTCCCTCAGGAACCCCCAGGGCGGCTACTGATTCTGAGACGGGATCCGTTCCTTTTGGGAGTTTCAATGTGAAGTAAGTTTCTGTGCGAAGTGCTTTGTCTGAGGCAAAGGGGTGATCAGTGGCGTCGCCAGGAGCATGGAGGCGTCGCTGGCCACATGCGGCAACACAACGCAAGATTGTACCCGCCCTCATGAAAGCCGATGGCCGAACTCTTTCAAATTTTTGATGCACCTCTTGTCTATTCTCCTAGAGCTCAACTCTGCACCGATTCAGATCTCAGAATTGAATCGGACATGACAGAGCATGCAACCAAAGCTTTGACAACGGGCCAGGGGACGGCTGGGTGGCCCATGAGTGGCAACTTGGCGAGAGCAAATCCATACGGACGTTACGGAAGTGAGGGGGGGGGGGGGCAGATCTTCCGCCTTTCGCGTCTGGCAGCTGAGAACTCTTCCTTGCGCCCCTAAGCTCCAAACCCTGAACCCAGAACCCCAAACCCCAAGCCCAAGCTCGGGATGAGAGCCCAGGTATCATTCAGACGGACGCCTCCATCAACCCCGGAAACAGCGGCGGGCCCCTGCTGAACAGCGAAGGCCCGGTGTACGTGTGCACACATGGAGGTTTCCCAAATTGGGTCCTTGTTATGAGGGAACCAATCCTACTATTTGGAGGTCTATATTACTTAGGGGTCCCCTATTCTCGCAAACTCCCACATTGGTTGAACAAGGTGAATGAGTGAGCCGAATGAACAAGGAGCCAAGAAGTCACTGTTCATGCATTCAATTGCGTCATGAGGTATTGCATTTTCATTAATATTAGCGTGTATGCCAGGAGCACAGTAAGATGATTGTAGAATCGTGGATAGAGATGAATGCGTGCGCTCATTCCATTCACGGCTTTGAGAATGTCACTAGTGTTTCCAAGCATGCCCACCCTCAATGTCTGCAAAGAGCCGCGGTTCGCAACAGATCTGGGGATGTCGATGTATCCCTAAACCTTAACACAGACATCCCCCACGTCTCTGGAGCACAGGGAAAACCGCATTATGAGCATGGCCTGGTTCACCTTTTTCACTTCCCAGCCTTGGTGTAGGGTAGGTGAGGATGCCGGCTCTGGTTTCGGCCACCTTTTAACTGGGCCCCTTACAAGACCCTCAATCCTACTACTGCACCTTTAAAGCCTTCAACTGGGGCGGCATCATGTCCATTTCAGTCCATGTACACCTCCTGAGTGGTGCGAGCGTGACTTTGGCAACGGAGCCAGAAGAGTCTGTCACCTGCTTGTGCCAAAGAGCCCAGGGCGCTCTAGGAGTTGGCAAGGGAAGGCTGTGCACAACCTCTGGGGATATGCTGGCCGGAGGTACAGTCGAGCAAGCACGGTTAAAAGACGATGATGTGCTGACTTTTCATGTCGGACAGGTTCGACTTTTAACTTCCAAGCCCGCACGTGAGGAAGTAATGCCATCCGCAGCTGCCTTTGCTGCAGTGCTGGGTGATGGATGTGTGGTGACCTGGGGCGAGGCTGCATACGGAGGCGACAGCACTGCCGTACAAGACGAGCTCAAGAATGTGCAGCACGTGCAGGCTTCTTTTCGTGCGTTTGCTGCGATTCGGGCTGACAGATCTGTAGTGACATGGGGCGATGAGGACCTTGGTGGCGACAGCAGTGCCGTACAAGATCAGCTCAAGAACGTGCGGGAGGTGCAAGCTTCTTTTGGAGCTTTTGCTGCGATCCTGGCTGATGGATCTGTGGTGACCTGGGGCTATGCTGAAACTGGTGGCGAAAGCAGTGCCGTACGAGACCAGCTCAAGAACGTGCAGCAGGTGCAAGCTTCTTATTATGCTTTTGCCGCTATCCGGGATGATGGATCGGTGGTGACCTGGGGCGATGCCGAAGCCGGTGGCGAAAGCAGTGCCGTACAAGAGCAGGTCAAGAGTGTGCGGCATGTGCAAGCTTCTGTTTGCGCTTTTGCCGCTATCCGGGCTGATGGATCTGTGGTGACCTGGGGCCATGCTGCATACGGTGGCGACAGCAGCGCTGTACAAGAGCAGCTGAAGAACGTGCAGCAGGTGCAAGCTTCTGAAAAGGCGTTTGCTGCGATCCGGGCTGATGGATCTGTGGTAACCTGGGGCAAGGCTGCAGATGGTGGCGATAGCAGTGCCGTACAAGATCAGCTCAAGAACGTGCAGCAGGTGCAAGCTACTTCTGCGGCTTTTGCCGCGATCCGGGCTGATGGATCTGTGGTGACCTGGGGCGATGTTTACCGTGGCGGCGACAGCAGTGCCGTACAAGACCAGCTCAAGAACGTGCAGCAAGTGCAAGCTTCGTCATCAGCTTTTGCCGCGATCCGGGATGATGGATCTGTGGTGGCCTGGGGCGAGGCCAGCAGTGGTGGCGACAGCAGTGCCGTACAAGATCAGCTCAAGAACGTGGTTCAGATTCAAGCTTCTAAACGCGCTTTTGCCGCTATCAGGGCTGATGGATCTGTGGTGGCCTGGGCTGTCGCCAACCGTGGAGGCGTCGGCAGTGCTGTACAAGAGCAGCTGAAGAACGTGCAGCAGGTGCAAGCTTCTAACATGGCGTTTGCTGCGATCCGGGCTGACGGATCTGTGGTAACTTGGGGCGGTCCTGAATTTGGTGGCGATAGCAGTGTCGTACAAGATCAGCTGAGGAGGCTAGCAGATCCTCCAGCCTGATATGTAGTCGTTTAGACTTATTCGAGGCTTGTGGGGATACCGAAATCGGTCCCCAGCTCCCAAAAAAGACCTCAGGCCAAGTTGCACGGCGCCAACCCCCAGAAGAGGAACGCCAGTCCCACCGAGGGCAACAAACCCGGCATAGGAGAAGACCCTGGAGCATTCACTTGAAAAGACCATTCAACGCATCAATTTTTGTAAGGAACGCCCCGTTAAAAAATGTAGTAGATGTGGGCTTTTGCACACGGGCTAGTATGTTAGTTATGTTAGTACTGTTCAGGGGCACCGAGTCCCCGGAGTGAATGAATGAGCGACACGGGCCCTTAGTTTTAACAATCTGCCCATGCAGAATTGGCTGATACTTTTGACGGGCGTACACAGAAGCCCACGACAATGGTTTGCCGGGGAGGGGGGGAAGTTAGTTCACCGGGGTTAAAATACGGGCGAGTGAAAGAATCCCGTTTTTCGCCCGTAAATGTAGTTCTTTTCATGAGGCCCGTTTATGTGAATTATATTGTGTCTGCGTCAAAGTACTGTGTTTATCAGAGCCGCTTTTCACATTCTGAGTATCTTCGCACGGCATTATTATTCAATTTTTCCGTACGATATTGAGATCACTTGTGCGCTCATGCGCTCACAGCACGAATCACTTCGTGCTTCCTTATGTTTATATGAAAGTTGCTCTCTTCATTCATTCATACATATATGGGTTTAGGGTTTAGGGTTCTTAGGGATTTTGCTTGGCAGGAAGAGAGAGAAAGGACAATTTGTAAATGATAAGGCGCCCTACAAAACGAGTAAACTGAGGGCGCAAAGAGTACTACATTCATTCACTCCGTTCATATGGTATTCTACGGGCACATTGTCATTTTTCTTGCGTGCCCGCTATCGCAGCTTTTTCGGAAATCTTAGTATGCAGCGAGGACAGAGTGAAGAGAGAAGACGCATGAAAGGAACAGTGATAAGACTAAGGTGGTAACATCATGAAATAACCTAAAGACTTGTCATAATTGACGTGCGAAGTGAGTGCGCGGGAAACAGTAAGAAAATAGCAGGAACGAAGTGAAGAAAGGGCCAAAAGAGCGGATTCTTGATAATTCCAGCGATGTTACGTTCATTTCGTTCTCTTATTAGTCCGACATTTATTACCGTGTGAAGTACAGAAATCCGTGAACAATCAAAATAGTTCTTGGCAGACGAAAACCCTAATTCACTTGCACGATCTGATGTAGCTTCTAAGCCTAGAGAATGAATATCAGAATATGAACAGATACGAACTACAGGTACATTGTCACGCATGGTGGGGTTTCCGAAAATGGGGTTGCACCCTTCTAGGGAGGTTCTTATGATATGGGCAGAATCGTATGTTGGGGTAGATTTGGGGGTACCCTATTTTTGGGAGATGCCAAATATCATATGGGGGATTCTCTAAATTAGGTCCCTTTGGGGTTTGCGAGTATAAGGCGGCCCCGCATATTTCGGGTACCCAAGAAGGAACATAGTTTAGAGAACTCACACCATATTCACTCCAGGATCAAACCCTAAACCCTAAACCCCAAGCCCTAAGCCCTAAGCCCTAAGCCCTAAACCCTAAACCCTAAACCTTAAACCCTAGACCCTAGACCCTAGACCCTAGACCCTAGACCCTAGACCCTAGACCCTAGACCCTAAAATGGGACCATGGGAGAACTCTCCACCATATTCACTCCAGGATCTGTCGTTGGCGTCAACACCGCCATCCTCTCCACCAGCGGTCGGCTTCCTCAGGTATCGTCTTGGGCTTTAGGATGGTTTAGGGTTTAGGGTTTAGGGTTTAGGGTTTAGGGTTTAGGGTTTAGGGTTTAGGGTTTAGGGTTTAGGGTTTGGGGTTTGGGGTTTGGGGTTGAGGGTTTAGGGTTTAGGGTTAAAGGGGTGATAGATGTCAACGGAAAGACTTAGCAGATTTTGGACGGGCGCAGGTGCGGGATCTGAGTGCCGGACGTATGTGCCCCACTCTGCCCATCCTGATACAAGCCAGGAAGGCGAACTCGCAAACAGTTTTCAGTTTTGGGAGCGCACCATCGATTCTCTCTGTATTATGGCTCCCCTTTGGGGTTCCGATTGAATTATAGTCTCCTGCGGGGTTCCTATTAACAGAGCCTTCTGTTTAGGAGGTACAGCATAGAGGGCCCGTATATGTTTGAGGACTGCCCCCCCGCCCCCTTCTTCCGCGCTCATGCCCAGGCACATTTTCTGGTGTTGGCTTCGCGCTGCCGATCGACACGGTGCAAAAGAATGTGGCATCGATGATTGAGGAAGGCGGGACACCTCTTTTGAGTGCCCTGAACAGGCCACGTATCAAAAACCCTCATTCATAAAATAAGCCCGTTCACGTGGAGCTTGCGCCGTCAGGGCAAAGGGTCATCCCTTGTCTCCACAATCCACAGAATCTGCAGGTTACGTGACCCGGCCCAGCATCGGCGTTGAGCTTGCCCCGGACGAGGTTCTGGCGCAGTTGTTGTTAGGGGTTTGGGGTTTCTAGGGCCCCGGGCTTAGAGCTCTTTGGTTTTCAGGTGGAGCAGTCCACAGCAGGGCTTTTTACAAGCGAGAGATAGAGAGAGAGCGCGAGAGAGAGAGAGAGAGAGAGCCGGCCTTAGGGGCCAGGATTGCTATTTTTTTTTTTTTTTTTTGGGGGGGGGGGGGGGGGGGGGGGGGAACTCCGCGCTGTGTCAAAATACAAAGAGTGAGAAACCCAAACCAGTTAATCTTGTTAGGGTATAGGGTGGAAGTGTGATTGGTTTGAAGCAGCTCTCTGGTGAGGAAGTTTCACGCAACCTGTGACACTGCGGACGCGCCTAGCCCGCGGGGTGTTTCACACCACCCAAGCCCTAAAGAAGAACAATAAGAAGAGAAGAATAGTAAGAAGAAGAAGAAGAAGCAGAAGAAGCAGAAGAAGAAGAACAAGCAGAAGAAGCAGAAGAAGCAGAAGAAGAAGAAGAAGGAGAAGAAGAATAAGAAGACCCAGTTCAGGCACGGCAGCCACAGTGTGAAGACAACTGTAGAAGATTAGGATAATGAGTTATGACAACGTAGAAAGTTGAATAGAAGAGGAAGGGGCTGCGCAGAGTAACTTCCAAAGAAAGGCTGAGCGAGCAGAGCGCCCAACAGCTTTCTTGTCTGCAGCCTCCAATACCTTGCGGTTATTCCCTCAGTTGCAACAGTGCAGTTCCCCCCCGTCGACAGTTTGATGCCAAGTTTGCTGGTAATTTGGGCGTGACTTTGAAAACCGAAGCTTCTCGCGCCGGCGAGAGTCGAATGACCGCCGTACCTTTAGGCACTGTCTTAGTCTGGAACGCCCTGTGCAGGTTTCCGAATCGCTGGGAGTTCCGGGTGCCATGGTCATGAAGGCACGTCTTGCCTTAAAAGTCCTCTGAGCCTGTTCTCCGTTGAGTAAGCCCCCCTAGAATCCAGAAAGCCCCCCCGAAAACCCCGAATGCCTCCCGCGGGCACTTGAGGGCTACTAAGACGTGTGCGCCCAGGGCGCGACGGCCAAAAGGGCTCCTTGGCACCTCAACAAAAGCGCTGCTCGCCGAACGACGGGGCGAGTTTGATGTCGCGCAGGTTGTGCCTGGTGGGCCGGCACAGCGCGCTGGCATGAGGTGCGATTCGTTGAGCCGGTTTTTCGTTCATATAGAAACCCAAGAAGGGGATCCCACTCCTTCTGCTGTTGCATCCGCTGCCCTGGCCTTTTCTTGCTTTGGTGGGTCGAAGTACGGGTTGGAGCAGGGTCGGTCGGCAGCCCACCAGTCAGTCTAGTTCCGGGACGTGCACGTGCGCATGTACATGCGCTCCCGCACTCTCCCACACTCTCCCGCACTCTCCTGTTTGCGCCAGGGCGCTGCGGAGTGGTCAGCTGGGCGATGTCCGGCTCTGAGGAGACAAAAAGGGAGCGGCACATTTGTGTCCACTCTTTAAACTCGGGCTTTGATGTAAAAGGGGTCTCAGAGCCGTCTGAGAGCCGACTTCTTCCTCTGCTCAAGTTCTGCCCATTTCTTGCAGAGGTCATCGTGAAGATGGGCGGGAGCCAGATCTCCAGCTCCACGGACGTCTTCCGCTATTTGGACCAGCCCCTTGGCAGCCTTGGCAGCCTTGGCTTTCATCCTCGTCTGCAGAGATTGTGATCGCACAAAAGAGCGGGGGTTGTGACTGAGCGTTGAGTGAGTTGAGAAGTGCGAGTTAGAAAGCTGAGAGGGGTCAGGGTTTAGGGTTTAGGGTTTAGGGTCTAGGGTTTAGGGTGTAGGGTTTAGGGCAAATTTGGGGTTGAGCGGGGTCTGTGTGTTTTGAAGAGCTGGGTGTGTTGGGACAGCTTTGGAGTTTTCGCCTCGGAGAGCCCTTTTTGTGCCCTCCCCCCTCCCGCCTCCCCCCCCTAAACCCTAAACCCTAAACCCCAAACCCCAAACCCTAAACCCTAAACCCTAAACCCTAAACCCTAAACCCTAAACCCTAAACCCTAAACCTTAAACCCTAAACCCTAAACCCTAAACCCTAAACCCTAAACCCTAAACCCTAAACCCTAAACCCTCAACCCTAAACCCTAAACCCTAAACCTCTCTTTCATATATAGTTTAAATGTTAAGGAGTTACTGGGCAAGGTCATTTTTTTGCTGGGCAAGGTCATTTTTTTACTGGGCAAGGTCAGTTTTTTATTGGGCAAGGTCATTTTTTATTGGGCAACGTCATTTCTTTTACTGGGCAAGTTCATTTTTTTACGGGGCAAGGTCGTTCCATAACTGAAATATTTTCTTAATGTTGTGGGATTCTTTTGGCGGGTGGGTGTTTTTCTGGAGTAATTTCTTGACTAGTGAATGCTTGGACTTGAGATGCTGAACCCTAAGCCCTAAGCCCTAAGCCCTAAGCCCTAAACCTTAAACCCTAAAGCCTAAACCCTAAACCCTAAACCCTAAACCCTAAACCCTAAACCCTAAACCCTAAACCCTAAACCCCAAACCCTGAACCCTAAACCCTAAACCCTAAACCTCTCTTTCATATATAATTTAAATGTTAAGGAGTTACTGGGCAAGGTCATTTTTTTTGCTGGGCAAGGTAATTTTTTTACTGGGCAAGGTCAGTTTTTTATTGGGCAAGGTCATTTTTTATTGGGCAAGGTCATTTCTTTGACTGGGCAAGTTCATTTTTTTACTGGGCAAGGTCGTTCCATAAGTGAAATGTTTTCTTAATGTTGTGGGATTCTTTGGGCGGGTGGGTGTTTTTCTGGAGTAATTTCTTGACTAGTGAATGCTTGGACTTGAGATGCTGAACCCTAAACCCTAAACCCTAAACCCTAAGCCCTAAACCCTAAACCCTAAACCCTAAACCCTAAACCCTAAACCCGAAACCCTAAACCCTAAACCCCTTTCCAAATTGCCTCTGTAGGAGGCAGCCTGGAGAGCTGGTCGTCATGCCAGAGCCTGAGAGAAGGAAGACTCCTCTCAGAAGACTTCGCACATAAGGGTTTAGGGTTTAGGGTTTAGGGTTTAGGGTTTTAGGGTTTAGGGTTTAGGGTCTAGGGATACTTCACACAAGAGTGCTTGAAGATTCGGCCCCCACGGGTTTTTCCTGGGGTACGCTTCTGCTAAATCAATTAATTTTTTCACAAATTCTACTAAAATTACAGTTGCTTGTGCAGGTGTTGGTTTAGGAATCTTACCAGCACTTGTACCATATACACTTGATACTTGATATGCCTTCTTTTCACGCTGTGCTGCATGTAAAAGAAGACGAACTGGCATGTCACTTCCATCTTTATTCTTTTTAAATTCTAATCCAAGTACTGCAGCAAATGCACCTCTTGTTGAAGGGGGGGCCACATTTCTTCTGGGTTACGCCACTCCTCTGCAGAAATTGAGGCCCAGCAGTCTTGTGGGCATCCTAAACCCTAAACCCTAAACCCTAAACCCTAAACCCTAAACCCTAAACCCTAAACCCTAAACCCTAAACCCTAAACCCTAAACCCTAAACCCTAAACCCTAAACCCTAAACCCTAAACCCTAAACCCATGTGGGCATCCTCTTTCCCAGGTCGGTGCAGCGACCATCTGCAGACCTCACGAGTGATGACCCTGACATCGCTGGAGCCCTGTTTGGAGCATCTTGTACACGTAGGGTTTAGGGTTTAGGGTTTAGGGTTTAGGGTTTAGGGTTTAGGGTTTAGGGTTTAGGGTTTAGGGTTTAGGGTTTGTGAGAAATGAAACAGAACGTCGCTACTGGCGGGGCAAGACTGTGCACATCAATGTGCCTACATCTGCTAGAAAGCGTGCAAGGCCTTTTGTTTTGTCATGCACCTCCCATTCTGAATGCTGTTCTCTTTGTGCAAACCTTCCCTAAACCCCAACTAAACCGGAAACCCTAAACACCAAACCCCAAACCCCAAACCCTAAACCCTGAACCCCAAACCCTGAACCCTAAACCCAAAACCCTAAAGTTTAGGCTTAAAACCTTGCCCAAGTTGAGGTCGACATAACTGTGCGGCTGGGCCGATCCAACTCCAAAATGGTGGTCACCTAGAGTCGATCCGCCGGAGCCCTGGAAAGAAGTTAGGGTTTAGGGTTTAGGGTTCAATAGGGTTCATAGGGTTTAGGGTTCAGGGTTTAGGGTTTGAGGTTTCGGTCTTCGTCGGATCTCACTTCCCTGTGGATGCATTGAGGCCGAAGGAGGACCCACATCCTGAAGCGCAGATACCGCTTTCTTCGCATGCTTCCCCTCCTCTTACGGTTACAAATCGTCACGGAGATTTGCTAAGACGCATCTTGGTATGGGTAGTTCTCTACATTAGGGTCCGTTTTTGGGTCCCTTGTATAAGACGGCAGCCTTATAATGAGGACCCCAAAAAGGGACCCTAATTTTGACGCTACGCGACCCGCCTCGCCCTTTGTATTAGAGATGAGAGGTGGGGCACTGCTTTATGCTATCCAGACCCCTACAGCCCGAGGCCTCGACGGATGTAGGGAATTCGCCACATGTCCCAAAATGGACCCAAAGTCATCGAACCCTCTCCTTTCGAGGAGATGGGCGATTTTTCTGCCGGTGCATCTTCCGAGCGCAGGGACCTCGGAAACTGCCAGAAACCGTCTGCAGCTGCACCCCAGGTTCACGTAACAAAAGGAACAGAGACCTTCGAGGCTTGAGGTGCCCGAGGTGCTTTGTATTGAGGTGCTTGGAGGTGATTCCCAATTGTCATTTGCGGTGGTGTTGCTGGGTTCCATGGGCCTGGGGTTGAATATTTCTGAGACAGGGTTGCCTGTGGCCAGGAGCTGCCAAACAGCAACCTCTCGCACCGGCAAGTGATCTGTGCTTCGTGGGACGGCTGGCGAGAGAGATAAGAGGATCTATGACTCAGGGGTGTATAGGCTGTTCTTTGCACAGTTCACAACGTGCATGGCATGGTCATCTTTATCTAAGCTCCAAGGCACTCTTGTGCCTTTGTTTGTAGAAAACGCGCCGGCCCTGCGTCGCAGGGATTGTTCATGCCAAGCCCTTGTTCAAA